CTGTAATACAATCATGGGGAATCACGCTTGCACATGGGATCCCGACCTTGCGATTGCTCACAATAATAGTGACATCTAAAAAGCGAGATCATTCACCTGAGAATATGTAGTATTACGGGGAAACTGGTCAAAGATCATCATGTGCTCGCGTTGGCGCTTGACCTTTCCATCCCGTTGCCGTTGACGGTACCCTGTCGGCAAGTCTTCCAAAGACTCTTTTTGATCGGGTTATACCAAGGATAGCCCACGGGACGTCGGGTCCTTGTCGATAGTAGTAACAACGATGATGATGATGATGATGATGATGACGATGTCGTTAACCTTGAAATTTCACAGAGTGGGATGCTCGGTGATATCTTAGGGTGGCGTGGAGTTCGTGGAGGGGCTGCACCAGGGTTCGAATGGATTCTTCCTCGTCAGGGTTGGAACCCAGCTCCTGGTCTGGACTACAAGGACCAGCAGCCATTATTGGTCGCGAGACAGCACTAAAGGGGTACCGAGTACCTGAGTGGTTGGTCACCAGAAGCGAATAATTGTCTCCTGTGATAAGTTGAGTGGGAGTGGCAGGGAAGGACAAATGGCAGGGTTCGCTTCCGATCTGTTGTCATTTGTCAGACAGCGACTGACTCGGCTAGCATGATGTACTCGGTGGAACCAGCAATCAACATCAAGTGGGCGAGGGGGGGTCGGTCATGTGGGTGGGACCTTTTTCCGTGTAGGACAACAATCCTTGAAGTTGGCCGACGAGCCTAGTCCTGGGTAGTACTTCTGGATCCGCCCAACTGGCGACGAGTAGAACACATCTATCCTCGTACTTGTTCATGATCATCGGTGTTGAAATGAGAACTCGTCAATGCTTGCTTACGACTATGTCCGTCAATTCATCGGGCAGTCGAGCGCGGTGGCCTTTTTCAATAGTCATGATATTATGGGGACCTATATAGACAGTAGAGTACTCCGTTGTGGAAGGTGGAAGGAGCGACCCTCGAGGCCCGCCCCAAGAGCGCTCGGGGCACGTCGGTCCGCAAAGGTACCGGTACCAATGTAGCCTTAGGAGTCCTCGTAGGTGTCGCAACTCGCAACTTGCAACTCGTGACTCATGACTCGTGACGCGTGACTCGCGGGGCAAGTACCCAGGTACCACCTCCATTCTGCCCTTTGGTCACCACCATTGGGAGTGCGCGGCACCGCGGCACCTAGCGGGGTGCTCCATGGACGTTGGCCCACACAGCCATAGGCTATGTAGGAGGACGTGTGTTTGATCAGCTCTCCAGAACTTGAATTTGACTCGCCAGCATAGAGACCTTGACCTTGTTCTCGGCCATGACCTTGCCCTCGTCCAGAAGAAATGGAACAACAGATTCGGGGATGGCTTCTCTCGTCAATGGCCATGACAGGAAAAGCATCGTCCGGATTTGACTCGAGAGCTAACGGTGCTAAGTCCCACTTTGCTCGTTTGAGGCCTCTCGTCTCGGATGACGCCCAACAACATCAATTACGTCCATTTCCAGTCTCTTGCCAGAACTGGGTAGTCGTGACCGCATCCGCGTGTGGCGTGCACCCATCGCAGACCGTAGACAGTGGGAGGCCCGAGCTGCTGCAGATATCGGCCAGCTGGAACAGACGTGACGATTTAACGAGGGCTGGTCCAGGAGCAGTACTCCGTACTTAGTGAGCAGTGACCCTCTCATCCCATCAACCGTGCGTGCCTGTGAGGTAGGGGAGGGAGTGAGCCGCCGCGGCTGGACCCGGGGAGGAGGGGGGGAGTTGTGATGCACCCGTACCGCGTTCTCGGTGGGCGCTCCCGTCACGCTGGACCGGACAGCTAATTGACCAGGTACGGAGCAGCTCGTACTACTGGACTGCATCAAGTAATCAAGTAGTACCTGGCTCAGGTACTCGCACACATTACCTAGGGAGTATGTGGCTAGGTATGGGACACGCCCAAGGTCGTCGAGCCGCGGTAGGTACTCCGGACTGTACTCGTACGACTACCTCTACCTCTGCAAAGGGATTAAGCGAGAGCGACTCGTATCTACAGTAAGTTCGTACCTTGTCAGTCGCAGCGATTGCGCCAGGCGCTTTTCCATCTGGTTCGTCACTTGTTTGCGACGCTTGTTGCAGCTCCCACAAATCCAATTCTCGACAGGCAGGTAGCTTGACGTGGGTCTCGCTAATAAGACTGTCTGACCCACGACTTTTCTCAATCTGGCCAAATTACTAGTGGCCACTGCTGATGCTTGTGGAACGCATCAAGATTGAAAGTAGAACGACAAACTTGAAAGGATGAAGGAGCTCCTCAGGCTGTGGGACTCCTGTCACTTGACCGCTGAAGCCAGGACTAGTGCTGGCAGTGGCAGTGGCAGTGGCAGTGGCAGTGGCAATCGCAGCAACTCGTCCATACCAGTCGCAGGCACTCGTCACCGAGTAGGCATCACTACTTCTGTACTCGAACGTACATAGATATCTTGGTCGGAACCACTCTTATGGCGAGGTGCGGTGTGTGCAGTCCAGAGATATCGAAGTGGTAACTAATAGTAGTTGGGCACATTGGTGCTGCTTTGCATTCGTAACTCCTTCCTCAACCTCGATCTCGAATCGGCATTTCCCACTTCCACGTCCACGCCCACGCCCACATCCACTCGCACTCTCGTCCTCGAGTCTTGCCCATCCACAGCGGTATTTGCCATCTTGTTCGCCTCTCCCCTAGCGGCGACGAGAGCTCAATCAGCCCCGAATCCGGATGTAGATCCACTGGCCTCACCATTCAATTAGCTGATGTCGCTATTACGAGCTATCATCGCCTCGTCTCGGACTGTGGTCAGTGGTCACTCGTTTCCCAAGCGTGTCCCGACCCCCGACCCCCGACCCATCATTTGGGCCCAGGCTGATCCGGGCTCGGCTGCGCTAGGGGTCATCTGGGAGCAATGACTGGTTCCCGAAACCTTGGTTTTGGAGACTTCTGGCACTCTTGCCGACACCCTAAACCGCCGACTTGGAGAAGGCCTGCAGCCTCCAACTGCAGTTGGATGGAGCCTGAAGGTCTCTTTGGGTCCCTCGGGTCCCCCCGCTCCACCATGACTCCCTGGTCCCTGGCGCCTGCCTCTCTGCGCCAGGCGGTCGACCGGTCGAATCAACACTACACTGGCACTAACACTAATTAGGGGCTTAGCGTGCCTGCCTAGACACAGTTAGTCGTCGTGCCTGCACTTTGGTTTCTTCCCATTTCTTCCATTTCTGCCACCAAACCCAAGCCTGACGCCCCCAAGCTCAGCCCAAGCCCGCCCTCCCCTCGCTGTCACGCCCAAGCCTGATTCCGAAGCCCACGGCGCCACGCCTAAGCTCTCGTATCTCAGGCTGTTCTGGCTATCCTACGGACTATTCTTATTATTTGCCTCACTGGTTCAGTGCCCGGGGTAATCCCCCCCCCCCCCCCCTCCCCCCTCCCCCCAGTCGATGCCTCGTACTTTGACTTCTTCCCCCCTCTGGAACCACCCGCCAGTCCACCAATATCCATGGACCATCACCCAGCAGTAGGTGCTAGAGTCTAGGACCTGAGCAGCTGCCAGTGAACAACCCACTGGCGGCGCCGCCGCCTTGGTCTTTCGTCTTTTGCCGTTGGCCCTCATCCAGCTCCGACCTCCTATGCCTTCGAGTCCCTACCTAAAGTGAATCTCGTACCTTCTCGCTCCCTCCCTCCAACCTCTCGTCCTCATCCTCAATTCTCCATGCCCGACCCTGGTTCAGTCCCAGACCAGACCAGACCAGACCCTAACCTTGACCCTCATGCTCCGATTTGAACCTCAATACCAATTACCATTACCATTACGGAGTACCATTACTGTTGGTACGGAGCAGGAGTGCCAGAACAAGCGTCTGTACCTGTGCCAATAGCCGGGGTACTAAGCTCCTGTATTATCTCGGCCCTCGACCACGTACCCATTAATTACTCCCCTACCGATTATTCCTATTCCTATCGTCAATTCCGCACTGCTGCCTCCTCTGGATTCCCACTCCCACCACCAGTCAAACTAGCCTGTCCGGTCTCTTGTGATCTACATACTTTCCCAGAAAATCTTCCTTTCTCTTTTCAAACTTCACTGGACTTCTCCTGCAGCAGCGGCATCCTTCTCACAGCGATGATCCTCACCTAAAGCAACTGGATTGGGCATCTATCTATCTACCTAATCCCTCGCATTCCATCGCACCATTGCACATTGCGATCCGCCACTTGCAAATTCCCCACCACTTCCCGACGCCAGCTCCCACCGCCCTCCGATTTCCAACATAGCATCTAAATATTTCCACCACCGGTACCCGCTTCACAAAAGCTTGCTGCCCAAACACCTCGACTGAACTTGGTCGCGATCACTCCTTGCTTTGTTTACCCACCGACAGCCTGGGCACCGACGCCGACACCGACGCCGACACCGAAACCGTCGACGTAGGCTGGGCTTCATCCTGGATTTACCACTTGAGTCTCTCTTTCATCCCACTTCTGCAACCACTTTAACATTCAACTCTTTCTCCTCGACTCATTCTCTAGCAGCATCTTTCGCATCCATCAGCTGTTTGCGCCCTAATTTGGGGGGCTTACTCAATTCTTGGAATACCCCATTGAACTTGCACCGGTACTGGTACTGGTCTTGTTTGCAATCTAAGTCCTGCGTTGATTCTGTTTGCGCTGCGTCCCTTCCGGGCTTGCTGTCAGGAAAGACAACTTGCGAAAAGCAATCCCCGTGAGAAGAAAGCGCTTTTTGGTTCCCCCTTCACTGGTCCTTCAACGACCTCGATCTCCCGCCTTGAAAGCTCGATTACAGGAAGTTTCAAGCAGCTTGGCGAATCGGTGCTCCATCGAACTGCCATGAGCATTCCTGTTTCCCGCGCGACCTTGTGAATCTGTCCATAGGTCATGGTCCATCCCCTGTACCACGTTTTTCCGGGTATAGAGACGAAGGAGGCACGGGCTAGGTCGTTGCACTTGGAATCAAAGGTCGAGCATGGAAGCAATCGGTGACGTGGATGTGAAGCACGAAAGATCCAATCCCTACGGCCCGCCACCACCAAACAATATCCATCGTATGCCAGTGCCCGAGACTCAAGCGTTACACAGCTATCATCCCCCTCAAGGACCCAACATGGCACCACCAGGCCCAGCGTGGAACCCCACGCCATCACCTTACAGCGAACCCACCGACCACCGACCACATCCTCCTGACATTGCTCATCAACCTCCCTATCCACCTCAATCTCAACCTTACCCTCCTCCTGGTCGAGACCCTCCAGGCTACCCTCCTCCGGATCCAGCGTACGGACGACCAGGAAGCGTCTCGGGTCCTACGAGATCTCCCGCGGAATCTCAGCATCAACCCTATCACCCCGTGAGTAGCAATCCCCACGAGCCTCCATATTATCCTCCCGCTCCTGCGGACTACCGACCGCGTCATGCGTATTCTGGCCCGGAGGGGCAGCCCAACGGAACCCATCAACAACCCCTTCACGTCGTGACAGGCCATGAAATGATGCCTAGCCAGCCGCCAACTCAGCCCGGGCATTATGGCCCACCTTCAGCCGGACCGCCTCCGTCAACTCCTTACTATTACCCCGAGTTTGGTGGCGGTCAACGTCGTAAGCCTGTCAGAGCTGCTCAGGCTTGCGATTCGTGCCGGCAGCGCAAGGCGAAATGTGATGAAGGGCGGCCAGAATGTCAGCATTGCAAGGAGAACGGATTGAAATGCTCTTATCGGGAGATTCCACCGCAAAAGTCCGAAAAGCAAGTTCTTGCAATCACAGCTCAGTTAGATGCCCTTACCGACTCCGTCAAGCTGCTGACCGACAATTCGAGAGCTCAAGATCAAAAAATCGACTCGATCTTGAACGCACTTTCGCGAATCCGGCCTGATGCAGTTGCTGTCCCAGAGAGCGCCACTCCAGAGGATCGGAAGGAAGGCGTGGTACGATCTCAAAAACGGAACAGCTCACACCACACGACTCAATTTAGAAGAGAGGATAGTTCGGATATGAGAACCGCTTCTCATATGGCTGCTCAATCCGCCAATTCTCCCCACAAAGCTCGCAACGGGGATCCGGAAACCTTTGAGCTTTCCCTGCCTGCCAAACACACGACTGCAGCACAGTATCTCCTCCTCTGGCCATCGATTGCCGCCTTAGTCCCGCCTGGTATATCTACCTCATACGTCATGGATGAGGAAAGAGAACGAGGTCTACTACGGCTCTACGGCTGCGGAGAAGGCGAAGACAAAGGTGATGGGCATGAGGGAGCGCCCAGTCCTTCCGGCAGCTCATCTTCCGATGGACGTCGATTGGATGAAGAAATGTCCTCATCTCCCCATGGCGTCTGGGGTGTTGGTCAATTGCATGCTCCAGGATTGTCGAATCAGAGCCATCCGGCTCGAGAGCACCCCGGTGGTGTCAGTCCTTACGGAGGTCTGATGCTGGACTCGGATGCCGTGGATCGATATTTCCGGAGTTTCATGGATCACATCCACATACTTCACCCGTTTCTCGAGCCCAAGGTGCTGCGGAATATGATTCATACTTTCAAAAGGAAGTACAGCTGGGATTACCGTGCGACACAGCCAACATCAGTCGTTGGCGCCAAGAGGAAACGGGAAACCACCGAATCACCAGGCTCGGTGGACGACCAAAACACTCCGGGTCACCTTGGAAATCGCACTTTACCAAGAACGTACAATCCAGGTGTTAGCTCACCTCTCATCGAGCATTCCATCGCCAACGCAATCGTGTTGCTTGTCATCGCATTGGGGAAGGTTACAGCACATCGCGATCCGCTGCCAGGTCCCGCGGCAACCACCAACATGCGGACCTCAACACCGCACAGTACCATGTATTCAGATCTGCCAATGGCCATGTCCGCTCCAAGTTCTCCTTTCAACAATCAACTCAACCTGAACGGCCACAACCACATGAATGCTTCAAGCCCGGCAAATCCCCAGGGAAAGAACATGGATGCAATTCCTGGGCTAGCTTACTTTGCCAAGGCCTCAGACATCATCGGAGAGCACCCAGGCGGCAGTGATGTATCGCACATCCAAGCATATCTGCTGGCAGGCCTGTACATGGGACAGCTTGCCCGTATCATACCCAGCTACTTTTACATCCAAAAAGCGTGCATGGCCGCACAGATTCTTATTGAATCGACGCCCTATACAACGAATTCCATGAAGCCTGCGAGACGGAATCTTGTCAATTTTGCATTCTGGTCATGCCTGCAACTGGAGAGCGACATTGCTGCGGAGGTTGAATTACCTCTCAGTGGCATTACTCGATACGAGAGCTCTCAGCACAAGGATATGCCCACACTGCTCACCCTGGAGAGAATACCCGAGTTCAACATGGACGATGATATTTTGCGATACTACTCGTACCAAATCCAGCTGCGCTTGACGATGAATAGCATTCACGCGACCCTTTACCACTCGCAGAAAAACCAGAACACGCGATCCAGCGATACGATGATGTTGGTCTTGAGCGAGAACCTGGAAGATTGGAGAAAGATGTTGAACGATTGGGATTGGGACGATAATGACCACGAGAGCCCCAACATCAACATTGCTCGTATGAGAGGGAAGTATTATGGGGCCAAATACATCATCTGGCGGCCAGCCCTCCAACACGCCTTGATGCAGGCGGCGCCGGGGAGGAAAGATTTGGCATCAGACTCGTCCTCTGGAAATGGGGATAATTCGGAGTTCACATCGCCAGCAATGGGCAATGCGCATATTCCAAGCCGTTCGTCCAAGGAGCTGCCGAGCATCAGCAAGCAACTGCTGGAAGGATCTCGGGTTTGCGTCGAGGCTGCAATTCGAAGCACTACAGTATTCGATAAGGTGCCACGACGACTGGTTACCACCAATATTTTTGGCACCGTCCATGCGTAAGTGCCCTGGAAAGTAGACTCTTCCGCGGCGGTTCACTAACAACGGTGTAGGCAATGGGGAAACATGCTTGTGTTGTATGCAACGTACACCTCCAGCCATCCATCGCTCAGTTCCCTTGTGAATGTCGATACATTGAAGAGATTGCATGATCGCACAGTTAGGATTTTACGGGAGAACGAAATGATCTCGCCAGTGCTAGCCAAAGACCTGAAAATCTTGGAGTACGTGCGCAGGAAAGTATTCCCTCCAACGAGCTCATCATACGCTCCGGCCAGCACGACGTCGAGCTTTTCCAGTCGATGAGAAACAGGATTTCTGATTTGGAACTTTTTGATTGTAATTTCCCTAGTGACGCCGACATCGTGGATGCCTGGATTTATTGTCTTCAGGGCGGCCACCATCCGAGCGTTTTAGCATTGTCTGCAGCGTTAACAACCGACATTGATTTCATGAAGTTATACGGCCGAATGGGAGGCACTTTTTTCGTTTCAGCTCAGCTTGTTCGGCGAGGCGAGGACCAGAAAGTTACGAGATTCAGGCTCCTCAGGTGGCCCAAACCGTGCCAGTCGTGGCGGACAGTTCCCACGTTGCTAGGGTCTGACGGACTTGATTTGGCACAAGGAGGGGGAGAAGCTTGAGTCCCAATAAGCCTGGGACGGGCGAGGAAGGCACGGGAGCGGCGTTGTATGGAATGTTTGAATCCTAGATAATGGCGATACCCTGCAGCAAGGCCGTTCTTTAGTATACATATTGTGTGGCTGGAGTGGAGAACGGGGAGTAATGGGGCAGCCACTTGTACATTATCGACTATGATGAGATTGTTGGAGGCAGGGTGGTCTGTCTCTATGTAGGTGAATTCTAGAACTGAAACTGCAATGGTCCTTTTTGTCTAGACATGTTGGATCTCGTCGAACCATGGAATCGTACGAGTAAAGAGGTTCCCTGGGAAGATGAGTGAATTAAGCGAGACCCAGACCCACCCCCACAGTACTCCGTAGAATACGAGGAATATATCAGGGCGACCCCTGCCAGTCGCAGTCTACGTCGACGGCAGCAGCCTCGTTTCTTCGATGACTAGTCGTCAAACATGTCAAACAAGGACCTTGTTGTGCGTGATGCTCTGTATAAGAGGGTGAGAAGGACGAGGCCAAGATATGTATACAAGGCAGGCGCAGATCCCAGTGCATGAAATCACGTGCCATGGACTGTGCCTTGCGGTGAACAGGACAGACCTATGATATCGACGCGTGGAAGGGCACATGTAGTCGTACGGAGCATGTGGTCCGGGATGGAGGTGAACCGTGCCTCCGACTGATAATAATAGTCGTGAGCTTAAGTCCGTCCCCTGCGTGTCCCTTCGCCCGTCTCGGCCGGCCCAAAGCAGCGCTGCACCCAGGTGAGGTCGGCGAGTACGACGGAGTAATTAGTTACTAACTTACTCGACCGTAAACTACTCGTACTCGTAGATAGCAAAATGGTTGGATGTGCCCGGAAGCCTAATGAGCCGACAGTCCCGCAACTGGGTGACTGGCATCCCTCCATCAGATCAGATTCATGCCCATCGTGCACGGCGGCGCCAGGGAGTACGACGAGTAAATCACTGGGTTGTCGACAAGGTTACTCCTTAGTTGGAATTACTCGTAGGTGACCGACTCTGCGTACTCGGCACATACCCAAAGAGAGGCAGCTCGAGACTGCAGCCTGCAGCCATCATCTTTTTCTTCGTCTTTCACCCGCGGGAGTCTGCCACCCATCTGCTCAACGCAGCCTTGACTTATTCATTATACAGATCCCACCAGCACCAGCACCAGCAGCAAGTCAGCTTTGATGCTGATGTCCTCCGTACCTGTACCCGTACCCCACCGCGACCCCTGCACCTGCCACTGCCACTGCCACAGGCATCCGTCATTCATTGTTAACCACAACCACAACCACAACCACATCAATATCCGCATCTCCTGCCCTTCGGCCTGATTGTGGCCTCCAGTGCCTACTGTACATACTCTTCCCGCTGGCCACGAGGCTGTTAGGAGGCACCTGGTAGCCAACGTCCCCAACACAATGGATGACACACCACAGTCCACACCCTCCCAAGACTCTGGTGATGAAGCCGGCCCAGGGAGCAACGGGCACGATCAGAATAACAGGGCTGGCTCCAACTCAAAACTCCCCGCCTCCAAGGATAAAGAGTGTCCCTACTGCCATCAGCATTTCACCTCCTCCTCTCTCGGTCGTCATCTCGACCAGTTCATCTCCAAGAAAAAGCCGGATGGCATTCACAATGTCGACGAGATCCGTCGCATGCGAGGTGGCATTACAAGACGCACCGCCAGAGGCTCCAAACGAGAAGGCAGCTTCAGGGATCGCGATGACACCCGCTCACCTCGCACGAGTCCTCCTCCACAAGCCCAATCGCAATCGCAATCGCAATCGCAATCACAATCCCAACCTCAACCTCAACCTGGTCCCGTCATCTCCATTACATCCGCAGACAACCTAAACCGAGCCCCTCCAGGCGGCATGTATACTCGCCTCAACAGACTCAATTGGCAGGCCACTGGTGTCATCACCGATCCCAGCTCCCTCGACTCCCCCACCACCGTGAATGCTCCGCCCACTCCTGCCCTCATCAACAGTCCCTCGCAAGGCACCAAACGCACCTTTTCCATGTATTCGCAAGATTTGACCGCCGCTGAAACCAATCGCGCTCTCGAGCTTTCCTTGCGCGAAGTTCTGGACTCCCTGCGTGCCGCCACTAAACACGCCACGCCGAAGCCGAGCCCGTTCAAATTCGACGTGCAGAGTCAATCCTTTCCCAGTCTGTGCCTGAAAATCCTGCCTGCCCCTGCAACCCTCTTCCAGGCGAGTCCCTTCAGCACTCCTACGAGCATTCCCATCTCTCCGCCGGGCCCAGATCAGCTGGCCCCACTACGCCAAAAACTCACCAGCACCATCGACTATTGGAAATGGCAGGCTCTTCGCCTCGCGCAGCCAACCACGTCCAATATCGCAGAAGAGGCGGACTTTTTGACCCAGAGCGCCACGCAATGGGCCGAGAGCACCATGAACCATCTCGACTCAAGCTACCAGAATTGGATGTCGCATCCTATCGAGATTCGCAACCTGCTGTGGCAAGTGGAGCTCTTGCGCGCCTACAACACCGAGCAGCAGAAATCCACGGAACTGGAGGAGAAGATCGAGACTCTTCAACAGGAGGCGAGCCAACTGCAGCAGCAAGTGGAGTATCTCAGTCGGTGCCAGTGGCCGCGGGAGATGGCCCTGTGGCCGCCGGACCGGAAACCGTTTGGGGCCGCGCTGCGCGAAGAAATCAGGCTGATCAACTTGAACAAACTGCCCGGGACGGGGTCGGACGGCATTGAAGACATGGTGCAAGTCCCCGATAACATCCATACTAGGGGAGACAAATGGGACTTTGAAAAGCTCGTCAACAAGTGGAAGTCTTACATTAAAGAGGATCGGAATCGGAGGGTTCCTCAACAGCAGCCGCAGCCGCAGCAGACTGGGACACCGACCGACGGGGCGCCTGTCAAGATTGCTGAACTGCATAAATCCTACAGTGAATCAGGATCGGGACCCAACGGCATCGGCATTGGCATCTCGACCAATGGCCCTTCACCCAACGGCCACAGGCTTTCAATGGACGAGAAGCGTAGGAGTATGAGGAATCAAAAGGGAAATATAAGTATAGTGTCGGACTTCTAGAATGAATCATGAAATCCGCTCTGGTGTAGTGTATCGTATTGTTTATATTTGACTATCTCATTCATATACACCTTCGATCGAGGCCGAACCTAACCTGACCTAAGAAGCCAGCGATATTTTCGCATGTAGCATGTACCTCGTAACAATGTCAAACCATCACCTCGTAAGGTTAACGCCAGTATTTCCATTTCCGTTCATCCATTACTATATATGTTCATGTCCATGTTCATACTCACATCATGTACCAAGTAGAATAGCTGCAAAAACCAAAGCCGCTCGCTCATATCAGACTGTTTTCTTCACAGAAACGAAAAAGGGCGTTCAATTTCAAAACCACGAGTGTCGCTCGTCCTCGAGCCGGATGGTCCCAGAAACGGTGCGTTTGGGGTCTGCCGGCACAGCCATAGCCATAATCGCGTCGGGGTCATCGTCGTCAAGCTTGAATCTTACAGTGCGCTTTCCTCCTACTCCTCCTCTTCGTCGAGCTCTTTCTCCCTCTTGGCGAATAGGCTCACGCGGTTCTGCACCGCGTAGATCGCATAGCCCACCAGCGCCAGCACCACGAAGAGGATGATCACGATCAGGGCGATGACAATGTTGCGTTCCATGATGATCGGGTCCGGCCTCTGGAAGTCCTTTCACTGGGAGGGAGTGGGCTCTTGTGTGGGAGCGGGAGTGGAAGTGGGGGGGTTGCCGCCTTGGAGGGTCTTCGGGTGGCCAGGAAGACGAAGGTGTGCTTTTGGCTCTGACGTGCGAGAAGGAGAGGAGGCGGAAGCGTTTGGGCGGAGGCGGACTCAGTGCTGGGCCACAGAAGAGAGTCGAGCTATCAGGGAGTTCTCTGATGGTGATGGGTTGGGACGTGTGGCTGCGTGGCGAGATGGGCCGGGGAAAGATCGTGGATAAGGGTGAGGGTGAGGGGGAAGGGGAGGGTGCAAAAGCAAAAACACCACTGCGAGCACCCCGCGAATCTATTTTGATAGATGGTCGGAAGGAAGCGTTCACTGTGGAGAGGAGGCTCTTTAATCGACGACAAGAGGCAGTAGCAGCAATTCTTGAGAGAACAGGTGAGCCTGTCGTGATTCGTTAGAGAGCAAAAACGCAGCCAAAAGGTCAGTGAGATAGATTGTTGGAGATGGCTAGTTGTGGAATTGGAATGAGGAATATCAGCACAGTGGCACGCAGTGAGGCCATGTACATATACAGAGCACACAGCCAACGGCAAATTGGGAGCCCAGCCTCGAAAACGCTGGGCTCCAGCATTTTGGTGATGGCTGGGCGTTTCTCTGGATAAGCGAGTGGTTGGTGTTTGACTCGAAATGCTAACGAGGTTGAATTTGGGCAGGACACACACAAGGCTTCGTGATTCGTGATTCGTGGATCCAACCGCGACCAGCCACATCATGCCAAGACTTGGTGCCTGGCGCTAGTCCGTTTCCGGGTACCTACGAGGCTGGCATCCAACTTGGCGGGAACCGACACTGAGAGTGATGAGAGTGATTGCACCCCAGTCATTATTTGGGGAGCACCGAACCAATCTATGACATTTCCTCTTAAAACCTCACTATACGGAGTACTCGGTAGTCACAGTACCAGCTCTGCCATATTGCGGGGGGTACATGATGCGGTCAATGACGAGACACACCGAGACCAAAATAGCCTACGCCCTGACCATGAACAGCTCCCAAGAATAGGTCTGTCAGAGCTATTTCCTTTGTGCTGTCGCATGATGGCTATATCTCCATTGACTGCAGACTGTACGCTGTACGCCGTACGCCGTACGCTGTACTGCATCAACAACAAAGCAGACGGGAGGGCTATGCACCGTCAGACTCAGGGAATCACTTCTCACAATTCATTGTTCCATCTGGATCGAGGACAATGAGCTCCTGCAAACGCTTGAAACTAACCTCTTAATCAGCGTCTCCAGCTCAGCTTGGAGCCTGCTTTCGCCATGTTGCTCGCCGTATCACCCTGCTTTTTAACAACTGCCGTTCTATTGAGCAGCAGATCATGCTCTCAGCTCGACCCGCTTCTCTGGCGTTGAGCCTCCCTGTGGAGATTGCGAGTGCATACACAAGCTTCAGCACCGATGAAGGTGTCCGTTCTCCGCGCACTCCAACTTACCTGCCACAATCTCCGTCGACTGCCAGACTGCCAGCTTTTGATCACACCAAAATCCTGGAGGACAGCTCTACAGCACTTCCAAAAACTCAGACCACCCCCGTGGATCTGCCCCCGACTCCCGATCAGCCGCTAGCATGGATCTGGGTCTGCCACCTCTGCCACTCTCGTTATCCGCTTGGCGTCACCCGCCGCTGCCTCGTCGACGGCCACTATTACTGCTCCGGGGAAGCCAACCAACAAAACCTGCGCAAGAAGAAGAAACGACAGAGCTGTTCCAGCGAATTCGACTACGTTGCCTGGCGCGAATGGGGGGACTGGAAGAGGAAGGCGCTCAAGCTACTCATGAACCCGAGAGTGGCGCGTGGGTGTGAGAACTGTGTCTTCCCCAGCCAGTGTCGATACCCCGCTGAAGATGAAAAGAAGGACCAGGTGTCCGTAGAAAGGTCGGCTAAAGCAACTGGAGAAGCTGCTACATCGGTTCAAATAACACCTGAGATTGGAGCCGACGCATTAGAGTCAAAGGATGACGCGAAGAGGTCCCGCTCCACGTCCTCGTCCAACGAGAACGTCAGCTTCGAACAGATCTTGGGCAACATTTTCCCCGAGGAGAAGTCCATCAATATCGACCCCTGCAGAAAAGTGACTTTCAAGAAGAAGACGCAGGGGAAACGCAAAAACTCGCAGAAGCACAACTTTGCGTCCTCGACCGAACGAGAGATGGCCAGGGAGGCCGAGCATGTGAAACAGCTGGTTGGCGTGGACTTGTGGAATAATCTCGAGGACATTGACCTGGGGAACTTGAAGGCCAAGCTTGATTGAACTCTAGTATTAGCTGTATACTTAACGTCGGTTAGCCGGTGAAGGCGGGAATGAGCCTTGAGAAGAACGCAGCCTCCTGCATATCTGGCTTGTATATCTAGCTTACTTTAGCTTGGCTTTCAAAGCGAACCAAATGTTTATTCCTATAAATTGTATGCAACGGCGCGAAACCCTCAGGCTGCGCGTGCAGATGTGTCCTAACATACCCTCCCTCATAAACAAGAGAGGACAACCCTACTACTTCCCAACCAATCCCCCAACATACTCGGCAATAGCCAGCATCTTCTCCTCCGTGTATCGCCTCCCCACAATCTGGACACTGACATGCGCCCCATCGTACAACTCCGCATCGTAGTCGTCGAAAACCTTCTGATCCTGCTCGTTCAAGGGTGTAAACCCCTCGTGATACAGGTCCGTGGTCTTGTCTGCGTTCGTCACCGGCACCACGACGCTGGGGTAGTCCAACCCGTTCACCCAGACGCTGTACCCGTAATACCCATACTTCTCAGGCCGTGCAGCCGGGTACGGCGCCAGCGCGCAGATGATTCCGTCCACCGGGCGGCCCGTCCCAGTTTGTTGTGCCGTGCTGTTCCAGTAGTCGAGGTACTCTTTCTGGAACTTGCGCTTGGCGACGTTGTTTGCGGCGATCATGGATGCCGTGTATTCTTCCTTCGCCTTGTCTCCATACACGGTGTTTACTTGAACGGCCATCGTCTCACCGGAGAGGCCAAACGCCCCATGCACATCCTTTCCACCGTCGTAAAGCCATGTCTTTAGCGAGATGGAGAGGAGTCTTTCGTGGGACGGAGGCTTCCATTCGATGACTTTGTGCCCGGCTTTTTCGAGTGCTGCGGCAACCGTCTCGATGGCTCGAGCCACAGGTGGTTGAGGAGTTACAATTCCGTCTGTCTTCATCACACCAAAGCTGAGCCTGCCACTAGCGGAAGTAGACTTGACCGTGTCGACAATAGCTTGCTCTTGGGCATCCCGCCATGGTAGCTCAATGACTAGAGGGTCATGGAGCCACGGTTCCTGTGAAAGGATCGCCTTGGTAAGTAGTTTCACCGAGCGAGCGGTGGTAGCTAGAGGGCCAACAACAGAAAGAATGCTGTTTTGACCGTCCATACTATTTGCCATGCCTTCATACGGCAGCCTGCCGGATGTGGGACGGATGCCATAGAGGCCATTGAAGGCTGCTGGAATGCGAATCGAACCTCCTATGTCAGTGCCAAACCCGCCTGGGGATCCTTTCAATCCGATCAAGGCGCCCTCGCCCCCAGAACTGCCCCCAGATGTCAGGTAGCGGTTTTTGGGGTTCCAAGTGTAGCCGATGATGTTGTTGACCGTCTCCCCGCTCATGAGTGTATGCGGAACGCTGGTCTTGCAGTAAAGCACGGCACCCAGCGCCCTCAGCTCTCTCACCATTTCACTCTCATACTTCCCCTTGCGCGGGTCATCCGCAACCCCTTCGAATGTCCCAATCCATCCTACGTAGCCCATTGTGGTTTCGACGTTTTCAACATGGAATTGGTCCTTCAGCGATACCGGAACTCCATGCAGCGGGCCAATTGTCTTCTTGTGTTCTGCAAAGTATTCATCGAGCTTCTTTGCCGATGCCAGTGCTGCATCGAAGAAAGTCTCGTGAAGGCAATTGACTAATTGATGGGCCAGCGAAGCCCGGTGACAAAACGCCTGGATGACGGCGACTGCGGTCCACGTGCCAGCGGCCACCTTCTCCGCGATACCAAAAGAGTCGGTTTCCGTGATCTCGATTTCTTCCGGGCTTAAGAACTTCTGGATGTACGAGCCTGTAATATCTTTCTGTTCTTGCACAGAGGAAATCTTCTTGAGGTGCCATTCTGCTGGAATGGAGGCGAGAATGGCGTCGCGCTTCGCTTTGGCTCGAGACTGCCAATCAACGGTAGCAGCCATTTTCTCCGTGATTGAGGCTAGAACGCAAACCAAACCGTTCACTCTCGGTAGAAAGTCTGAGTGATAACGTACGGGAAGGATGGGATGTTGATAGATATCTGTTCGGAAGACTGTTGCCTTGATAGATAAATCGGAGAACCTCTCGGGGAGACCCCTCGGGCGCACATCTCCACCGTTCTGGTAGAGGAAAGTTTAGTAATTAGCTTGTATCTCCTGCCCGTTATGACATAGTCTGGCTTCGCGTCTCGGACTGAAATGATGGTCCTCCTATGTAGGCCTGTGTGGGGGGTTGCTCAAGAAGTCATTTACGTGTGACAAAACCAGTGAATCATTTTTATTCCCCAGAGCTTGCCATTTGTCGCACATTAAGATTGATCCGCTTGTTGCTCATCCATCCACGCCAAACTTGGTATTCGCTCGTGTCTGATCCTCCTGGCCAGTCTTCTAACCAATGTGGACAGGTGCCAGGAATGATCTTTGGCACAGCGTGCCAGGCGTACCTGGACTCACCTGACATGAGCAGAACATCGCCAGACTTCAGCCTCATTGTGCTTGTACGGCTTCCATCCTGATTTCCAGCAATGAACAACGCGTCGCAGCCAATGCTTACGCTTATAAGACTGTTGGCGCAGTCCTCGCTGACATCTCGATGGACGCTGAGCGTGTCACCTGGGCTGTAGAAATTCACGATTGCAGCTTGCGGATTGACATCAGGAAATAGCCCTTTTATGAAATCCGCTATATCTGAAGGGAACGCCGGAGGTACCTCAGATGGATAAACCTTTTTCGTCCAGTCGTATTGTCCCCCTAGGGTGACCCACCGTAGCTTGCTTTCGAGCATCTGCATCAAGGTTATCGATTTGTGAACAGCGGGCTCTTTAGGAAGGATATCCGAGTCTCGGTCTTGACCGAAGAACGATCCTGGACCTGGAGAGCGTTCAATTCCCCTAGAAGCATCTTTTGGTAGGCTTGGAACCGGTACATGGTAGTGCAAGTCAACATTTGTCTTATGTGAAGGATTTTGAAGGTCACGGTGAAGCAGCCTCTCTAGGAGGGCGATCTGGACATGTGGTGGGAGGAGTGATGGGAAGACGTAAAGTCCTTCAGTGGTCAGACTAGATGTAGTGACAATGAAAAGCGGTTCGGTTCATACCGGGCAGCGAAGACACCTCAAAAGCCGCTGCTGATTGCTCTTGAACGCCGGTAGAATTCGGCAGGAAGTGAACAGCATCAGGGCCGCAAAATGTCATCAGCACCTGTTTATAATTGTTGGGTATCAGCTCGGTCAGCTCGATCACTTCAAAAGTTGAGTCTTGTCCACGAGGACCCTTCAAAAAGACGTCGGATACCCCTTCTGAGGAGCTGCGGCGCAGATCAAGATCTGCTGTTTTCCGCCAATATTTGAAAAGATGTTTGATGGGCTCAGGAGGCTTTGCATAAGGGTCGTTTGGCCTCCTGACCCCTTCAGCATCTTCCACGAGAGACATCGCTTATGTGAGGTAAATACATGGAGTCGTGGTGGAGCACACTGAAATGTCCTTTATTAAACCCTGTGGTCAGGCCTGAACAAGAACTTGGCCGGCACATCTGCGTCGGGAGAGTTTAAGGTATACCAAATAATCTTGAATAGTGTTAGTTCCCTAAAGCTTGTTGATGTCGACCATCTAAAAGCAACAAGAGGTAGTTGGAGACTTCCCGTTGTGGCTGGTGGGAGCCAAGGCCGGGAAGGATGGTCACGTGAACAGTAATTAGGTAAGAATTCGTGGGAGCGTCGTCACCCGATGTCATGGCCGCCTCAGGCCAGACACCCAGCACCTCGAAGGCATGGCCTCATTCCTAGGCCCTGCATCGCAAAACACCCTCGATCTCAGTTATCAGTAAGCATATACCTAAGTATTAACCACCCGTAATCGTCCAGTCACAGTCACTCTGGTTTCGTCAGCGCTTGACGGGAACGCGTCACAAACACCTGCGAGTCTGTAAGAAGGCGAAGGCGTCAGCTTCCAAGCCTGGGGCGCCCAAGCGCACCGCCTACAAAGCCCCCTTCTGCCCCGCCAGGCAGCCTCTAAACACCCCCGAAACCCCCACTTAGGGGCGCTAGGTTAACTATCCCTCGGCAGAACGCGAGGCTGGACTCATCCTTACCATTGAAACGCGTTGCCTCCCTCGTGCAATGCACACCTGCACCTATCGGGGCTGTGCTACCCATTATTCAGAACCTGAATATCACGTCTACTTCTGTCTTTCATTACGTTCTTTTAGACTCATTGAATCCATGAACCCCTCGGGCGGTCTCCGAATCACGTAGAACCACTTCAGCATTTCAGCATTTGAGTTTCATAATCATGCTGGACGAGAATCTTCCAAGTACGTGACTAGGCTCGCTCCCTATTCTTTAGTCCACTTGACTAACGATACCAGCCTTCATTCTGAAACCCTCAAAGGACAGACCAAAGCAGCTATCCACCTTCCTGTACTCCCAATATGGTGCCGAGTTCGAACCCGCCTACACTCTCCGCCATATAGACCCGGAACAGCATGCCTCGAGAAATCGATACGCTGCGGCCCTCTATGATGCCTTCAGTCCCGAAGTCCTTTACGCAGAGGTTCTCCTCATTCCCGAGTGGACTCAGCCTGCCCCGATTTCTGAACAGGCGAGGGCAAATGGTGTGGTGCCGCCGCCTCCCGAGCCCGTTCTCCCTTCCCAATTTTCGATTCAACTCTACAACCCCGACCAGCAGATTGTTGTCAGACACAAGCCTGCTGGCTTCACCTCCGCCGCTTCGTGGGAGTTTGAGATGCCACAGCAGACATTTCGAGCGCCATCGGCCTCCGCACTTGATCGAGGTCAACATGATCCAGCAGCCTCAGAGGTTACACCCAAGATAGGATTCAAATGGAAGAAGGATGGCAAATTCTCCAAAGATCTTGCTTGCTTCTTATCGGGCAAGAGCACAGATATTGATGGAAAGGCAAAGCATAAAGAGCCTGACATTACGGTCTCCATTTTGAAGGGCTTCAAAGAGCTTACCCTGTATGAACCGAATCTACAACGAGTAGATATCGAGGATTTGAAGGGATTTGAGGTCGTGCTCCTGCTAGGAGCCATGGTAATCCGAGACGTTTACTTTGGCTCACTCAAAGACACTTTCAACATCATTACAACTGGTCGTAAGTCTAATCCAGCCAGCCCAATATCGCGGCCTGTACCCCTGGATCTACCGTCCCGACCCCAGGTAGGCTCTCCGCCACAGCAGAGTTCGATCCACAGCCCTCGAGTTCCACCCACAGATCCTCGCAGCCAGTGGGAACTTGATGCGGAAACTGCCCGCCTCAAGCGCGAGGCGGAAGAGGAGGAGCGGCTACTGAAACGCAGACGCGAAGAGGAGGAACGGAAGACAAGGAAGCTGCTTGAAACCGAGGAGCAGGAACAGCAGCGCCGGCGACGAGCTCAAATTAACGCAGAGACGGAGCGGCTGAGGTTGCTCTATGGCCAAGAAGACGCTACTGCGCGACCGGCCATACCCCCCAGAGACCCCAGACAGCAAAGGCATCATTCAGACTCGAGACAGTCCGCATACCAGCAATCGCAACAGACACAACGCCCTCCAGCTCAGCATGCCAACGTGTGGGGATCGTATCCTGGTCCGCAAGGTCCATACATGTCGGGCGCCGCCTCTCAATCCAGCTTCCTCACTCCTAGTAATCAGCAACAAGCGCTGAAGCAAAAATCGAGTATTTTCAACTTTCGACGAAGAAGTGATAATGATGCAAACAAACTCCAACGAAAGAAAAGTGCTGTTTTCTGAGTAAACAAATCGAGCTTCCTATTTCAGCCATTCCCTTAGACCCTGCATGTGATCGGCCATTTGCCGACATCACCGTGTCATCATCTCCACAAAATGGTTGGTGAGCCCCAATATCTAATCTTCCCATCCAAGCCATTAGCCCTTACCGACCTCTTTCTCAAGCATTCTGCAAGATCGGTATACACCATGGCCCCCGCGACAGCTAAACGAATTGTCTTCACCGGCGGCTCTGGCAAGGCTGGCCGTCATTGCATTCCCTATTTGCTAGAAAAGGGCCATCAGATTCTGAACCTGGATCTCATCGACTTCCCGAAAGACCATATCCCGCCGGGAAAGACCGTTTATACGATGAAGACAGATCTGACAGATGGTGCTCAAACCTTCAATGCACTCTCCTCCTTGTTCTCCATGGAAGAATATGCGCTTCCAAAGCACCCGGGGCCACCGGATGCTGTGATTCATTTTGCCGCCTACGCTCGAAACATGATCGTCCCAGACAGTGAGACGTTTCATGGCAACGTCATGAGTACATACAATGTAATCGAATCAGCCTGCAAATTGGGGGTCAAGAAGATCGTCATTGCAAGCAGCGAGACAACTTATGGAGTTTGCTTCAGCCAAGGTGACGACAACTATCTCTCCTTCCCTCTGGACGAGGATACCTACGACCGCAATCCTATGGATACGTATGCTTGCAGCAAGCTAATAGGAGAGCGTATTGGGCGCACCTTCGCGCGTCGATTTGGAGTCGACATTTATGCTCTCATTATCGGCAATGTCATCGAGCCACACGAGTATGAACGAGACTTTCCGCGACACGTTGGTGAGCCAGCGACTCGAAAACGAAACGCTTGGAGCTACATCGATGCACGAGACTTGGGACAGATCTGTGACCTGTGTGTTGCGAAAGATGGATTGGGGTTTCAGGCATTCAATGCCACGAACGACACAATCACCACCGCTACACCAACTGAAAAGTTTCTGAAGAAGAGTTGTCCTAACACGCCAATCACGAGGAAGATGGGCGAATGGGAAGCCCCGCTGTCGAACAAGAAGATCCGAGATGTTCTGGGCTACAAAGACGTTCATGACTGGAGGAAGTACTATAATCACTATGGTTAAGGAGTAGCGTTCCCATAGACCCAAGCGCATTGCCTAGGTAGAATGTACCTAGGTCTGATTCAGAGTTCGGGCATCAAAGCGTGAGATGCGCCATTGGGACATTGGTCGCTCCTGATTACTATCAACATACCTACAGAACGAGAGCTCCCTGCGAGCCAAGCCGAGCGAGATACACAGATGCAAATTGACTTTTATCAATATCATCGCACATCTAGCGCATGTCCTAGATGTGTTCCTGAGCATGGTCTTGAACAATTGAGCCCGCTTCTTGAGCAACGGCGCGTCCAATCTTTAGATCAATCTCGGCGTCAGTTGCTTCTTGTGACGACCCGACTTGGTCCCCTAGACAAGCTGAATCAAAGACGCATTTGCGGGGAAACATGAAGATAGTGTACCCTCCTTGACCATGTATCCCAAAGATCCCCGTTTTGCCATCTAAATCCCACTAGATGCGAAGCACTTGGTATGCTAGCTTGTGCTTTCGTGGTAACCAGGCAGTCTATCCAGAACGATCGGACCAAGTCAGTCGCAATCATATGCATAATCTTGTACATTGCTGACGAACTAGATCTCAAGCCATCATTGTCAGCCACATTGTCCTATTCCAACCGTAGCGCCTCTTCATCCAAAACCCCAAAGAGCTCCTCCACATCGCTCAGCAACTTCTGAATGCCAATGTTCAGCTGGCCCGTCACCAGCGCATACGTATACAGCAGGCTGTAGTCTTCGTCACTGGTCCTCTGCTCCTGGGCATCGCTCCGCCGATATGCAAAGACCTTGGCCAGCAGCCTGTCTCGGGTGTGCTCGATGTTGGGCAACGCGTGGGCATCGCCGGAGATGGCGTATTCGAGCTTCATGGAGGAAGCGAGGACGTTGAACAGGTGGCTGATGCGCCCACAGAGCTGGGCGCGCTCTTGCGCGGTGGCTCGTAGCAGTAGCTCTTCGCCGGGAGAGGCCTGTGGGTCCTTCAGGATCACCTCGTTCATGGCGTGGAATGCGCCCAGGATCTGGTCGGTGTTCTTCAGGATCCGAGCATACGTCGCGTGCGGGAACGGTCGGCGCAAGTCGAATTCGGATTTCGACGCGTCCGCGAGGCCTTGCAGTGTCGACAGGAACTGCTGGAGGTAAAACTCCTCCCTGAGATGCATGTACCTGTGCGAATCGATCTCTCCCGTCAGCGTCGACAGTGGGTCTCGTTTCCAGATCAATCCCATCCGGAGCCAGAGTAGCGAGATTCCATCTTTGAGCTTTTGCCGTGCCGAGCTGGGCCAGATCATCCGCGTGATGATGAGGCCCCATATGCAGCCTGATATCACTGCTGCGACCCGGTGTCCGGCAATAGGGATTATCAAGGGGTTGTTCTTGGAGTCTTCTTCGTCTCCGTCGTTGTCATCGTCCAGAGCGCTGAGACTGTAGGCATACAGCGCACTTAAATTATAAGTGAGCATGATGAATCGCCCCATCGGTCCTTTACCTTTCCCAATGATGATGTATGCGGTCCAGTATGCCATGCAGAAGCCAAAGAACGCCATCGCGAACGGGTCGCCTCTAGCGATCTCCCATGCAGCGATGGCGAGGACAGCTCCCAGGCAAGTACCTAGGATGCGTGAATAGCCTGTGGTGTTTGACGCTCCTATCGTCATGCTGCAAACTAACATATATGACACGAGGCCCCATTCTCCCCGCCAGTGTGAATAGAACGGCCTGGTGGTAGGGACAAAGCTGATTGACGCGTACAGCATCGCACCCAATCCGACCTTGATTGCGAACTTAATATCATCCCGTCGAAAGAAGGAGGCAGCGTCGTAGAATCTTTGAAACATGGCCTGCTTGAATCGCGATCGCTCTGGCCACGCCGGTCGAGCATACAGGCTCGGTTTCCTTAACGAGGCTGCTGTCACTTGAAGGTTGAGCATATTAGCTCTATCAAGAACCTCGACGAAGTCAGGATCAAGGCCATCGAGATGCTTTTTCTCGTCTGTGTGTTTCCAGAATTTCAACCAGGTCCATGTCCTGCCGGATGGTGATTCGTCCACTTCTAGCTGCAGTTCGTCGAGGATGATCAAATAGTCCCTGACAGACTCTGCAACTTGAACCAGAGAAAATGAGAAATGGCCACAGCAAGCTGCGGCATCCTCCCAATCGGCTTGAACAGGAATTGGCCGAGACCTGTCCATATCCTTCTGCCCGTAGACAATATCAAGGGACGCTTTACGAGAGGTCTTATACAGCTCCAGAGCACGTTCCAAACTGCCTTTAAACTTGGGGTTTGTCACTACCTGGTAGTGATTGGATGCATCAAATGGAAAATCGTCCAGAATCTCCTTGAGTGTGAACGCTAGCGATCTCATAGAAGGGCCCAGGTTCTGAATGAAAAGCTCGAATATCTGAGCAGGTGTGCGGAACTTTTGACGTTCCTCAGTGTGTGGGCGGCTGCCTGCGGTATCACCTACGGGTGCGTTGAGGCCAAAGTAATCGAGCACGCTTTGATTAGTAGCACTAGTTCTTGAGGTCGAGAAAGTATTAAAGACCGCTGGGGAATAGCCGGCCATATCGGCCGACCGCGGACCTGTCCCAAAGGGAGGCTCCCTGACGACCACGAATTGCATGGCTGCTGCACTCCGCAAGCCTCCAATACTCTGGGAGATCCTTTGAATACAGTGTGCGAGCTTCGTCTCAACGGACGCTTGGCGTTCAGTTCCAAACAAGTAATGTTCATATCTGGACTCTTTCAGACTCTGGTCAATAGAGGCCGAGAGCTTCTTGTGGCGGTCACTGACACCTGCAAGAACATTATCCTCCAACTCAGATTCATCGCCGGACAAGAAACTACTAGTTATAAGGGCCAGCATATCAGAAAGTGCGTCAGTGGCTCCCAACAGGTTTTTCCTGAGCCGGAAACGGGCGGAGATGGGAAAGATCAGAAACGAGACGAGCATTGTGGCAGTGACACCGGTAGCAATCATCTTGAGGATTTGTGAGATCTTTTCTACCGAATAGTCGCCCGCCTGAACGGCGCCTTCTTTTGTGAGGATGGTGATCAGGGCAAGCGATGCGAGTGAACAACCAATGTTCACCAACGCGTCATTCCGTTTTAGTTTGATCCAGCCCACAAGGCCAAGGCCACCTCCGACAAAGACAACCAACACGATTGCGTGGCCGATTTTGATGAGATGGACTGTATCAGCAAAGAATGCAGATACGGTCATACTCAAAAGCGAAACCAAGGCAGTATAGAGAAAAGCCGTGCTGGCCACAAGCAAGGCGTCGAGCATGCTCCCGAGGGATCTTGCAGGGTGGAAATACACTGTAATAGTAGCCACCATATGTTTCGAGTCTTGTTTTCCCAGCAGCCGGCTTATTTGAGGGACGAACGTTGCGAGACTTCCCAAGACATACGCAACTGCACATTTAAAAATGGATTTACCGACGTCCGAAAGGATGAACTTCCTTGTCTTGATAGCGCAGTCCCGTGTCCAACCCACTAGCCTTGTCGACTTGGGTGGCAATGTTACTGGATAGTCCCTTCCCTGGAATGAGAGAAGAGGAGTGGTGTCGAGTGCATGCTCAGCTTGGGGTTCATCCTCGTTGTCATAGTTGACATCCTCGACATCGTATGTGTGGAGGGTGAAAGTTCTATCGAGCTTGGCCCCGGTGGATGGGTCGATGTAGGATGAGAAGCGCAACTTCATATCATTTGGGTCAGTAAAGAGGCTTGCCGCAGGTGGAAATTGTATCTCACGCTCGCCCTAGGATTGATGCCATCATGTTGGGGACCAGCCGAAGTCATGCTGATCAATGGAAGCGGACCGAGGCCTGGACAGCAGGCTCCTCATGTGATGTAAACCATCCCGACACAAGAAGTAATTACAGAAACATGAATGGAGCCCACAACGCTCATTCGATCAAGGTGAGGTGTGTTGTTTAATTGTCCACATGGGCTTGAGGTTGATGCTGCTTTAAATCGTGTTGATAATGGGGCGTCGGTGAAAAGAAAGAGCGAGGCCGAGCCTTGTGCGTCCCATGGCCATCGTGGCTTTCAAAAAACATTCTCGACTTCCAGGGCCGAAGGGTCGAGCTGTTATGTTTATTGCTGTTACCCTGGGAGACTAGCTAGCTAATAAAATGTTGACCAGTTGGCCGCAGGCTGGTGATACATAAGAAATGAGGCTTAAATCTTGGGACTATCGGGTTGACTTTGGTTCACGGGTTGGGTCTAGGTGGGCGCGAACTCCAATCTAGCCCTTCGGTGGCTTCAACCCAGCTAAACCAATTCACATCACCGCCCAGATCCATGTTGATATCCATGTCATCCGCACCTACATTGAGGAACGGATCCTGTGCGGTATCGCTGCCATCCCATAACCACGCTACTGGACCCGGCGCCTCCAATGGAAGGATATTGGACCAGTCTGAGGGCGCTGGCGCTATGACAAAAGGGTTGTCCGATGGCCGGCCGGTCTGGGCCCACACTGATTCGTTGGAATTCTGGAGGGGGGGCCCTGGCGCCCTAGGTCCCATGTTGGGTGTTTCCTGACTCTGTCCAGCGGTCTGCCCTTCTGTACCAGAATACAGCAGATTGAAATTGGCATTAGGAGTGAAATAGCCGGGCTGAGACGAGAAAGGGGGATCTTGGGTTGGGGGGCAAGTGCAGGTTGTACGCGCTGATAGATCACAGGGCTCTTTGTTGGACGTTTCGCCATGAAGTGTTTCTGGTGAGGGTCTTTCTGGATTTGCCACAAGCCGGAGCCACCGTTGCCTGAACTGGTCGGCTGTAGACGCAGATTGCGAAAGTCCTGAACTTGTTGGCAATGGAATACCTTTTCCTAGCAAGTCCAATCGAGCAACTGCCTCCGGATCGGCTCGCAGCCGACTGAGCTCGGTCAGACGATGCTTGCGGGCTGTGGCCATTAACCTCCGGAACGGAACCCAAATGCGCAGGTTTTTGTTCGCGAGGGTTCGGATGGGGAACAGCCAGCTGCTGTGGAGGGCGACCCATCCCCTTTCACTAGTCGAGGACCACGGGCGCCGAGAGATCTCGATCATGAGATAAATGATTGCATACCAATGGGAATAGATCTGAAAGATCCAGCGCCACTTCCGACATCCTTCTTCAGCATTGAGAGCGTGGTTGTACTCGATGACCTCGATGGACGAGATCATCAACTTGGTTCTTAGCTCGTCGGAAAATTGCTCGCTTGGTTCGGAGAAGAGGACGGGGAGGAACATCATTAACCTCAGCTTGGCCATTACAAGCCGCGCAATGGTGGCCGAAACCCAATAAAGAATGTTCCCTGCCTCACTCGTATATCGGAGGTAACCATCCTCGAATTTCTTGTAGATCTCGTTGACCAGACGGTTTTGTTCTCCTAAATCAAATCCGTCGGTGCTCACCTTAGAGGCCAGGAGCTGTTTTGTGACATCGCATAATCCAGCAGTTATATAGGCAAATGACATATCGGTCACACCTTCGCGCTCTGTGGGCATCTGCCTAGTACCTGTATCCAAATCTGCATCGTTAATATTGAGGGGAAACTTTGTGTCGGAGCTCCCGTGTTTGATCGCGAGATCTGTTCCTTGATCCTCCGAGGCCTTTAGATCGAGATTGCAGACGGCCCACCAAACTCTTCGTCGCATTTCGATTTCATACGGAGTTAGACTTTCGAAATTGCTTCCGTCCCGCTGTAGGCCAAGGTACTGGGCCATCCTAATGACAAGTCCAGTCATCATCCACACATACCTCGGGCTATCGTGTCGGCCAGCCAGGCATAGAAACACTGTGAGAGCCTGAACGATGGTGATTTCGGGAGCATTCAGAAAATCGGCTTTCGCGAGAGCATGCTCGAGGCCGATGCGATACCTGAGATTGAGGTCTGACTTTGAGCATCCGAAATTGGTCATTACCTGTTGAGATTCGTCAACAAATTCCTAAGTACGATGATCTTCTTCCAGTCAAAGAAGTCTCATGGATCTCATCCCCGGGCAACTCACATCATCTTCCTCCATAGCGGTCACCGTTGCGTAGTAGATCGAAAACATCAGAGCCTCATTGGCTGGCGTCAAGCTTGTCAAATCAGCATTGTTCAACTCGCGAACGATCTTCCTAACTGTTGGAACATGAACGATCTGGAGCATAAAATTGACATTTTCGGCAAAATTGTCTATTATAAACGGGACCTGCGATGGCAGTGGGTGAAATTCGCGCAGGTCGTGAGTTGAAGGATCCAGATTGTGTCGAAATAGAAATGCGTTCCGCTCCCACGGTGTCCGCGCTAGTTCGCGTGTTGGGTGTGATAATGCAGGTGGCTCCTCGCCGTCTGAGCTGTCGGAGTCGCCTCCCGCCAGCTCGGAAAAGCTCATTTTGAGCTCATTCAGCTGCAAAGACATCGTGAGCGGTCAGGTCAGAGCAACAGTAGGATTGAAGCAGATTTACAAACCTCATCGTTGACTCGGGACCAGAAGCCACTGCTCACGTAGTGGCTACGGTTGGAGTCACGTAGAACAAGACGGCCGAATTGTAAGTGGCCGTCGTCGGCGCTTGCAGCCTGAGATGAATCCACGCCGTGATCTACATCGGTGCCTTTCTGAGGTCTCCCGGGAGAATTAGGTCTAGACGACGCAGCCCTAGCTGAGCTGAACGCAGCTTGTGCCTGTCCGAGCTGGGCACTCAGCTCTTTGACCAGCGCTTCAAGACTTTGTAATTTTTGCGTGAGGTCACCAAAGGCTGGTTTGGCATCCATGGATGCCCGAGCATCTGAACTTGGGGGATTGGTGTTATTAGTGAAGCGTTCGAGGCGACGAGTCCATCTTGGTGGACGATTGTTTGAGGGGAAGACACAAGGGATATTGGCCCGGCTGCAGTTGGAACATGGTGACTGCTTGTCACAGCGCACCTTGCGGCTACGACATACGATGCAACTGCGTGGCTTCGCGGTCAGGGTGTCTGATATGGGAGCCTTGCCCAGCACGGCCGAGCTCGCGTCTTTTTCGCGCTCAGGGCCAGATCCAGATGCCGATACTGTGGAGTCCGGGGCCAGGGACATGGTGACGGCGATATTGAAAACCCAGTTGTCCAGGGTGACTGCTTCTCATCCGATGGCATCACTACACCCTCATATCGGGGTCGAGAGATGGAATCTCGCGCCAGTGCCGATTCCTTGAGACCATCAGAGGCGGAGAGTTCGTAGTTAGGAGTCAGGTTCCACTCTCGCACCCACTCCCACCATGCATTGTGCCCTTGGCTCGAAGTGTGGCTTGCTGCCTAAGCTGCACACGGTCTGCTGGGGTCGGTTACCTCAGCGTCTGGAGCAATCCTTGCGACCAGTTACGACTCAGGGATGGAGGACGGGGTAATTAGTCGTTGGGCTTATCATGACCTAACATAATAATCGCCAACAGTTGAGATGAGTTGGGCCTTTAAGGCGTCCCATATACGATGCCAAGTTGAGTCCGAGTCATGCGCGAGACCGGACCGAGAATGCTTGTACAGCGGCACCCAAGGGGCACTCCAGCGGCATGGGTCGATTCACCTCGTGCCACTATGGCCATATATATGTGCAGCATCAAGCAACTCTGTCGCCTGCTGAATTGGCCAGCGAGTTCTAACTTTGATACTCTACTCTGGTTCAAAACACCCCGAATCCATCTAGTTGCCCATACGCTGCGCATCCAAATTGCATCTTGAACATTTTCGCGCTTGGATCCTCGTACTTGACCATGGAAGCCGGGTGCCAAGAATGCATCTCGGTATGATATCTTTCCACGATTCTTGTACAGCCCCTTCTAACCCGACTCCTCAGGGCACGATCCACAAAGGCTTGCCCAAGGGCAAGGAAGAAACAATTCATGGGCTGAATACATATGTGATTGGTAATCGCGAGAACCCGAGGGGCATCATCGTCATCTACTCAGATATCTTTGGCCTTTCCTTGCCAAACAACAAACTCATCGCCGATGGATATGCCAAAAGCGGCGAGTGGCTCGTCTACCTTCCAGACTTCTTCAAGGGCGATACCGTATCGCTGAAGTTTGCCGATGTGGCGATTCCAGTTGACGCAGCCAAGCAGTCAACTTTGGCAAAGTATACCGGCTTGCTAGCCAGCGCACCTTCGCTTGTAATGTGGTTAGCAAGGCATAAGCAAGGACCCACGAACAAAATCTGCATGGAGTTCTTGGAGGCATTGAGACGGGCAACCCCTGGAACTCGGAAGATCGGGATAAGTGGAATGTGTTGGGGTGGAAGGTATGCGCTCCGTGCCGGGCTCGAGAGCCATATGATTGATCTCGACGGCCAAAAGGTGCCGCTTGTGGACGCAGTGGTTGCGATGCACCCAAGTAATCTTGTGCTTGAGGATGATGTCAACCCTTTGGTTGTTCCTGCTAGTATTGGTTGGGGTTTGGAGGATGAGGCTGTGAAGATTGAGACGAAAAGCAAAGTGGAGGAGATCCATCAGAGAGCGAAGAAGGCAGGAAAGAAAGTGCCGGAAATAGAGCACAGGATCTATAAGCCTGGGAGGCATGGCTTTTCAGTGAGAGGCAACCCAGACGACCCTCAAGAGAGAGCCTGCCTGGAGGACTCTGAGAAACAGGCGTTGGATTGGTTTCAGCGTTGGCTTTGAGGGATCCTCCACAATACCTTCTTCAATCAGGTAGCAGATGTATGGAATCCGAGGACCTTTGAGAGTCGGGCTGGAAGGAGGACAGGAATAACCACCTCGGATCTGAGATGATACAATGGAAAGAAACAATGTGTCTCGACTCTCGACTCTCGAGCGAGAGGAATGAATATATTCCAGAGCCGTGCGCAGCACAATCATTTCTGACGATGGAGGAAGTGCCAGGCTTTTTCCCACCCAAGGTACTTACATGTATTGTTGAAAGCGCCGAAGGCGTTGATGGAGTTGCTGCCGGAAACGTGCGGTGACTCTGGCGAGAAAGACTCAAGGCGTTGAGGTCCTGGTGGGCACCGTGGGTTGAGCGGCCGCTATTAGTCATCCAGGTCGCCGGTGCCACGTGGGTGCCACGATGCCGCCCACCGCTGTCAAGTACGAGTAGTGGCATTGCAAGGCTACGGGGAGGACTGCGTCACTTGCACGACGAGATGCCAGGTGGAGGGCGCCCCTGATATCTTAGATAATCAGGCACTATCTCGTCATCAATACGAGGTTTTGGAGTGATGTTGACACCTCTTAGATAGCAAACTCCCTCTTTCCACTTTGGGTAATTTTGCATTTTGTTTTCGAGGCCGGCGCCCTAGCTGGGAACAGATGTGCCTCGGAGACTGCAGTGCTCCACGTCTCTCGATCACAATAGGTAGGGCCAACAGAATGCTCCAATGAAAGCATAGGAGGGTGCTTCCACGCTTGGTCATGCCATCTCTCGCGCTGTCATACTCCCTGTGTACGTATGCCTGTGGTACCTAACAGGAAATCGTTCTCTGGCCGTGAGCAGGCTGGTGGAGGTGGACTGATGCGGCTTGATTATCAATCGAAGACGGGAGACTCAATTCATGAGGAATGAGAACATGGGTTCGAGGCAAGAAGAGTTGATCCCAGTGAGGGTGACGGCAATAAATAAAGGCAGGATCTCCCAATTCTCAAGACATGCAGTCACCGTGTCAAAAGCCTCAAAGCCATTCAGCTCTCCCAGATTTTCAAGAAATAACACCAATCATGGGGATCGACTTCACAGTATACAAAGGCTCGAAATCTGGAGACATTGTTGAAGCGCAAGGGCATCGCGACGCTGGACCAACAGAAGCACTCATCGCACTCAGTCATTGCGGTGTTTGTGGAACCGATGAGCATTACCGACATGCAGACCAAGGATTAGGGCATGAGGGCGTGGGCATCATTACTGAGATAGGATCGCTGGTGCCGCAAATCTCGGACCTGAAGGTTGGCGACAGGGTCGGGATGGGATGGATGCAAAGGACTTGCGGGCATTGCAAGCCTTGCTTGACAGGCATGTATTCCTTCATCGAGGGTCTGCAAAGCCAATTCGGCTGCTAACCTCAGCGCAGGGCAACAATTCAAGTGCGTCAATTCCCAGCAATTTGGATTCGCCAACTGGGATGAAGGGTGCTTTGGGACTGGAGTTGCGTGGGATGTATCTACACTTTTCAAGATACCTGACGCAATCGGCTCCCAACATGCCGGCCCCTTGATGTGCGGAGGTGCAAGTGAGTTCTTAGCTTTTGCCAAACAGACATGGTTACTGATCAGGGATGAACAAAGCCGTATGGGGTCCTCTATACGAGCACAACTTGAAGCCAGGCGATCGAGTCGGCATTGTTGGCATCGGTGGGCTCGGCCACCTAGCCGTTCAGTTTGCCTCGAAGATGGGCTTCGAAGCAGTTGTGTTCTCTGGGACCGATGCCAAGCGGGAGGAAGCCAAAGCATTCGGAGCCTCCGAGTTCTATGCCACCAAAGGAGTTTCAAAGTTTGAAAGCGTCAAGCCAGTGGACGCGTTGTTGATCACAACCTCAGTCCTGCCAGATCTCTCTCAGTAAGTGATGCCCAGGTTAGGATCTGTTCTTGAACACCAGCTGACTGAGTGCAGGTTCATTCCCATCCTTGCACCATTTGCGAAGATCTTCCCCCTTACCATCAGTTTCGATGCCATTCCAGTTCCCGCCCTCGCATTCGTCGTGTCTGGATATCAATTAATCGGTTCGGGCGGGGCTCACACTGCATCACTGAACGCGATGCTGGACTTTGCAGCGAAGCATGACATCAAGCCTACGATTGAGAAATTCCCTCTAACCAAGCAGGGAATAGTCGACGCGATGCAAAAGCTGAGAGATGGGAAGGTCAGATATAGGGGCGTGTTGGAGGTATAATACGATAGATATGTAACATACAGGTAACTCATAGACAAAACATTTCACCCAATAATAAACACCTGGGTGTTTGCTGTACGTTGTACATACTGATGTGTCGACGCCTCCGATACCGTTATCAGACCGACCGCGGAGGAAATGATCCCTCCGACAAGCCGCTAGACTTGGTGCGGTAGTGGGCCCGGGAGAAGGTGCATGCCATGCTGTGGGTGCACTCGCCGTTCTTGCCCTCGGCGATATCTCTAGCATCCGGAACCGCTGCCGCTTAGAGAAGGTGGTTAGGGCGCCCACGAGTCCATAACTAGTAACTACTTTACTCGTACTGTATGAGTACTCTGGACTACTGGCGTCCTCTGGCGCCCATTTGGGGGCGCCTCCACTAATTACTTAGTTCGTACTGTAGTACTGTAGCGAGTACCTCGCAGCCGCTAAGCAACCTAGTCTCTCACCCAACACTAGCATCCCCCCGTTCCAAAAATTTGTATGTACTCGTACCGTGCTTCCTACCTCTTGAACCCTCCACCACCCGTGACTCACCATGCGAATGTGAAATATATAGGTCAGTTTGAGAGCGTCAGAACTACCACTCTCCTATTTTCGCCGCCGTCATCATGGCTGGCCGACGGACGCTTCTGTCACTGAGGTCCCGTACCGTCGCTCCAGTTTGTCGCCTGCAAACCGGCACGTCGTTCCTCGACTCAGTCGCACCCATCTCACGACGCTCAAAATCCACCAACTCAACCTCAGCTTTGGCCTACAAAGCCCTCCATCGAAGGTCGCCACTGCCTCTGCCAGTGTCCGACACCTCTCCCCAGTATGGCGCTGCCGCCGCCGTCTCGTCCATCCTCTATGAGACCCCCGTTGCTTCTCAAGCACCCCCCAAGAAACACGTCCTGAACTGCTTGGTACAAAACGAACCGGGTGTCCTTTCTCGGGTGTCTGGAATTCTTGCAGCCCGAGGCTTCAATATTGATTCCCTGGTCGTTTGTAATACCGAGGTCTCCGATCTCTCTCGAATGACCATCGTCCTGCAAGGACAAGACGGAGTGGTCGAGCAAGCTCGAAGACAATTGGAGGACCTAGTACCGGTGTGGGCTGTCCTGGATTACACTTCTGCTGCCCTGGTGCAGCGCGAGCTGTTGCTGGCCAAGATTTCCATCTTGGGCCCTGAGGTCTACGAAGAACTTATGGAGCATCATCGAGAGATCACGAGCCCAGAGAGCGAGTACGGCACTGAGCAGGTCGAAAACGCCGAAGAAAACGCCGAGAGAAGGCTCCAGGAGCTGGAAGAGGGCAAGCCTGATGAGCAATCTCTGATGCAACGAGCTCGTGAGATGATCGGACAAGGTTCAAGCTATCACCCCAGCCGTCTTGCTGCCAGTCAGGCTCTTCGTCACAAGCATGAGCATCTTGAGGCCATCACCCATCTTACCCATCAATTTGGTGGCAAGGTTCTTGACATCAGCACGAATAACTGCATTGTGGAAGTGTAAGTCATGATTTGGGCATACATGTCTGGGAGGTATAATCGCTAACAGGCATAAAGATCAGCAAAGCCCAGTCGAATCGACTCTTTTGTGAAATTGATCGCACCCTTTGGCATTCTTGAGTCGACTAGGACCGGTCTCATGGCTCTGCCTCGTTCTCCCTTGTACGGGCCAGATGAGGATCTACAACGCGATGCTGACGAAGTTGTGGATGCGAGTGCCCTTCCTCCTGGCTAAGAAATGATTGAATGCCTTAGGAAGCAACTTTTTGGCGCCCTGGTGGGTGCTTCTGGTCATTGGAGTACGTTGCGTCTGTAAAGCAGATGTTGGGCACTCGATGTGCAAATGAACAAAGAGAAACACATGCCCAGTTGCAGACAGACTAATACTAAAGAAAAAAAGCTTAATTGTCATTCAACATTTCTGGCTATTGGTATCGTAGATTATGTCGTAACATGTCGTCTGAGATCGTGTTGCTTGGGTTGGTTGTCGCAGCCCAAAACATTGGTACTAAAGCAGTGATATCAAGCCACTTTTCAACCAGTACGGATTGTATCTAGTACCTCTCCGGCTTATGTCACAACGCCCCAACATGCTTCCATGAACATAGCTACAAGACGGGCACACTCCGGTCTCTGTGCCTTTGCCCCTCGTGCCTACTCATCTATATCCATGGTAGATATTCTGTGATTCGAATGGGTGTTTGTAAGCGACTGGACCCATCGGGACGTGCTGGGATGGTGCCCGCGCTATATAGGATGGAGACCCATGAACAGAAACAGCCCTTTTGTTTTTCAACATGCGATAAGAAAACCAGACACCAATGCTCGTGGCGATGAAGCCGCATACACCCACAATAATGCCCACCAGTTCGGAGGTCGAGAGGAATGGCGTGGATTTGTTGCTCGAGGAGCTCGACGTGGATGATGTCGAGGCGGGTGGTGGTGGGTTGGTCTGCAAAGGACCATTTGTCTTGCTGGAGGCCGTTCCTACGGATGGTAAATGCTAGTCAGTCTTTAGTTTTAAGGAATAGCGGGTGTGTCTGTCATCAGAGTTTCCCAAGGTGGTGTCTCAATCAATCATAATGATGACTTCATACAGCCATTCAATACGACTTTGGGAAACACGGGTCAAAGTTAGAAAGGCAAATCACGTCCACATACCCGAATTGCCTTGCGTGGCAGTAGTCTCCACTGCACGGTTGAACCCGGCAGCTGTGCAGTAGCTGTCGTAGATACTGACGGCACTGCTTACATCAATCGTGTTTCTCGAACAATACTCGTAGACACAGCTCTGGATGAAGGCGTCTGCATCGTCCTGAAGATCTGCGCGGCAGAAGCAGTCGTTTTCAATCGGATCGACTGCGCAATCCAGAGCATCGGCAAGCCGATCAGGTCCCCCACCGCTTGCAAATCCGACGTAAAAGCATTGTGTCGCGCAGCTCCGCTGTGATTGATATGCGGGGAGGTTGGTCAGTGTGACTGTTACAGCCGATATATGTTGCACCAGAGCAAGAGCGAGGATGGGCAAGAAGGTTGTCCTGGTAGCTCTCGCCGACATTGTGGCGATATCCAAATCCCCTCCTAATGCAAGTACAGTATTAGAATCGAGAAGGAGTTGAACGAACGGTCATTGTTGCAGCTGGCCGGAGTCAACCAGCTGTCCTAGGTAGGGAGGCCGTTCCCATCATGACCAGCATTGTGAGCAAGGACTAGGGTAGAATGCATGCCGCCATTTCCTACCGCAAGTATAGCACCAGATGAGAGGGACGTTTCACTTGGTATGGATTTGCGCAATGACTGGTTCATCGACTGGGCAAGGAATCGAGTCGAGCAGGGTGGGTGGGCCAGTTGTACTCGGGACGAATTACACAGAGGACTACTGGCCGAGGGGAGAAAGTTGATCTCGACTGAAAGTTGACGACCTGGCAGGCTGTTACATACCCCTGGTTCGGTAGACACCCTGGACCCGAATACGAGGATGCCAGGATTGCGCATGTCTCGTATATCGTCTGTGTACCTGAGTATCAACTGTGCTCCGTAGTAACGAAGCGATCACAAAGGTTTGTAATGAAGCTTTCAAACCCGTGCTTGGCCTAAGCGGCGCGAAACGATCAACGCAGTCCTGAGTCGCCGAGACTGAGCAATCGAATGAGAAGACGATGAAAAGAGTGTGTTGATCGCCAAGAGAACGAGGCGCTGGGGGCCATGAATGATGGCGCGAAGTAGCTAATGCAGATGGAATCCGAAGCAAGCAGGAGAGGCGACTCGTTAACGATTGGTACTCTGATGGGTGCTGGATGTACCCTTGCTGTCCAGTCCAGACGGTAATCGAGGAGCATGTGGTCCATAAGTTGAGCTTACCTAGGCAGTTGGTGACTCCAGTCTTGGATGTGTCTCCCCATGGTAGGCCTATATATAAGGGGAGCCTCAATCCTAGGTTGTACATAGTGCCAGTTCGCGGGGAATGCCTACCTACCTACAACCATGAGGTGCACCTGGTATACCTGAGTGTGCAGTCTACAGCACCTCATACTGCTGATACTACTCCTGGAGGGTCTGAATGTGCCTGACTCTGATCACATTTTCTGGATTTGTGGTGCGAGAGTTCACAAGTCGGATATTGAGGGCCAAACCTCTTCTCTTTCGTCATGACCCAACTGAAGCGGCAGCCTAACTGATCTAGGGCTCTAGGCCAGTTGCCGAACGGATTAGCGTGCTTCTTGATTGGCCCAGTGCGTTTGTTGATGGGGTGCTTATTTGATTAGCCTCTCTCCGATACTAACTCCCCGCCCTCCTCCCATGGTCTTGTCCTGTTACCACGTTCTTACCGCTTCTCGAGCAGCTCAATCACTCACTTCAAGTCACTTCGATATAGAATCCGAGGCCGCATGGTTTGATGTGACTGCCTCTCTCTCAACATGACAGATCTCATTCAGCAGCTTTTCCCTCCTACACCACGAGCATTCCACCTGCTGTTCAACTTTTTCCGGGTATTCCCACTGGTAAGTACCCTAAAGTGTGGAGGTACTCAAGTACCTTTGTACACATTCTCCCTCTGATCTCTCAGCTGATTTGACGGCAGCTCTCTCTGTTACAATGGACGCCGCTCCAGAACTTCCAAGCCATGGGAAAGACTTCTTCCACATCAAGACTCAATCTTCCAGGGAGATATGCATGGGCCGCAGCTGAGTCAATTGGGCCTTTCAACCTAACTTACATCCTCTGCACGCTGCCGTCTAAATTGAAGCCATCTCTCCATTCCTCCTCGAGCATCTTCGGCACTGGACTTCCTGTGCAGAGCGAGATCCTGGGATGTCTGTATCTCTTACACTATCTGAACCGTGCAGTTGTGTCTCCATTGTTCCTAGCCCCGAGCATGTCTCCAATTCATCCAATTGTTTCTGCATTGATGAGCATCTTTCAGTTCGTCAATTCCAGTAATATCGCCTGTTGGCTTACCTACACGGTGGCCTCGGCAGACTTCCGACAGCAACCTCTGATTTCGTTTGGCTCAGTGGTGGGGATAGCACTATTCCTTGGTGGGCTCGTCGGCAATATCAAGGCGGAAACAAAGCTGTTCGAGCTGCGGAAGGGTGCGGCTAAACGCAAGGCTAGATCTGAAGGCAAAGCGGAAGTCACTTACGACAAAGTCTACGTGATTCCTCCTGTAGAGGGTATGTTCAGAACCATCTTGTTTCCACACTACGTTCTGGAGTGGCTCGAATGGATTGGATTCTGGATTCTGGGAGGATCCTGGGGGCTAGGATATGGCTATTCGAGTCCAGCATTGTGGTTTGTCCTGGTGGAAATCGCAACCATGCTTCCAAGGGCGGGGTCAGGGCGCCAGTGGTATGAGCAGAAGTTTGGGAAACGAGCGGTGGCTGGCAGGGCCGGAGCGATTCCAGGCTTGCTGTGACCGTTCAAGCTGTGCTTTGGTTGGCTCCGGAGAGTTTTGCTGACTCTGGTGGGAATTGTACCATAGCAGAATCCGAGTCACGTAAGAATTTGGGTCGAATCAAGAGATGAATACCAAACACAGATGTGGTGCAAGCCTCGAGCAACATTCCAACCAGAGCAAACAATTACATCAGCGTTTGCTTCCTCCGGAAAGAGGCAGGTAAACACCAGTAAATGTACAACGTCGGACGAGGTACCAGTTTTATCTCTCCGGCAGTCAAGCCGAAGTCGTCCTTCGCGTGAGGATTTCTGTGATGCAGGAACAAACACTGGGGGCAAGCTGAAAAGTGAGCCAGATTTGCCAATGAGGCCGCTATGAAGGTTGTAATAGGCGATGCTTCGGCGACACGCAGGGCCCCGAGGTTCCCCAGAGGCCGAGGGCCACCCGACGACTATCAAACCTACCTGGGTCCTGCAGCGTATGGGCTAGCACGGCTTAACTAGACAATACCGGGACCTGAAAGCTTGGAGGGGCTAAAGCACAAGTTTGGAGGGGCAGGCCGCCATGGTCCAGCAGCCAGCAGCCCTCAACCATCAACCGCCAAGGACAACCAATTCGGGGTCGGAAGTGCGAGGAGAGCCACCACTGGGCAACACCATGCAATGCAATGCAATTATTATCTAGTCAGTTTACTGCATCCTCCGTGCACGCCATTTCCATCCCAGATAAAATTTCCAAAGTCTGCGTCTGTCCGTCCACGCCCCTCCATCCTCCATCCTCCATCCTTCAACCTCGCTTTGATACCTCTCACCGCTTGTCACACTTTCTCTCCCCATTTCACTGCAATTCTCTTCGAATTTCCCTTTATCTTCCTCCCCCTTCTTCTTCACCCACTTGTATAACCTCATCCTGCGTTCCCGTCCGAGACTTGTCACCGGACTTTCCACAAGATGGTCCAATCGTGAGTCATTCCCTACGCTGACGCTGTCGAGATTGTTATTGACTTCCTCTCCAGATCCATCCTCGGTTTCCCTCGCATTGGGCCGAACCGTGAGCTCAAGAAAGCAACCGAAGCATACTGGGCTGGCAAACTCTCACAAGATGACCTTCTCAAGGAGGGAAAGAGATTGAGACTGGAGCATTGGAAGATCCAGAAGGCTGCGGGTATCGACATTATCCCAAGCAATGACTTTGCATTTTACGACCAAGTCTTGAGCCAGATCCAGCTCTTTGGGGTTGTCCCCGAGCGATACACCAAGTATAACTTGGACCCCATTGATGAATACTTCGCCATGGGCCGAGGTCTCCAGAGACCAGCTGCCGATGGAAAGTCTGCAGTCGACGTGCCTGCCTTGGTGAGATCCTACACTGGCGGTTTTATGGTGTTGTATTGACCGAACATATCTAGGAAATGGTGAAATGGTTTGACTCCAACTACCACTACGTCAAGCCAACTCTCCAGGACAACCAAGTGTTCAAACTTGCTTCCAACCCCAAACCCGTCGTCGAATTCCTCGAAGCAAAAGAGGCAGGCATCACAACCCGCCCCGTCCTTCTTGGCCCAGTTTCCTTCCTCCACCTTGGCAAGGCTGATCGTGGCCAATCCATTGATCCTATCTCTGCCCTGGACAAGCTCCTGCCCCTCTATGAGGATCTACTCAAACAACTGAAAGATGCTGGTGCTGAAACTGTCCAAATTGACGAGCCCATCTTGGTTTTTGACCTACCAGCCAAGGTCAAGGCCGCCTTCAAGCCCGCATACGAGAAGCTCGGCTCGCTTGGATCTAACGGCCCAAAGATCGTTCTTGCGACGTACTTTGGAGATATTGTCCACAACATCGACGTGCTTGAGGCCGTGAAAAACCTCTACGCCATCCACGTCGACCTGGTTCGTAACCCAGAGCAGCTCGAAACCGTCATCTCGGCATTGGGCCCGCAACAAGTCCTCTCAGCCGGTGTTGTTGATGGACGGAACATCTGGAAGACAAACTTCAAACGCGCTATCGAAACCGTCGAGTCTGCCATTCAGAAGTTGGGCAAGGAGAGAGTCATTGTTGCCAGTTCCAGCTCTCTTCTACATACTCCCCATACCCTCACCAGCGAGAAGTATCTTGACCCCGAGATTGCCGACTGGTTCAGCTTTGCCCACGAGAAAACCGTGGAAATTGCTACCATTGCAAAGGCTGTGACCGAAGGACCCGCGTCAGTCCGAGATGCTCTCGAGGCCAATGCCAAGTCCATGCAAGCTCGTGCCTCGTCCAAGCGTACAAATGATCAAGCTGTCAAAGAGAGACAAAGTAATGTGACACCCGAGATGCACAATCGCAAGTCTGAATTCCCTGCTCGTATTGCCGCCCAGCAGAAGCGACTCGACTTGCCATTGTTCCCTACCACGACTATTGGCTCATTCCCACAGACCAAGGAGATCCGGATTCAACGTAGCAAATTCACCAAGGGCGAAATCACTGCTGAGGAATATGAAAAGTTCATCGAGAAGGAGATTCAAGATGTCGTCAAGATCCAGGACGAACTGGGTCTCGATGTGTATGTCCATGGCGAACCCGAGCGTAATGACATGGTGCAATACTTCGGTGAACGTCTCAACGGCTACGCATTCACCACCAACGGATGGGTGCAATCATATGGTTCTCGATGTGTGCGACCCCCGATTGTCGTTGGTGATATCTCGCGACCCGCTCCAATGACTGTCAAGGAATCCAAGTATGCAGCATCCATCTCGAAGAAGCCAATGAAGGGTATGCTCACCGGCCCCATCACTTGCTTGAGATGGTCGTTTCCTCGTGATGATGTTCACCAGTCGGTTCAAGCTCAGCAACTTGCCCTTGCTCTTCGGGACGAGGTTGTTGATCTGGAGAAGGCTGGTGTCTACGTCATCCAAGTCGATGAGCCAGCGCTCCGTGAAGGTCTCCCCCTCCGGACAGGCAAGGAGCGCACCAACTATTTGAAGTGGGCGGTTGATTCGTTCCGCCTTTCAACAGCGGGAGTCGAGGATGGCACCCAGATTCACAGTCACTTCTGCTACTCGGAATTCCAGGACTTCTTCTATGCCATCGCAGCACTAGATGCCGATGTGTTATCGATCGAGAACAGCAAGTCTGACGCCAAGCTGCTCAAGGTCTTTGTGGACGAGGCATACCCTCGCCACATTGGACCCGGCGTTTACGATATTCACTCACCTCGTGTTCCTTCGGAGCAAGAGATACACGACCGAATCCAGGAAATGTTGGCATTTTTGAAGCCTGAGCAGTTGTGGATTGATCCCGACTGCGGCCTCAAGACCCGACAATGGAAGGAAACCAAGGCTGCCTTGACCAACATGGTCAACGCGGCCAAGAGTTTCCGTGCTCAGTATGTTAAGTAATTTGTGGATTACTGAAAACAATTTCAGGGGGTTCGAAGTGCTTCTTATCAATCAACCTGATAGGAGCCGCGGCGCATGGTTATAGGCATGGGTGGGGGAACGAATTGATGAAAGAAAAGTGATTTTTCAACATGATACCACGATAGCATGGGAGGGCTGGCAAAAGTCGATCTTAACATCGGCGTTACTTGCTGGCTCCAAAACAGAGAGACGGCGGTGATGATGATGACCCAGGGGACAAAAAGGCATCGATAGGGCTGTCAGGCTTCAGAGCCAGGTGTTTCAACAAACAACACAGATTTGCTAGAGTCTGGATTTCAGGCTTGTTTAAATATAGAAGATATGCAGTCTTCAGATAGATAATTATCAAAGCATTCTCAACGCCAACGCACCGTCAATGAGTGCTTCTCCGACTGAAATCACATTCGTATTGCACGATCGGCACCTGTTGCAGCGCTCGCCGTCATGGTTTGGTCAACAAGGCACACGGATAAAACATGCTCGATTGCTAAGGATTAGCAACTTGGATTCGTGGCGTGGCGGGCTTGCGTGGACCCGGATCCACAGAGAGGAGTGATTACTCCGTCCGAGATATAGCTAGCTATTCATGAACCAGGCGGACTCAGCCACAGACTACTTGTACGAGGTAGGGCAGCCAGGCCATTCATTATCAGGAGAACCTTTGTTCGCCTAGTTAGGTTTTGGAGGTCTTTTTGACTCTGGAGCCTTGCGTGGTCCGCCTGACCAACGACAGGGCTAGTCTTTACGACAAGCGAATTCCCAGTTTTAGTGCTCGTCGTTAGTCTCTTGCTGCGAGGCGTTGCCACGCGGATAAGTTTTCGTTGGTCAACCGCCCTGAGCGGCCATAGGGATGGATTGGCCTCCCTGGAAAAGAATCACAGAAGAACGGGGTGCGCGTGTAGATCACAGAAATCCCAGAAACAGTTGCTCGTCAAGGCCCCTTGCGGGGTGTGGCTTGTGCTTAGATTGGTGACCACCCGCATGTCTCGGTAATGGTGGCTGGTGTGAGGTGCCATTGTGGCAATTATGGCGCAGGAGAGCGATTCAATAGAGAGTAACTCGGACAGAATACTATCCGTGCTCATCAACAAAGGCTCGTCTGGGTTGGGAAGGGCATCTTTTCTTGATTTGAGTAGTCATCGACCGCCGTTAGCTCAATATCCCCTGCCTCCAGCCTCAAAGAAAGAGTCAGAACCCATCATGTTCGTGCTGATGGACAGGGGCAATGCCTAGGTATGCTCAAGAGGGCGCGGCTCACGTGGAGGGCAGAGGGCAGAGGGCAGAGGCTATTTGTGGGTGGGAGGGGCAGGGCAAATTCCGTGGTGTCTGACACCATTTTAAGCCGGAGAGGTCACGAGTGGCCCCCCATCTGTCCGCAAGTGTCCCCCCATTGCTTGTCAGTCAGACGAAACGACTTTTTTCCCTCGCTTAAGGCGTCGTCATACTGTTTGCTCCCCTGAGTCCCTCGTACGAGTACTTCTCACCAACCAAGGCACCCCGGTTTCTTGACTAAGAATTTCATAGCCTCAGCCATCCTCTAAAGTCGTTCAGATCCCATGCCCTGACGAACTGCCTTTTTGCCTTTCCTTTCGCCAGGCTCCTTCCACCAACCAAATCTTCGCACGCGCACCCACCAAATATCCCTCCCTCTCCATCCAAGCCTTCATCTCCATCTCTCATTCATCGTAACGTACAACCGATTCTTCTTGGTCCTCGTCATCCCTCTTAGCCGCCCTCCACTCTGCACACTGGCTTTGCCCTACCAAGCACTGTGTTGAATTTAGACAAAAGAGCCCGGCCCCTGTTGAGAGCGCGCCTGGCGCTGTCCTCCTTGCAAGGCACCCGTCCTCGTGTAACCGACTCCCCGTACTACGCTCAATTTTCTTACATATCAGCTGCCTGTTTCGCCTCTCCACCTTTCTTTCTGTAGCTACTCGTACAACTGCCACCATGGACAATAACCTGAGACGGAAAGATACAACCAAGGGCCCTCCGCTGCGCATCTTGTCTTTGGGTGAGTTAGCGACTGCATGCGCTTTGACAACGAACTTTCCACTGACAAGTCTTTGCAGATGGTGGTGGAGTTCGCGGATACTCCATGCTCCTAATCCTTCAAGAGTTGATGCACAGGTTATACGTCGAATCCGAAGGAAAACCTCCTAGCAGAGATGCAACCCCGAAACCATGCGACTACTTCGACTTGATTGGTGGCACTGGGACCGGTGGCCTCATCGCTATCATGCTGGGGCGATTGCGCCTGGATCTCGAGACTTGCATGGATGTCTATGTTAAGATGACGAGAAGAGTGTTCGAAACCGATAAAACCTTTGCTGGCATTCCCTATAAGCACACTCTGTTCAAGGCTTCGAAACTCGAGGAAGCCATCCGGGAATGTGTCTCTGCGCACACCATCTACGAAGACGAGGGATACGATGGCAGAGGCCGAGAATTCCAAGATTTGACCAGTCCAATCAGTGCTACCAGCTCTGTAGCAGTCCGCCGATCGATGAGTATTAGAAGTACAAATTCGGTCTCAAGCCCCGCCACTCTCCGGAATTCCATTATCTCGCCCAATTTTCCCGGGTTCGGGAATCCTAACGCCACCCTCTACGACGGACGCGAAAACCGAACCAAGACGTAGGTCCTGCTTTCATTGCGTGGTCAATTTCTCAGGCTAACAATAACAGGGCCGTGACAGCCGTCTATAGGGGCACCAATCCCCGAACTGGTTCATCGATTCTTTTGCGAAGTTACGATTCGAGGAGAGAGCCCGCACCCGAGTTTAATTGCACCATCTGGCAAGCCGGTCGAGCAACATGTGCCACTCAACTCGCATTCAAGCCAATCCAGATTGGCCAAACCGTCTTCAGCGACGAAGGTGCAGGAAAGTACAATCCAGTCGCTCAGATCCTGGAGGAAGCAGGGAATGAATGGCCAGCACGCGAAGTCGGTGTTTTCATCAGCGTTGGCACGGGCAAGCGTCCAGCCAATTCCTCCATTCCTGACCATGAATGGTGGGAGGGCTTCCTCGGAGGCTCTGTGGGCACCTTTGCGGAAGGTCGAAGGGTAGGCTCAATCTCCCTACTTGTATAGCTGTTGGATTTGGACGGGGGAATGCTGACGGCATACAACTTGTGCAGAAACTCATCCAAAAAATCGAGGACTGCGAAACGGAGCACCAACGGATGCTCAAAACCGAGCTGACAAGACGTGGTGTGCCAGCCGAGAACTACTTTCGACTAAATGTCGACACAGGTCTCGCAAATCAAGTTGGTAAGTTTTTCACTGCCGGGTTCAACCTCTAGATTGCTGGGCTAGTGCTCTGCGCCCTCGCCGCCCCACTTGAAGCCTTGGATCGTGAGTTTCTCAAAATCATACTTTGTTAACACAACCTTGCAGGGACAAATGAATGGGCTGCCCTCAACGTTGTTACCACCAACACCAGAAAATACCTACAAAAAGCCGATGTTCAGGAAATGCTGAAAGAAGGGGCTCTTAAAATGGCCAGAATCGAACTCATGAAGAGACGACAAGATCGCCGTGCGATAGCAGAGAGCCACAGTCGTGACTCCAGCTGGGGATATCGCGAGTCCGAGAGTCTAAACGTGCCCGCATCCCCCTTGGCCCCTGTACATCCAGGGGCTGTCGAACTTCCCGCCGAGGACAACAGTCAACTCACTCCCACTTCGAGACAGAGAATTCCCGGAAATCCACCCTATCCGTTCGAGGGCACGGCAGCAATCCAAGATAAATTCTCCGTCGTTTCGAGCGAGTCAAATTCATCCAGAGTGTCCAGCAACAATCTCCCATACCGATTTGGAGATGCCGACAAGTTCACGTATCAGCCGCCCTCGAACTCAGCGTACAATCCTGCCGAACCACCACCCCGACCTCCAAAGACGCCCATAAACGAACCTGCCCAGATGCGTCCTGCGCTGCGGCCCTCACCAGGCAGAACGAATGGTGCCCAACAACAAAGGCCTCCATATCCTGATTATGACGAACTTCCTCCGCCACCACTCGTTTCCAAATTGAGAAAGCCAGAATTTATTCCGCGGTCAGCGTGAGCCAACTTTTTTGGAACCACGAGACAAGAGAGGGGGAAAGCCCAAAGCAAAAACACACAATATTAAGCGGAGCGCATGATTGGGGCTTCCATTTTCCACCACCTGATAATTAATGATGATGATGATGATGATGATGATGATTGCATGATTTGAATGACTTGTCTTGCATATGGCATATATATACCCACATTGGTTTGTCAAGAGCAATCGGAACACGAGAAAGATAGCACAGTCACTGCTAGAAATGGTTGGTTGGATCATTGGATTGGAGGAAGGGAGGTCAAAGCTATGGCAAAGTGCTACTTACAAGTACTAATTCACATTGGACGCGATAATCTGTTCAAACACAATACAGCACCAGGTGGTTGGTTTGGACTATATCTAGGAACATTAGGGCTTTCCATAGTGATTCAACCAAGTCGCGGTTAATAAGAGTTCACTCAGTATTCAATTGTATCATTAAGATTGGAAGTTTATAATGCGACGAAACTATGACGGTGATAATGCCAATGTAAATTCTCCCGTCAGCTCCACTCCCTCTCCCGGCTCCTACGAGGCGACTGCCGACTTCCCCCACTGAGTAAGCAGATATTTCGCTGTTCAGAAGGCTCGCGAGACCACTGGTGTGGGTTGTCACGGTTCCGCTGCAGGAGGGAGGCGAGGGGTGGGCGGGCCCCGCCGTTCTGTTCGACTGTGCATTGGAAAGGCGTGGATGCGGGGGTCCCTCGGGTTCTGAGAGGACTCCGAGGAGGGAGGAAAGGGAGGGGGCGATGGGGGTCCGAGCGGTGACAAATTGTAGGCATTCCATTTCATACTCGTATGTATCTCCTATGTCTGTCGACTCGACTATGCAGGTATGTACTTATCTAGAGACAGGTGCTCGATAGACTAGATTTCTGTAATATCTCACCCCGAGAGGAACAGCAAGGAGAAGCAGGTCTTCATCATCATTATTATCACAGCCACCACCTTTATCGTAGTTTGGAGCGATCAGAATCTACAGTATCACGAGTTGCGAGACTTACAACATCCTAGGGCCCGAGTCTTTACGGAATACAAACTGAAGGATTGCTCAATTGCTTTCCACACGAACCAGCCGCTGCAGCGCAATACCTGTGAAGATCCTACGGGAGTGTGACAAGACGACGACGCGGGACTCTTGCCTAAGGCCAAGAACGAGGGTAACGGAAGATCTCTCCTTTTACCAACGGCAAATCAGCTCAAGATGGCGGAGGACGGGTTGAGCGTGAAAGCGGTAATACATGACATTTCCAGAGTCGAGGTGATCGAAACGAAGGCTTGCTGACTTTCTTCTCCTATCAAGATCTACACCTATCCGATCAAGTCGGTTCGAGGCATCTCCCTCCCCAGTTTCTCGGCCATGTACACGGGCTTCCCGCACGATCGGCAGTTTATGCTGTACTCGGTTGCCAAAGATAAGAACATGCACATAGCTGAATTCACCGAGATGTGTCTGTTCACCACCGCTTTCGCGGACGACCCATCGTCAGCGTCACCGAGCAAAGTGATCGTCACGTACACCAAGGACCATGCTTTCGATAAGCCAGACCAGATGGTCAAGGATGATCCCTTGGAGATTGATCTCGCTCCGGATACCCAGGGGCTCGACACGTTCGAAGTCACCATGCATTCCAGTCCAACAACATGCCATGACATGGGTGCCAAATACAATGACTGGTTTAGTGAACGATTTGGCCATCAGGTAAAACTCTTATATATCGGTGAGAACCGGCGGAAGATTCTCGGGAATATGCCGCCGTCGGTCGCGGGCAAACAGCGCGATGAATTGAACCAGACAGCCGGGACCGCACGGTCGGGAGGCTCTTGGTTGAGCAGCATCGCTTCAGCCACGAGTAGCGTGGTAGGGACACTGCTGGGAACGCAGCAGTACGACGGGGAAGATCATGGACTTTCCTTCGCAGATGTGGCGCCGTATCTCGTCATCAGCACCAAGAGTTGGGAGGACGCCCAGAGAAGACTTCCTGAGGGTGAAGTCATGGACATCTCCAAGTTCCGTCCCAACATCATTGTGCAAGGGGCCAAAGACGAGTATGAAGAGGATTACTGGGCCGAGCTGCAAATCGGGGATCAGGATCCAGGAGCCAAGTTCGTCTTGACGCAGAATTGTGCGCGGTGCAACAGTCTGAACGTAGACTACAACACCGGCAAGGTTGCCGAAAGCGAGGCCGGCAAGATCCTCAAGAAACTCAGCTCCGACCGTAGGGTAGATCCAGGGGCAAAGTGGAGTCCGGTCTTTGGTAGATACGGGTTCTTAGCAAAGGTTCCAGAGGGAAAGAATGCGGCGGAAGTCAAAGTCGGCGACCAGGTGAGGGTGGTGCGGCGGAACGATACAAGGACTCACTTTGGTATTTATGATTTCCCCCTTCCAAACCAAGACTTGCTGTGCTGATTATGTCGTCTAGAATGGCCAAAGCTCAGTACCAAATGATACGTCACATCCCAGGTCGTGAAACTTGTTTCTTGCTGTGTATTTCTTAACTGTTGGATCGGCTACACTGTCTCATTGGTGGCTTTCGCATATGGATATAGAACCGTCTATTATTTTTGTACACTGATGCCCATACTGTGTCCTGGACCAACCGATGCTCGTAATTCATCCTTGTTCATACCTCTAGTTCTTCATGATCTATGCTCGTCTCGTCCATTCGTGGGCTTGAACGCAGTTTTCACGCTTCGTTGGCCATGTCCAGCGACCTTCGTGTTGAGATTTTCCGGAACATACCTCGATTCGGGCAGTCGAATGCCTCTCTCGATGCTGCCAAGTACCCACTGAGCCGTCACGTACTTGATACCTTTGCCTCTAACAGCAGTGACTTCTTTGTTGATCTTCCCTGAAGCAAGGCCGCCACCGCAAGTACCGCCGACAATGACATGGGTGACGGACTTGCGGGCCAAAGCCAAAGCCGAATTTCCCCCATGCTGGACGAACAGTTGCTTGATCCTGTGGTCAGAGACCAGAGGAGCTGTCGATCCGTTGAGATACATTGTTAATCCACGGAAGATCTGTGGTGGCTGTTTTGCATTTGTGACGAGGGGTTCCGAGGCCATTTCTGCATCGGTCTGTTGTGTTTCGGCGCCCGGAAGCGAAGTTTCAGGAATAGTCTCGCTCGGATATCCGTCCGATTGTGAGCCACGTCTTTGTCTCTTCAACAGGGCCTTCTCCTTGCCCTTTGAATCAACGGGTCGCTTTTTCCTGCTAGTCATAGTCATAAGACCTCGAATATCCTGCCATCCCTTTTCGCGCAGGTCCGGAGCGCCTTTCTCCCAATCGCCATTTTGCTTTCTCCCGTCATCTCCGAAGTCGACACTTCCGGCTCCCACGAGATCCGAGATATGAGTAAGGCCTCCACGGCCACTTCGATCTCCCAGTTGATGAGATAGCTTGTTCATCCGTGAGTCTCGCCATGATATGCTTCCTAAGAGACGATTTTCGGCGCGCTGGTGGCCGGTGGAGGAGGAGTTAAAGGGATCAAAGATGTCTCGAGTTGGCAAAGGAGCTCGTAGGATGGGAGGGTCATGGGTAGGCATGTCGCAATGATGTCGGCCTGGCTACAGCAAGAGATGGATGAGCCATTTACCAGAGAGACCGAAGTCACGGACCTGCGGTGTTGGATCAGTCAACGTTGTTCACGTGCAAAGTCTCGTGCTGCCGGGCGACTAGATGAGAATGACGCGAAGAAACACGTTTTCACGTGACGACTGGATCACGTGACCCAAGCCCCGATCATGGGACGCTGACATATGGAGGAGTACTATACTGACAGTAAATAAGATAAATACTATACTAAATGTTCTTAATACCTCCACCTTCAAGAGTTGCATCTGACTGTCGCTTCGTTGCCATCTATTTACAATACCACCTACAACATCCTGGCCGCAAATGCTGGAATCACATCTGTATCAAAACGCTGGTAACTAGTTGTGGTCGTGATCGTGGTCGTGGTCGCTGTCTATCCATTATCTCGTTCTGTCGTGCATATTTTGTAAGCCTCCGAAAGCCAACATTCCTACCTTAATGTACAGTATGCTTTTGCAGATCCGTTTGTCCAAGTTCGGATCAATTCCCGCTGTCTTTTTCGGCTGGCATCCAGCTTTGCCTTCGCCCGGTCGCTCTTAATCTCCTCTCCTCCCTCTCCCTTTTGCTCTGTTCTTCGAAACGCTTTCGACTGAATGCATGATCTTCGTTCCTTTCATCTCGAGGATCCGTCTTTTCTCTTACGCTCTGGGCTTGAGCTGGGCGATCCTCTATGCCTCTCTGATGAAAGCCATGGGTGGTCTTGATGGCTTGTGTCGGCAATTGGCTCGTCGACGAACTCGGGAAATGGTCCAATGCTGCTGTTGTGGCTCCCCCTTGTGTCGGCCCTTCTCCAACCACGATCTTGGGAGTGGATTTCGTCAATTGGTCGCTGGGATTGGGTGTATTCGTAGTGGCCAACGGACCCGCTTGGTAGACCCTCGGAGGGCTGGGCCTGCGTCTCGTACTTGGATTGGAGGGTGTGGTAAGGATCGTCTTTTCGTTCGACGAGTTCGTCATCTGCCACGCGTTATCCTCGTCAGACATTGATTGAGAAAACTGTGCTGCGGGCTGCGGGTAGTGATAAAAATCATCAACACTCGCAAGAGAGCCCGTGGGTGAATGTGAAGTCACATGAAGTGGGGAGGTGGATGGGTATGTGCGCTCGGGGGAATGGAACGGTTCATGCTGGAGCAATGCAAGATGGGAATCACCCTTGACAAGTCCTAGTCTCTCCTCCTCGGTAGCATTCTTCATTGCCTTCTTCTCATGAGTAGAACTGCTGGTTCGACTTCGCAGACGTGTTCGGTCGCCCGAGCCCTCTGCTTCTGGTGTACGTGAGTTCGGTCGGAGAAAGTTGGTGAAGGAGAATTGTCTGCGGGCCTCTTGCGGTGGTTTCAAGTTCGGCGATGGTGCAGGCCTTGCTGGCAAGGGTTTGGACCGCGGCGATGGCTGTGTTCCCAATCTTCCATATTGAACATCTTGGGCTTTTCTTTCTCCCGGGGCAAGTCCATAAATGCGCTCTTGTGCATCTTCCAGGCTACCGGGGCCGTAGGGAGCAATTGGCGACACTGCATTGGATGCGTGAATTTTGATCTCACTTAGGGCCACCGGGTAGACAGGGCTTGGGACCGAATGATCACCGGTCCCGTCATGATCAGAGCCGTGGGCGTGCCTTGCGGTTTGGGCGCGATTCCGGAGATTCTCGAAAAAGCCAGGAGTGACTTCGGTATGGTTGTCGTCCTGGTCTGGGAAGTGTGACATCCCCAGGGGAGGATGTATTGTTCTTCGTCGCACCACTGGGGATGCGCCTGGCTCACCGATGACAGTCTTTCTCCGTCGAAGGCCATCCCATTCAACAATCTCATTCTCACGAACTGGTTCGAGATGGTCTTTCATCGTGTCGTCTCTCAACCGTCGAGCCTCCTCTTGTTCCATCTTTTGCCGCGAAACGGAAATCCTTCTGATCAAGGCAGCGGTGCCGCGTATGGCATCTGCCTTTGGTTCTGTTTCTGGTTGTTCAACCTCGGCGATCTCTCTCACCTGATCGAGATCACCTTTGAAGACGGCTGCATCGGGGACGTCCTTGGCCGATTTCGACATCTGCAAGAGAATTACACCAGTGCAGATTTGCAGGAAACCCATGATGACCGTGGTGATGGTGACGGCGGTACCCTTGAAGCCTCGAAAGAGAATCGCCGAGGTGACGATGGTTGCCGAGGTGAAGAAGACGTAGTAGGTAGGAGTGACGAGGGCGGCGTTGAAGAGGTTGAGGGCTTTCTAGCAGGTGTTAGAGCCGAGATACCAATTGAATAGGGAAGGCTTACATTGAGGTAGATGATCTCGGTCAGGAGTGTTGCGACGACAAAGACGAGAAGGACATAGAGGAACCACTGATTGAACTGAGCCTTGCCGCCGGCTTGAGCGACGACGGCGCTGCCCAGGCCCTGGGTGGCGACCACACTGAGGCCACCAATAAAGCTGCAAATGCTGAGATATACCAGCATGCTCTTCTTTCCATACCTTGGACCGGCCCACAGGGCGATGAATGTACAGGCAACGATGACCACACCAGCATAACTCAGGAAGCCCGGAGCAATGACGAAGCCCTTCATCTCTTGGATATCGGCCACTGCACTCTGCTCTGGGGCGTTGAGTACGATGACGATGCTCCCAATGATGCAATTTAGACAGCCGACCTTGCCCACAAAACTCAGGCGTTCTTTGAGGAAAATGGCGGACAGGATGGTGGTGACGACGACGCTCAGGGCACCTAGAGGAGTGACGAGGATGGCATCGACAAAGGCATATGCTACGAAATTGCAGATTTCGCCAATTATCATCAGGGTCATGCCGCCCCACCAGTATGCGTTTTTCAAGTAGCCATAGCCTTCGCCGGCCTCTTCGTTGTATTTGGCGTTGGCTTTGAGGAGGCCGACCTTCTTGAGGACGAAAGAAATGCCGATGAAGACTCCGGAGGCAACGGCGAGAGAGAGCCCGACGGCTTTGAATGCAGGTGGCCGCTCGACGGCTGTGCTGGAGGACGAAGACGTGGAATTGGTCTCGTTGCGGGCCACAAGAGTGTGCGCAACAGCCCAGAGCTGTGGCTGAACGGCGTCCATGAGGACGGGGGAGGTGTTCAGGATTTGTCCTCGTAGAGAACGCCGCGAGCGCGGAGGAGAGGGCCTAGGGATTCTGTGCCATACGGCGTGCGAGGGCGAGAAAGGGGCTGATGTTGTTGCCTTGGATGCTGCAGACTTGGGCAGCGACTGCTGCTTCTCTCAAAGACACGTCGTGGTCGTGGTCGTTGTGGTCGTTGTGGACGGGTTGAATTCGGTCGATGAGATGGGCGGGGCGGATGGACACACTCGGGCCGGAAGAGTGCTGGAGACTGATAGGGGGAGGAATATAGAAAACAGTACCAAATGCAGCTGTAAAGCACCGTGCTGAATACCAACTCGTATGTGATGCGGCTGCAGCTGCAATGGAAAACACGATGGGATGTGAGAGAGATAGAACTGGAGAAACGGGCTCTGGATGCGATGCTGCATTTCCTTCACTGACGCAGCTGTGGCTTGCTTAGCGCGTGGAACGCACGGGCTGGTAGGCTAAACGTGCCAGCCAGCGCCTAAGATTGGTGGGGTGGCCAGTCGAGTTGCAGGGATTGTGCCCTGAAGCAGCGCCCGGACCAGGGAAGGCCAGGCTCGAGGCCAGCGATAATTGGAGGCGAACCTCCTGGAGGGGCCGGGACCTGAGGACGCCCACGGACACCACAAGGTCGTTGCGTTGCTGGGGACCAAACACCCCCACTCTCCCCTGTAACGCCAGGCCAGTCACTTCTTAGCTGCGTCCTAAGCACCTTTTAGGCACTCCCCACCGTTATCGATACTCGCCCGGGAGATCTCGAGTGACCGTGGTCAGATTGGGAGCCAGGCTGATGAAAAAGAGAACAGTAGCAATAGACAGTTCACTTCTGATCGAGAATGGACGAGCAGACCAGCTACGAATAAGTAAGTAATGATACCTACCCAGGTGCCCAGGATAGCAAACAGTTTGCTGCGGGATTCCACTTGAGACCGTGGGTACCACCGAGGACCACATCCCCATTGCGCCTCTTCCTGCAACATTCCATCCCCGTGGTCTCTGGCCTCAGCTGAGTCGTAGCAATCGCGTCATCTCAGGGCAGTGTGCAGGATCATGGATCTTCTAAACGGTCTCAGTTGCAGCGCACAGCCCACCGCGCACAGCCGAAAAGTGGCCAACATGGCGGCTGGTCGTATTGGTGGCATCTTGTCCCCTCGTTTCAGGCTCACGTCGAGAGATCTTCTTTCGGTGTCTCATCTGGCGGAGTCTGTTCCTGCACCTCCTGAAGGAATCCTGGATGTGGATATGGATGGATTATGGACTCTCTCACTTCTCCTGCATGTTGCATCCTTCCATCCTGGCTATATCGAGTACCATTGTCCGTGCTCGTTGCCGAATCTCTGAGGCTCTTTTTCTAGAACCGTGTTTATGGCCGTGCCAGGCATGAGCACTCTTGCACGTGCATCCTCGTAAACTCTCGAGTCTTGAGTCTCGAATGAAACCTTCGAAATGCTTGTGTAGGCTTGGGCCGATTCTTAGTATAGGCACAAGACTCTCTCTCTCTCTCCATGCAGCGTGAAACGGCAAGCCGTTTCTTGTAGTTCTTGGCCGCAGATATCACTACATCCAGTAGTACGGGGTACTCGCAACCACTCGTGGATTCTGATCCGTAGGAATGTAACAGATGCGGATGATCATGCCATGCTGCCAGTCCTGGTAATTCGTGTTTATCACCACTTCGACTTGGTTCTGTTGATATCCTATGTAATCATCATCTGATGCGATCTCCCTGAAGACAGGGCTTGGACCGTCATTTGGCAACTGGGTGGGGAGGATCTAGGCCGGCTCAGTTCACAGCAGAGAGATAAGAGATTACTCAAGCTCAAGGGAGGCATGGAGAAGATACAGACTCGGTCTCTGCCCCGAATACTCTACACCCACAGTACGGAGTACTCGTAAAGCTTTCTACGGAATTTACAGTAATAGGTTCCCCAGCAGCCCTTCTTCGCCACGTGTTTCTTCAACCTCGTGGACTCTTGGCATCAGATGAGGCCTGGGGAAGGTTGATTCGTGCGAAGCATACGAGGGACCCTATATCCTATATCATAATATCGCTGAGGGAGACTCGACTGGTTGCCGGTTACTATTAATCGTTGCAGATCCCCAGATCTCCAGCTCTCCAGTTCCTAGTCCTCTTGTCCCAACAAGTGGCTGTCCTGTAGCGCTAACCGAGTCCACGCTTCTCTTCGACAATTCCTCCGTCCCTCCCCCTGGCGACAGGGTTTGATGGTGTCAAACCTATTCGTAGGATAGATTTTCATTCCTCCATCCCAGAGAGTGGCACGCTCGTGACATCCTCTGTGCCGTATTGGACGGAGCCCCTTGCACTGATAAGGTTGGAAACTCACAACGGTCTTCTCGCCAATCATCGCCAGCTGCCTTCGGTTGATTCGATAACACCTAGTTGAGCAGAATTGAAGATCTCTGACCTCCCACCTTCCTAAGTCGAGTTGGTTTCTGATTGATTTTGCTCTCGTGGGGGGGAGGGGGGGCGCTGTCCCGGCCCCCGTTGAGGCATTCGTAAACCGCCTTGGGATGATAGAGTGCGAAGGACGCACCGCGACTCGGTACTTACTCTTACATGGGTAGTGAGCTCTCGTTACCGAGCTCCAATTACTGCAGCATCCAATTGCGAGGTAGGTTTGGGGAGGTATGATTGTGCTATCTGGCTCGCTTATTGCGATGAAAACATGGAGGGTAGAACGGAATCTTTTAAATCACGTCGCTCTCCTCTTTCCCCTCCCAGGCTACAGATACAACAACCTAGCCACTACCACCGGCTTCTTTCTAGTCCATCAAAATGACAGCACCTAGAAAGGGCTCGGTAACTGTTGTCGATGAGAACGCGGTTGGAGTGACTTCTGTCTTTGCTAAGAGGGGGGAACATGCTGTTCTTGAGGAGGGCGCCTCGGCCGATGAGGTGACACTTGGTGCTTTGGGCTATAAACAGGAGTTTAAAAGGTACCGTTCGTCATGATGCCCATAGATGTCTTGCAGCCTGACGGAGCTTAACGACTTACTGTAGAGACTTCACAATCTGGGAGTCCTTCTCAGTGTCTTTTTCAGTTCTCGGTCTCCTGCCCTCCATCGCCTCCACCATCGGATACAGCCTGGGCTATTCAGGTACTGGTGGTGCGATCTGGGGTTGGCTCATCGCTGCCCTTTGTATCCAGGCCACTGCCTTTACAATGGCTGAGCTCTGCTCGAGCATGCCGACTGCAGGCGGATTGTACTACGCTTCGGCCGTGTTAGCACCTGAAGGCTGGGGTCCTTTGGCGTCTTGGTTCGTTGGGTGGTCCAATTTCTGCGGTTTCGTGACCGGACCCTGCTCAGTCAACTACGCGCTCGCTGCCATGCTGGTGACAGCCGGTAGTATCGCAGACCCCGATTATGTGCCCGAGACATGGCATATTTATCTCACCTTGCTCCTCCTTCTCTTCATTGACGGTGTCGTCACAATGCAATCGACCTGGTTCATTGGATGGGTCAACAAGGTCGGAACCGTCATCAACCTTCTTGTAGTGTTCATATTCCTGATCTGGTTTCCTGTTGGATCCATCAACCGACCAAAGACGAATGACTCACACGCAGTCTGGACCGAATTTGACAATGGCACGGAATGGCCAATCGGATATGCAACAATCATGGGATTTTTGACAACAATATGGACCATGTCAGGTTATGACGCGCCCTTCCACTTGTCAGAAGAGTGTAGTAATGCAAATATTGCTTCCCCTAGAGCAATCGTCATGACTGCGCAATTTGGTCTTTGGCTGGGATGGGCTATAATCTTCGTCATTGTTTATACCGTCAAGGACATCCCAGACGTCGTTGCGGGGGCTTATGGCCAACCATTCGGGAGTCTATGTCTGCAAGTCCTGGGTCAGAACGCAGGCCTCGCCATGTTTTCGCTGAATATCATTGCTCAGTGGTTCGTTGGCGAAGGCTGCACAATCACAGCGACCCGCGTGGTTTTTGCCTACTCTCGGGACGGAGCAATCCCTGGTTCTAGATGGTGGAGCCAGGTGCATCCCAAGACAAAGACTCCAGTATACGCGACCTGGGGGGTTCTGTGCGTTTCGGCATTGCTCGGCTTGCTGATGTTTGCGAGCCCTGTGGCGATTGGAGCAGTGTTTAGCATCGGCGCCATTGCGCAGTATACGGCCTTTACTGTGCCGGTTGCTTTGAAGCTTTTCTTCGACCACGGCAGGTTCAAACCAGGTAAGACGATAGCCGGTCCCCTTCCTGAAATATGACAGCTGATCGTATTACGCACCAGGTCCCTGGAATTTGGGACGTTGGTCGAAGCCGCTGGGCGCCATCGCGTGCGCTTGGTGGTGTCTCATCGTCCCCGCGCTTTGCTTCCCAGCGGTCAAAGGTGCCGATTTAACCCCACTGACAATGAACTGGACTTGCTTGATATACGGCGGTGCCATGTTTTTGGCCCTTTCATGGTACGCCATCAGTGGTAGAAAATGGTTCAACGGGCCAAGGATCAATGTGGCAATAGTCCACGAAGGCGTCGAGGCGCCCCAAAGTCCATCTACCCCGGAAGAGGACGACGCTGACAAGGAAAAGAAGACGTAAGCCGTGATGCTGAAGACCGGATGTGGATGATGGAGTGCTTGAGGTGCCAGTAGGATTACTGCTTGACACGTCTTGAAGCACTGGGCCAAGAATTCTTTGGCGTGTATGAAGAGTCTTTACGTAGTTTCAAGTACTCCGTACTGTACTTAAGCTACGAGTACATACGTAGACCCATGAGAGTACCCGATGTTAGCATCGCTCTGAACCTGTTGGCCCCGCGCGAGCGCGAGATGCTCCTAGTTTGCTGCTGGAGCTTTCTCGAACACCCAATGTGGCTCTGGGTTAGTGGCTCTTGGGGGTGGCCAGTCCCGACTCTCAGTGCGAAAGACTTTCTTTCCATGGCTTCTTCGCAGCATCCCATGTGCTTTGGGAGGCCGAGGCCTGTCAAGGGTGGTCCGTGGGCGTTGGCGTTGGCCTTACCAAGATCCCTTCTGCCCCGTCCCCGTGTTGTTTGGGTGATGACGTGCCCCAGATTCTGACTTGCTGGTTGGTTCGCCAGGCGTAGGCGTGTGATCGATATTGAGAGCACCGAGGACATTCTAGGCCCCAGGCCCCCCTCCCACGAGTAAACTTCCGACCGACCCTAGACAAACCATTCATTCATTAGCCTAGCAGTTAGTTCAAAGTAAGATGTAGCCATTGACGAGACGGGGTTGATATCTCCGATGCCGGGTTTTCAGCATCCAACAACACTGCTTCCTCTCTTGATTTTCTTCCATGTCAGGCCTGAAACGCCGTAGAAGGCACACCAAACTGGCACGCAATGCGGCACGGGCTCCCCAGGCATCGAGAAGGGTAATTGCCTGCTTGGTAGTAATACTCGTGTCCCCTCTTTTCTACGCACCGATTCATGTATCTCCTGATATTGCGCATCAGCTATTCTCATGACATGATCGCTGCAGCAAAGGCCAATCAGGGACTTCTTTGAAACCCGACTGTTACCATGCCTGAATCGCTACTTTGGATCAATAAAGATGTCGCCTCAGAAGTGTTGTCGCGAAGTTCCAAAGCCGAAACCAGGCAAATTCGGAAGCATGTCCAACATGAGCGTCAATTGAAAGCCAAAGCTGCCCAGGAGGTCACTGGGAAACCCGTCAGTCCACCAAGAAGGACTAGCCGTAGCGACAAGAGTATGCCACTCTCTGAGCATGCTCTGAATGCACTTCCTACCCGGCAGCGGGGCCTGCGGCTTGATACCAATCTCAAGGATGACGACCAGTCTGAAGAATATCGCTCGTATCAGCTGGCATCATTATCAGCATCGCTCTCCCCGACAAGCCAATCCGGCAGAGTACTACAGACCATTAGTTCTTTCCCAGGCCTTGACACCGCGGAAATACGCAGCCTGGCCTTTTTCTGCCACCGGACTGCGCCCGAATGGTCTGGTTGGCGCGATGCTTCCTTCTGGAACAAACTCATTCTTCAGGCTTGTCATCTGAATCGATCTATACTACACGGGGTAGTTGCCCTCGGCGCGGTACATGAATCGTCTGAGATTGACGGAGAATCAGATGAAAGGTCCAACTTACAAGACATGGCACTGCACCAGAGTAGTAAGGCGACCAGGCTGGCTGTCGAAACTGCCGTTTCGGAAATCTCGACTCTGATCTCCTGCATTATATTCATTTGCATGCAAAATCTACAGGACAGCCACACCGCATATCAGCTGCTAAAGACGGGCCACAGCCTCATCACTGACATCGATCGTCGCTTACTCGTAGGGGACTTGGTTCTATCTGATAGCGAGAAAACAGTCTTGAACAATTTTCTCAGACCAATTATCGAGCGTTTGCGAATGAGATTTTGCTGCATTGTTGACGTCCCTTCTGCGCTCGCCATAAGTGCAGCGTTGAAGAAGAGCAAGATTGAGATCCAGCTGCCCTTGCCTACAATCCCGACTCTCTTTACTAGCCTCCTGGAAGCCCGCAACAATCTAGAGTCCATCATTGAGTGGGCTCAAGAGAATGTGGAACCTTCAACATTGGCCTCAGATGGTGAATCACAGGTCCAAGTCCTTCTCTCTACCTGGATTGCCGCTCTTGACAGAACTGGCGCATCCACTCTGGAACGCTACGACGCCCTTATCAGCTCGAAGAAGCTTTTGAAATCCGCGGCCCTTGTGGCCTCGATTTTATTCGATACATTGGGGACTCATTCCGAATGTCGCTACGACGAGCACGTCGACAAGTTTGCAGAGATCATCCAACTTTACGAAGTCGCAATCGGAGACCATTTCCGGACTCCAAGGAGAGTTTCGTTTGGTATCGACTCAGGCGTGATTGATACATTGGTCTTCGTGGCTGGGAGGTGTCGAGACCCAACCATCCGTCGTGCAGCAATCAATCTCCTCAACCAGACGAATAGGATGGAGGGTGATCTGCAAGGCACGACTGGAAGTACGATTCTTTCCAAACTGATAGAACTCGAGGAAGCAGGACTGGTTGTTTCGTCTGCAAGCGATGTCCCCGAAACCCAACGCTTGCGCATCTGGGAGGACCATCAATACTGGGACAAGGGTGAAATTCAGATCTTTTTCGTCTACTGGCCATATGAGCCGTCTTTGGGGGCAGAGATCAAGCAGGTCAGCGTCCAGCTGCCCATGAAGGCTTTACGAGGTCCAAAGGAGCTGGCCTCTCCGAACAGCCCCATTGCGCATTTGCCGAATGTGAAGTATGGTCGCGGCGTCGGGGCATTTCTGGATGAGAGCACTCAGAGCTATCACCAAATCACATTGTCGTCGTTTTTCATGCCGATGCCGAGGCTATGAGCAACATTGCCAGAATGACAGTTGGTTCAGGGATATCTGAAGACTGCTCCAACAGACGGTTCGCCATGCCATGCGATGGCCACCTGGGTTATGAGACTGCCCAATATGAATATGTGCGCGCGCCCATTCGCGTCTGGCTGATTGAAGATGCCTCGCCCGAAAATGCGCGGGCAAGACTTGAGTGTGCTGTCACTCGTTTCAAACTATGTGCTATCCTTCCTTAACGCAAATATTGCCTTTATCAGAGGTGTCAAGTCTACAATACTCAGATCATGCAAGATTCACACTATCAATGCACGAAGAAGCTCTACTGTGATGCTCGGAATTGGTCCTTGAATAGGTCTCCGACCTTCAGCCTGACATGTTACTTTGCTCCGATCATCCTGACCGTGGAGGAAAGCAACTGCTAGTAAGAGTAATTGAGGATTGTAGCTACGAGGTCTTCACGGGCTCCAATCATGGAGCTCCCGGTGGTCTATTCCCACCCTTGCCTTGCGTACAGTCACTTGGGCGTGGCGAAACGCAAAAGAGCGTTGGTCTGAAAGGACTCGAAGGAATGACTATTAATTAGTCAATAGAAGTGAGCGACTAGCCGCCGTAATCCAAGAATTCATCCGAAGAGCCAACTACTCTTTCGGGCCTAGTCGCCTTGGGCTTGAAACTAAGTCATCGAGTCATCGGAGGACGGAATACGAAGTGCTCAGGATGCTTCCTACGGAGTGCACAATTACTCCATCCAACCTACGACCTACCTAACTCCCTGGGTAGTGCTTCTCAAACAGTTTGTTGAAGGCCTTTAACTTGCCCAGGTAGACTGCGGGAAGCCCCGTAGTTTAACTATCTGCCCCGAATACCGAGCTTCATACTGCCCTTTCAGGAGGTACTCAGCAGTGAAATATAGATGTTTGAACTCTGATTGGGCTTGACAATCTTGCGGGTCACAATGGAGACAAAACAACTACCCAAAGCCGTACTTCTCAACATTGTGGCTACAGATGATACACTCCCGGACAGGGACACCTAGCATCATGTCTGGGGAATATTGAGCAACCAAGTGATTTAGCATCATCTGCACCATGGCCTTCATAAGTCCTGTACCCCCACAGCTGGGGAGATCATTCCAGAGAGCCTCCAAGTTCGAATCAGCCAAGTTCGGATAACACTTGAAAGGAAGAAATCCCTAGAGATCTTTGAAATGGCCTCCGGCTCGGGATATCTTCCCTCCCATCGCCTACAAACTGTCGACCTCGACAAGCGATGGCCAGAATCATCGGTTACGAATCAGAATCTTACAAAAACTGCGGTTGTCATTATTGGTGGTGGCATATCTGGTATGTGCACCGCGATTGATCTCTTGGTCAACCGGAAAATCAGGAACTTTGTCATCCTCGAGAAGAGTGGCGGCTTTGGAGGGACTTGGTGAGGTACAAGTCGACTCATGCAGGCCAAGGCTAACTATTTCTAGGAGAGACAATAAGTTTCCTGGTTGCTGTTGTGATGTTTTCAGCGTTCTATACTCGTATTCATTCGCCCAGAACCCACAATGGTCGCAGAAATATCCCGGCCAGGAGGAAATTCTTGTATTTGTGTCCCTATTGTATTGCCAGAACGTGGAGTCTTAACCAAGTGTAGGAGTATCTCACAGACGTTGCACAGAAGTATGGGCTTTACAAGTACGCACGCTTCCACACTTCGGTGGAGGCTGCTACCTGGAATGAGAAAACCTTGAAATGGGAGACTACGGTTACCGTTGGTGGAGGAAAGGAGGCCGAATTTTTGTCCACCTATACCATCTCGAGTGATTTCTTGGTTGCAGCAACTGGACAGCTCAACAAACCCAAGGGACTTGAAGTACCTGGGTATGAAGACTATCAGGGAAAGATCATGCATTCAGCCCGGTGGGATTGGAGTTATGATCTGAAAGGAAGGAAGATTGCCATCATTGGAACTGGTATGTTTACACTCTCAATTGTCTTTCAGTCTGCTGATCCTTGCAGGCGCCACAGCTGCACAAATTGCACCAGAAGTCGCCAAACTTGCTTCGCAGTTGACGATCTGCCAAAGAACGCCTGCATGGGTCATTCCTCGCCACAATACGAAAATTCCCTCCTGGAAACGGTTAGCCTACACATATCTTCCACCCGTTCGCTGGAGAGGGCGTGCTGAGGCAATGGATTTTCGCGAATCTTTTCATTCTGCGGTCACTCAAGCTGAATCCTCTTACGCCGTATTGATGAGGAAACTCAATCATACCTTGCTTCACGAACAACTAACAGATCGACCAGACCTTCGAGAAATGTTGGCACCTCAATACCACCCGGGATGTAAGAGGACCGTCATCAGTGATGATTATTACCCAACCCTGGCTAGGAAGAACGTCAGACTCGAGACTGGCCGCATCGAAAGCTTTACAGCTGAAGGCATCAAGTTCGCAGGGCGAGAATCAACCGACGAGTTTGATCTTGTTGTTTTGGCAACCGGGTTCGATACATTTTCATTCCTATCTCCGATCAAGATCCACGGCCAGAATGGACGCTCCCTGGAAGATATCTGGGCGAAAGCTTCCCATGCCTACAAAGGGGTGACGGTGCCGGGATTACCGAATTTCGGGATTCTCTATGGACCAAACACCAATCTATCACATAATTCTCTGATTCTAGTCATCGAGGCACAGACAAGATACATCTCGGTCTTGATCGAGAAAGTGCTCCGTGCGAGAAGAAACGGCCAGACTCTTGCCATATCTCCCTCTGAAGACTCAACCATGAGGTACTGGCACGATGTCCAAAGTGCACTCCAGAAGACATCGTTCTCGGACCCAAACTGCAATAGTTGGTGGAAGAGGGACGATGGCATAATTACAAATAACTGGGCCGGCACAGCAGTTGACTATCAAAAGAACCTGTCCACTGTGAGGTGGAGAGATTATCATGCGACGGGTACGGCGAGCGCAGACGTTGAGTATCTGAAAGGAAAGGGTACAATCACCAGGATTGGTAGAGTTAGAGAGGAGACCAAACTGAGCCGTGGAGCGTTGGGTATTTTGGCATTGGGAGTGATGGGCGTGTTTATGCATGCATTCTTTTCCATTCTCTGACGAATTTGGACATTGGATTGAATTCAAATAATGTGCTGAGTGGTATCTACTGCCCTGTACGTGCCTCCAACGCAATCTGTTTTCAAACCTCGTAGGCCAATTCGGCGTCAAAAGATGTTGCGTTACTTTCGCCGCATGGCGAACAAGCTGCCTTGACGCCACTGACAGAGCTTTCGCCCCTAGTTCCATTTGGATCGTCAGTCATCTTTGCTCTGTCTGCCATCTCTACCATTCAATTACATGACGGGTGCCGCTCCCCCCAGTTCTGTAGTCTCGAACAGTGATATATTGGAGTAGAACCTTTTTCTCTTCTGTGAATTCGATCTTGACTTCTCTGACTCTCGCATCGTCCAATTCCCTGGCTTGATCCTCCAATTTGTGTGCTAAAGCCATCGAGTGAGCATGTTCTTCAATCTCCATGGTCTTGGTAGCAATGCGTCCAGTAAGGATGCTATCCCAGAGGCACTCACGCCTGTCTATGGAGAGCAGAAGATCCAATGCCCTCCTCCGGTGGCGAGGACTGCGACAGCGTGCCGCGACGGTGTGTAAAGGCAGCACGATTCCAAGTCCAGACGAGCAAGATGGCCGCGTGTACACCGTATGGTCATCCTTCACAAGCTGCTCACAGAATATCAATATCTGTTCTAGGCGATCTTGCAGATTATCGAAGGCGGACTCCCTTTTTGTGGGTTTGAGAGGGTCGATTTCCAGACGAATGTCGATGAGTATATGATACAGTCGAAGTATCACGATTCCTCTGCTTTCTGGGCCTGTATTGCCTGGTTGTTGTCGTGCGGCAAGCAAGTCCAGTGCTTCACAGCTGTCTTTCAGAGCACTGCGTAATTGTCTCCGCCGAGAGATGAATGCGGTGAGTTCCCCTGAAGTGCGTGGCGGGGACTGTTCACTAGCTTGCAGAAATGCCTGCAAGTTGTGAAAAAGCCGCTCGACGTAACCATGAGCCTCGTCCACGGACATGAAATAGCTCACAGGCTCCAAGTGAGATACTAGTGGGTCGTGATGCCACTTCTGCAGTGACTCATCATTGATCATCGTTCGAACTTGCCCGTAGATGGAAATGAGAAGAGTTCGTAAACGAAGCAAAGGTACTGGATACGGTGGGCTCCTGGGCCCATCGAATTGATCATCGCGCTCAAAGTCTTGCAAAACTTTCAACCCTGAGCGTACATGCTGTATGGCTTGGAGAAGGTTTCCCTGAAGGCTAGCGAGGTACGTAAATAGAATAGAGGCGGTCAATATGCAGCAGGTCCTTTCTATAGTCTGGCCAACGGTGACTTGGTATTGAAAAACATCATCCATATATCGAATGGCATGGTTGCACTGCTGCATAGCAAATTGCATCCCCGCGCCGCTGTCGACAGTCTTCACAACCTTGGAACCACCTAATTCGAACGACTCGTACGCAGCACCCAAAGCAATAACAAGGTGTCGTACGGAAGGATAGTGGATGGCTGCTCGCAGTACTTCATTTGACCAAAAGAGCATATGGAACTGTCCCGCAAGCTGTGTTGAAGCCCTGGTCTGAAAGAACGAGAAACTCCGTTTCTCTGCTGTAGACTTGAATAGATTTGGTCGCTCTGCAAGAGCGGTGCTTTTGGGAGACGGCGTACAACTGGGCGGAGGACTGTATCCATCACACTTCCGTCCGGTAGAGATGCATCGATTGCAAAACGGCTTCTCTTCGTCGCATTTGACCTTGCGTATCCTGAATGTCTTGCATTAGCCTCGCAAGGACCACACGTTTCCCGTGCACGACATTTTTCTTCTCAGACTCACTTGCAAGTCAGACAGCCAGTCTTGGTTTTGGGTAGGAAGGGACGCTTCCTCTTGATTGGGTCCATCGCATAAGCTGTCCGAGCGGCGGAAAAACGTCGCACATGTGGAGATAGTTGATCCTGATAGACAGCGTGGAGTTGCATTACGCTGGTCGACGATTATATGGAAACCCAGCCGCTTGTGGAAAGGGCGCCTGATTCATGTGATCTTTCCGAGCCGGCCAACCAGCATCGTCTACTAAGCCTTTAACATCGCATACTCGTATCAAGCTCCTGTTCGCTTGGGGGCGTCAAGCACTATACTAGCAAGGGCCGTTCTAGTCATCGCGCTCACGTATATATTTTGAATCTGCCTCACGTGCCCTTTAGTGCACGGACATAGGTGTTATTTGATCTTAGTGTAGTATACCCTACTGGATTGGGTCGGGACTTGGGAACTGGCTGAATTCTAAACAGTATATTCATTATGGAAGTACTTTCGTGTACAAACCCTCGCGGCTTCGCCAATCAGTATCTTTGCTGCCCGAGACTGCGCCCGGCTGTATTCCAGGGAAGAAATATTTAGGCTAGACACGTCGAGTCTCGTCCATCGTACGGGGTACTCGGCTTCAATGCCTTATGTTTCAACCCCGCCAAGGAAATATGCACGAAGCCAGGTACCATCCGGCCAAGCCGAACTTAGCCAATGAGGATATATATCTAGGCATGCTCGAGGGGTCGGGGCCGGTAGCAAAGTGAATAAACAATAACCTAGTAATAAATGGCCGTGCCGTTGTCCAAGAGGTATCCTATCATTACGAAGTCTTTCGCGATGGCAGTCCCGTTGTTGAATTGCCTTGCTTGCGTTGGTGTACAGGTTTCCATAATGTCCCAGAAGTAGCATTGGGCGGGAGGATGCTCTGGCATCGCATTCTTGATGTCAAAAACTGAGGCCGCTCCGGTTGTACTATACGTAGGCGAGTCTGTGGTTGGCAACCTCCCAGTTGCAACATCAACGTCCGACATGACACGATTGAATATTTGGTAGGAAGTCTCTGGTTGGTACCACCCAGCTAATCGATAATCAGGAGGGACACCCAACAACAGCACGGAAGTCCACAATCTCACCTTCATGACCCGCTCCATAAATCCTCGAGAAGGATAGGTTGCCATATTGTCGGACAGAGCCGCCAGAGTGCGTGGTGTTCGTTAAGATGTCTGCATACCCAGCTTTCTGGAACTGTGCGCTGCTGTTAGACTTGATTGCAAGGCTGATGCGCTCGCCTCCTAGCCCTGAAATACCGTTAGCTTCGGCTTGATGGAGCGGCCATTCCACTCACAATTACACTGGTAATCACGATCTCCATACATCATCGCGACTTTTACCCCTCGGTCTAAGAGTTCGCCGAGGATGGCTAGATTTCTCCCTCGGACGAAATCTCCGGTAACGGTAAAACCTGGACATTATCAGGAAAGAACTTCCAATAGCCAATCTACGCACCTTCGCTCACAGCAGGTGAGTAACCCGTGAAATTAAGTGGTACACCAAGTGCCTTTTGCACTTCATTGGTGTTAAGGTACCCAGCTGCAAGCTTAGGCGGGAACGCATCAGGAATCTTAGCAGTGATGTCAAAAACATTGCGCTGTCTTTCATGTTAACCATCATCCCCTATTCCAGGTGGAAACGCATACCTTTGTTCCGTCGTAATGACTCCACATTGTCTTGAAGCAAAAGTCATAGGCGTCCTGGCAAGCTTTGTTCACGGTTGAGTTATTCCCCAATGCCAAGGGATCGAATTTGTCCGCAACCGAATGACAGGCTTGAACAAGCGTACGGCACTCTGGGAAGCTGTCAACGGCAAACTGGTACTGGCTTTCATTAATGGCTTGGATGCCATAGGTGTTGTTGTAAGCAAACTCTGGATAAGTCGGCATTTGTGTGAGGATGTCGATACAAGCATTGACAAGTCCAACAGTTTCCAGATTCAACGGAACAGCAGAAGCCTTGTTGAGACTGCCATCCTCAATGCGGCGATTTTGTGACTCAAAAAAATCAGAGAATGTGGGCCCGTAATGTCCACCGTAGCTTTCAGACCAGATGCTGAACTTATTGCCCTTCGGTTTATATTTAGGGAATCTGAGTATGGTTAGATCTGGTGCCTCAAAGTAGGTTGGAATAAAGCCAAAAATGTGGAAGTGGCATACTCATGTATCCAAATCTGCATGAAGTGCCATGCTGCCAGAGCGGCCGTTGAAGTAGTGTTTGCCGTGTTGGAAGTTTTCTGAGATGGAAAGACCCCAGCAAGGTGTGTCGCATTCAACTTCGGACCGCCGTGTGTTGCATTGAAGGGAGTCACTAGAAAAGGCGACGCAGACTCATCGATGGTGCCGTTTATCAGAGAGTCGTAAGAGAAGCCGACTTGAACAGGCTGATCTAAGTAGAGCATATTGACTTCATTGTTCCAGGACCAGGGATTCAACACTGTGCTCTTGGAGTCTCGTCCGACCTTGCAAGGGCCATTCTCACCGAGAGCTGCAGGTATAGAGGGTGCTCCAGGGCCCCCCTGCATCCATAGAGACAACGGCGCATTGGATGGATCTTTGCGAGCCTCAAAGAACCAGAAAAAGGTATTTATTGGATAGGTTCGTCCCTCGTCGGGGTTGGGAGGAATGTGAACATATCCAGAATACGATTTGACTCCAGGTGTAGTCTCGCAGATATTTGCCTTCACATGATCAACTGTGCGTTCAACTGCTGAACAGGCCGAACTCACTTCTTTATACGAGAGAAAGATCTGGAAGTTCAGCAATGAACGGGCCAGGAAACTGTTTTCAGGGGTGCGATGAGTCGATATTGAAGTTACCAATTGGAAGAACAGGAGAACTCCCCTGAGTACAAGAATGAGCGACCGCATTCCTGCTATGGTAAACTGTCTGGGTCTTTCGTGAGTTGGTCGGCGATTTGGCCATCTTCGCAAAGGTCGATCTAATAAATCATATATGCCGTCAAATATTTGGATCGAAACAATGAGGCCCAAATCAGGCCCACGTGAAGGCCGACTCCACCCTGACCCTAGCTTGAGAACCTGAAAGATCCTGTTCAACAGCCTACCATGGTTGTGCTGGTCCTTTCTGGGGACTCACCATGCTTGCGAAGCTGTAGTCCCACTAAATGAGCCCATCTTGTGGACCTGCAATCGGTCATTGGTAGGGTCGGATCTATCACGTGAGCAAGGTCTTCCTTAATCAGGCTTTGTTGCGCCGTTGTTTCGGCTGTGTAAACGAAGATATGAGTGCTACTCGTAATAACATCAAGCTAAACAAGCTCCAGTCCGCAGTCCTGATCTGCTTACGCAAAGTTCGGGGTGAGAGGCAACAGAATCTTGGCATTTGTATGGTAGCAGATCATTAGCGGTGGTCCAAACAAACGAAGTGATAAAATATCCAGAACTGATCGTGAAAGGGGCTGGTGGCTGAATCATGGCCAATCTCCTGTGGTTTGGGGAGGCCTGAACAAGCCCTCATGCGATTCTTTTCGTTGGGCGCCTTGTTTGCGGGCATCTTTAGGGATCACTGGCCCGTTTCTGTATGTTGAGTGAGCCTCATAGGGAAGATTGTCCTTCCACTCGTGCATTACTCTACCAAGCACCAGAGGTGAGCAAGTCCCCGTTTTGTATATGGAGGTACTTACTCGTAGTCTTCCACACGGGCGTGTCACGACCCTAGCAACACCATGATTGGAACAAGAGTCCCAATGACCATAGTTGTAGTTCGAGCTTGAGAGAGAGTAGAACGATAAATTCCAAGTCTTGCTTACAATGAAGCTAGGAAGTCGGTTACAATTGCAGAAAACTCCTTTGGCTTCTCAACCATTGGCAAATGGCCTGCACCGTTGACTTGGTGCAACTTTGCTCCTGTGCCGTAGCCTTTGGCCATATCTGCCATCGAAATCGGAAGCTTTCCATCTCCGCTACCGACGACAAAAATCGCGCGCACAGTGGCCTTCTCCATCAGCGGTCTCAGATCATAATCCCAAAGAGCCTTCACAACATTCTTGAATCCTTGTAAGCTGTTCTGATTGACTGATTCCTTTACCTTCTGAAGTCTGCTTTCCAATTGACCACCATCATAACTTTCGGCAACGGCCCATCTCCGCACAGTCAACTCTGCTAGCTGTTCTCCAATGATATTCTCTTTAAGCTTGTCTGCATCAGTCCTGGTCGCATTCTCTTTTTCAGACACTGAAATTCTCTCAAGCCACAGTTTGTCGTTCCCAGGAGGACTGCTTGAGTTCGTGTCGCAAGAAACGACCGAATCTAGTCTTGAAGGGTACTTGAGAGCAAAGTTGAGAACGGTTGCTCCTCCTAGACTAACACCAATCACTGCAGCTGCCTTTTCCACCCTGAGGTGGTCGAGCAAGGTCAGAATGTCCTTAGCCAGTGAGTCCACGGTGATGGTTTGGGTACCGCAGTCACGATTCCGCCCACGAGTCTCATACCGCAGGATACGAAACTGTTGATTAGCCTCTTGTGAGAGAAAATCATCGACAAAATCATCCCAGATATGCCAATCAACCAGAACAGAGTTTGAAAGAACGATCAGAGGCGCCTCAGGCTGGAGTGCTCCCTCTAGCAGGTAAGGGAGGGCAACTCCATCCTCGGTTGTTACATAAGAATGTATTGTTGCTCGACCTTCGTCAGCATTGGCCGCGTTTGTTCTTGTAGCCTCCAATCCATGCTCGTACCGAGGTGCGCTCGCGCTCAAATGCCTCGGGGCAGGACCAAAGACATAGTAGAGTTCGTATGTCCTCAGCTCGGAACTCTGTGCGTGATCCTGATGCCAATCTCGATCACCTGACGTGGACGCCTTCGCCGCAAGTTCAAGATCATTTTGGCTCTGCCTGGCAGAAAACTCATGCATTACAACGACTTCCGTTGTTTCTGTGGGACCCGACTCATCATGGGTACGGAATATGCGCGTCCGCTTCCAACTTTGTTCCTTCTGCAGTAGAGGAACGCGCTGCTCGTCATACCATTGAACCAGTTTTGGAGTCTCGCTGGCTGCTACCGAGTGTGAAGTAACTATCAGAATGTTCGAATGTTCCTTGATCTCTGGCATGGAATCCAGTGGCCGATAACCAGGAATGGCTGACGAGTAGACTTGGTCATACAATCGTCGGTCGACATCAATTCGCGACATCACTGAGATTTCACGTTGGGATTTCCAGGGAGGAGACCGCAACCGGAGATAAGAATCCTTCTCGAGGTTGGCCATATCATCGATGTCATATACCGCAAGCCATTCAGCCTTCTTCTTGCTGGGAAATGGGAAAGTGGAGTCAGAGAGCTAGGTTGGTTTCAACATTGGAGACCTCGTGGATGGATGGAACGGTTCTAGAATGGCGGATATGCTTACCTTCCTCTGAGTAGATTCGGCGTCACTCGTTTCATATTTCGAGAATTTGGTTTCAGCAACATCCAATGCACGGAATCTATATCCATTTTGAATGCAGTCCAGCCGGAGGCGTATGGGACCGTGCTCATTGTTATACCAGTCATGAAATTCTTCAGGTGACAGATCGTCATGAGGGTTCATCCTCACGAACAATAGCCCCGGGCTAGAGGTTGCTTCCGCCATTTCTGCAAGAATTGCGGTAACGACAATGTGAGGGATGAATATTAACTCCTGGCTAGGCTAGGATGGAAGAAAGGAAACGCGAGCCGCAAGTCTAGTCAGATATACATAGATTATAGCAGCTTATCCGCAGAGCCCATGAGAACATTGAAGTACGAAGTAGTTCGCCTTTGGCATGGTGGGGCAAAGACCGGGGGTCAACCGGTTCATGACGTGCGTCTAAGGTGCTCGGAAGCTGCCCTTGCAGAAAGGTTTCGGCAACGCGTGTCGGCTGTTTGTTTTCCCACAATTTAATCCCGATTCCCATCAATAGTAGTGTTTGATGTCACTCTGGTTGGTATAGCTTACCTGATCCTTGGAAGCATGACCGAGACTACACGTGCCAATGGTAATACCTAATACAGGGGAAGCTCAAATCTATCCACAAGTATACACAAGTCCATGCAATGCAAACTACAGACCTAGCTGGTGAGAAATTAATCATACCATATCGCATTCATGCCAAATCCGGGTTCATGTACTTCGCACCGAGCTACCACTTCGAGCTTTTCGTTCGCCCATCGGTACATCTCAATGAAGCCGACGGTGTCGTCCGTCAAAGCAACCCATTCATCAGTCCAAGGGCATGGACTAACAGCATTCGAATGGCCCCCACTGGAAGTCGTAGGCTGCAAGCAAAGTTGCTTTTCAATGCTGCCCTCTTCGTCAAGTTGATACGCACTGATCCAGCCTGGGGTATCCAGCGTGTTCGAGCGCGTTGTTGCAAAGAGGTATTGACCACTTTGGGCACAAAAACAAACGTCACCACGATAGTTCTTTTTATTGGGCAGTAATTCTAGGCACACCATTAGTCACAAGACCTTATTCTCAGACAGTATGTATTGCGAACCTTCTGGGAAGAGTGGGAAGATTTTCCCGGTGAATTCAGGTACGTGGGATTGTTGGTCGATTTTGTACTCAGCCAGGCGATTTCCTGCCTCCATCAGCAAATATAGATGCTTTCCGCTCTTGTGCATTTCCACCCATCGAGGGTGATCCCCAGGACCGGGTGCAGAGATGCTGGCCAGGAGCTGTACTGTCCCGGTCTCTTTGTCCTTTGCATGTGTCCACAGTTTATTCGCGCCCATATCTGCTGAGTACAAGAATGACTCGGTTGGATCAAAAACCATTCCATGCACGCCTGCGACTTCCTCATACTCGTAGTTTTGCACATTTTTTGTCAGGCCACCTTTGTCATCCACAGCAAAGACATTCCCATGCGAGGCATACTTGTAGAAAGGGTTGCCATAAACGTTAAAAGGAGGTTTCTGTGCTGCCAGGACGAAGATCGCTCGGGTGTTAGAGTGACTACTTGGGGCGAGGGCTGGTCTCCGGTCAGAATCCAAACTCGTCAAAATGGGCCAATTACTTACGGTGTCCAGCAATCGAATGCGACACGTGGTGCCTGATGTCGGTTGGACTATTGACTGTGTGACTAGACCACTTTTTCATGGACGCGCCGTATATTGTTTTCTTGGAATGCTAGGCCAATCGTTAGCTCCGCAAGATGCGCCCCCCGTTCTGAATGAAGGGAGGTGGACGGGCCATACATTGAAAGTCATCCAGGAAATGGGCTCATCTTTTGGGATCTCTGCTCTGTGAATCAGTTTCAAGGTCAGTGCCTGATCATCGAACTCGAAGCTGAAAATGGCGCCTGGAGGCGTCCAGGTCCCAACCATGAGATGGTGAAGCATTTTGCTGTAGTGTCCACGAGAGTCAGTTTCCACGGTCACTTTGAAGCTTTAACTTGGGGAGGTTACGTTGGTGTTCGGAGACTGCGGGACAAAGGCATCAAATTGCGCTTTTGCGGCTCTGCCAATTCAGAGCGTGCTGACCATTAAACACGAGCCCTGAATTGGATGGAGGGCAATAGCTTCCAACAGGCACGCTGATCTCAGTCGCCCGCGGAGAGTCGTGTCTTGTTCTGTTGGAGCAAGTCGGAAGCTTCGTCGGCAATGTTTTTAAGCGCAGTGGCACGGATCAGCACCAGGGAAGCCCCCTCGGCCCCGCGGTTCGCCTGGACGGCAATTGAGGGTGGCCTCCGACTCACCGTCAGTGGCCACCAATGCTTTTTCTTCAGGCCCCGCAGACAAACGGGATGGCGTGCGGCGTGCGGCGTCCGGAGTGCCTGACTAACAATCAAAACAACCCCTCAAAAGTGGCCCTAGCCCTGGGAGTGGGTTGATAAACTGAACTCGGTGTCGCACCACACGTTACTCGGGCAGAAAGCTCAATAAGAAGTCTGTCCGTACAAATATTGGGGCCACCATGCGTTTACCATATGCACCGGGCACAGCACCTCATGATCAGCCGGAGGCTGCAGCGATTTACCAGCGGATTGCTGCTAGGCGTGCGCCTCGGCCTTTGATCCCTCTTGATTTGAGCCTACTACATTCTCCGCCCGTCGCGGATGGATACAACAGCTTTCTCAATGCAATCAGGAACGAGACAATTGTCGACCAAGCCCTCATGGAACTTGCGATATGCCGGATAGGAGCACTGAATGGTGCTGTCTGGGAATGGCGAGCACATGCAGCCTTGGCGGTCAAGGCCGGGGTCAAAAAGGCTGCCCTTGAGGCCATCCTCGATGTCAATTCAGGCATTGGCGAAGGCATAGCATGGACAAACCTTTCGCACAAGGAAGAGGCAGTGGTGAGGTACGCCGACGCGATGACGAAGGATGTTGAAGTTCCCCAGGCGGTCTTTTCGAGATTGAGCGAGATTGGACTCAACGAGAGAGAAATCGTGGAATTAACAGCAGGGATCGCTGCATACAACTGCGTCAGCAGATTCTTAGTCGCATTGGACGTGGGAGAGATGAACGGTAAACCCATGGAGGTCCCAGCAGACGCAAAATGAACTTCCGGCTAAAGGTGTGAGGCCTTGGGCTTCCCAGAGCAATGACAATGGTGCCAAAAGAGGTGGAGTAGGTTTCGAGCCTACACAAGAGGAAAAGTTCAAGAAATGGCGCTCAGACCCAAGTGCCTTGATCTCTGGAGCGAAGCGAGATCCTTGTTGGCTTGAGAATGTTCACTAGTCTATGTCGTCCCCAGATTGAAATGAACTCAGAAGCCTCTCATGTTTGCCGATTTATGGTCGGCTCGGGAGGCAAGTCGGAGCCTGGGGCTTGAAGTTTCGACACAACCAAGACAATATATTGGCTAAGTCTTGAACAACGCCATCTCCTTGTTGGCTGAGTGAAGGCATTTGACTAATCGGAAACTAGGGTGAAAGGTTTCCAAGTGCATTGGTATCTTGACTACATACACACGACAAGTCCACCGTTACAGGCAATGAGCTGGCATGTTCAGACGTTCACAAACCAAACCGTCAATTCTAGTGACTCTTTAGGTATAAAACAGCACATTTCCCTCAAAAAGCCTCCTCGCTGTCCTCGAAACAACACATTTGTCGACCTCGTCTTGGCCTCGTAGATGTACCTCCACAGGAATCTGTCCGCTTCCGTGTGCGATCAGTACTGTCTCTGGAGATCGCGTAGAATGCAAGTCTTCAGGCTGATTCTTTCCCATTTGCACCAAGAGATTGTTCAGCACTTTTCTGTTTCGACGGGCCCGGTGGGCGACAGTCCCCTCCAGGCGAACAGCGGCCGCAAGGCAAACAGCACCAGTGAGTTGAACACTTGGATGTACCTGACCCATGCTCATAGACAGGACGGATATATCAGGTGTAGAATGGAATTTTCGCATGGCATCGGATTTTTGTTGAGACGACACCATCATGATCTTGGGCGTCCCGCGCGTCGAGGCAGCATGCTGGATGTTCTCGGCTAAGCCCATCATGATAGCTCCTTTCCGTCGAATATCCTCAATCGTCTCTAACCACTGCTCACTTCCGTGTACGCACGATGAAGGGAGGCTTTCAGCATCGACAATGACAAACGGGTTTGCCGCGTCGATGAGTGTGGCTTGAACACTGAATGGCTCTGACAACGCAGTCGGAGTTTCGACGGTGACTGTATCTTCGGTATTCCCAGTTGGTAATAGCCTTCCAGTCATCGACCCTGCAGGGTCAATGAATGCAACTTTGATCTCGGTGCCAGAATCCGAAACACCTGCGATGCGATAATCTCCTTGTTCGAGAAAATACCCATCCTCATCTACAGCGATGGTCTCTACCAAGACACGTCCAGTGTTGGTGTTGAAGATCCGAATGTCGACCTGTCGGCAGGTTAGTATGTTACGTGCCACAAATAAAGCCCAAAACGCACAAATTCTTGACCTGGGATTGCTTGTACAATTCCTTCATCTAGGGCAAATGGGCCTACGCCACTGGCAATATTGCCGCAATTCCCACTATAGTCGACTTTGTGCTTGCCCACCGCAACCTGTGCGAATGTGTACTCAACGTCTATTCCCGGTCTTCGAGAAGGCGATACGACTGCAACTTTGGATGTCGTCGAGGTTGCTCCACCGATACCATCAATCTGTCGAGGGTCGCCATTCTTGGACCCCATGGCCGCTAGAATCCACGGGGACCAGGCTTCCTGGGTGGGCGGTAGGTATCTACGGTGAATGAAGAGGCCCTTCGATGTACCTGCCCGCATCCACGAGGCAGGCAAAACTTGTCGTTCCCGCTTCCCTTGCACCAAGTAAGGTGAGGAAGGGTCTGGTTTGGTGATCATCGTTTCAGTCGTTGTGAGAAGTTGGGCAAACTTACGAACCCCAGCAACACGGTGACCTGAGCAAGTGATAAGGTAGGATCGTTTGAGGAACTTTGGAGCTTGCATCTATCATGGCTAGAATTGATTTCTACACCTGCTGAGAGGGCGTGCTCTGACGAGAACAGGAGAGTCATTCTTTGGTATTTATCGCAGCAGATGGCATACCGATTGGCAGATCGGAAGGAACGAGGACTCTGTCGTTGAAACCCGTCGAAGCAATGCCATCGGGTAAGCGTTATGGGTCTCCTTTGAGGCAAAGTCTCGAGATGTCGCTGGATGACGGACTGAGCCTTGATTGATTGTGTCCGTACCCGCGGAAAGTGCCAGAAACACAAGGCCTAGCGACTGGGCCTATCCGCGGATAAGGCCACCTTGAGCAGAAAGGTTGCAATTGGGCTGGAAGCAGCCATTATACATACTACAGTAGGTTTCGTTCCTCTCTCCACAACTAGATACTACGGATATGTCGGCATGGAAATGTCATCCAGCATCGATCCGTTGAAGCCAAACAACAGATCATCAAATGGAAAAGCTTGCGGCACAAACTGGTCATACCATCCATTGTTCCCTTGCGTTTGGTTCTCTTCAAAGACGGCATTTACGACCTCATTTGCGTTCTGGTCTGCGAAGCCGACTTGGCGATTGGCATCAGCTGGAACGAGTTGATGAGTCATGTGAGAAGGGAAAGGCATATCAGAGCTACTTTCGTTGGCAGGGACGAAGCTCTGTATTACTGCATCTATGTCGAGGCCAGGCGAGAACCCATCAGGCTTCAAACTTTCGTTGATGACAGTGTCTCCTGAAGCAAGATCCTCTGATATGGGACGCTGCCCACGCTGTTCTGCTCCAAGGCCGTGATCATGTGCATCTTCTGCAACGCTGGAGATTTGAACGCCGAGTCGTTTCATAAGACCTTCAACAATCGTCTTTGCCCTTCTCGCGGCCCAATTTGTTTCTTGGTTAATGGCCAAGACACCTATGCAGGTGCTCAAACTTCTGTGTGCATCAGATGATGAGCTTCTTTTTGATGCAATCCGTACATGAATGGTGGCGCTCACGTACGTGGCGTAAGATATCAGGTAAGGTGCTCTTCTGACTGAGTACACCGTATCATACACTCTCAGCAAACGCACAATTTGAGTGGCAGCAGTGGCACATGTGAGCAGAGAGTTGACAGATATTGAACGCGCAGTGTTGTAAAGATGGCCATCAGCTACGAATGGCCGATGGAGCAGGATCAATAAGACGTTGTACATTGCTCTGCAGAAAGTCAAACCAAAGCTCTGCACTTGAATACTTGGGAACTTACGCCAACGATAAGACATGGGGTGGAGGCATCACAGACCGCGGCATTAATGGATCAAACTGGAGATGTGGTGCAAGTGAATGGTTCCAGTTCTCCATCCTCGAGTGAAGATCATCAAGCATCTGTGAGAGGTCTCTGGAACTCCGATCGAATATACGCTCGGCATAGATACTGTTGAGAATCTGATTCATAATCTTGGACAGTTCGCAAAGAGCTGTGAAAGTGGAGACGCTGTATGCGGGCCCCCCGTTGTGATTGGGATAACTGTCGGAGCCGTATGCGAAAGGTTTCCAGTCCTCATTCTCCTCGAATTTATCGAGGAAGGAAATTGGAACACTAGTATCGGCTTCCTGCAGACTGACAGGTCGACCTTGGTAAAGACTCATGATTTTGTCTACGACTTACCCAATGTTAGTGCGTGAAGTTCTAGGCTGTGAGGGTCGAGACTCACCAAATGCACCCCAGAAGACGCGTCGTCGGATTTCATGGTCTTCATGAGACAAACTGCGCACACTAGACAATGTGGCTGCCTCTGCATGCATTCCCAGGTCGATGATCATGCGAAATGCTAATCCTGAGTACAGCCATGCCGCGCTTCTTTCGTCTCCCAGGGCAAATAATGAGTTCGCCATCACGAGCAGAGCTTGAATGGTGGTGATTTCACTTCCATCTAGAGCGTTGCCTAGCAGCTCTCTAACTCTTTGTCGAAACTTCCAGCCCGCCGTCCGGACGTCATTGGGGTCCTTGCGTAGCTCCAAGCGGGTGCTGAACTTCGAGGATCCATAGAATATCGCGTTCAACAAGATCTTGGAGAAGTAAGGGCCATTGCAAGCCATGTCTCTCATGAAAGCTGGTCGATAGGTTATCAAGAACGAGTGATGTTGCCTGTTCCAATGCAGGTTTAGCAAGTGCATTCCTAAGTCTGGTTCGACACCATCGAAGTCGAGTTTGCCATTCCGGAAATTAATCACTTCCATTTGGCCTGGGGCACTTTAGTGGATAAACTTCATCATGTGAGGCTGTACTCACGCTGTAAGGAGGCTTCTGCGATCAACCCCTTCTCCACCCATTCCGTAGGAATGACTTCTCTTTTTGATGCTCTTCTATCGTGAATGCTTTCTTCGAACAGGGCGCTGGTCTGGCCGTGATAACTAGACGCCCCGTTGTCTGAGAAGATGATGCCAGACACTGAGCGATTCGTGGCTGACTGATCCGCAGCTTCTGGAGATCTTGCTGGAAGAGATCGGTAAGTCACACATCACAAATCGTTCGGAATGAGCCTCACCGTTAAGTGGAGCACCATCCCGCGGGTCACTGGCAGCTTGAGTAGAATGATCTTCATTTGTTGCGGGGGGTGTCCCCCCTGGGTGCTGCTGGAGCGATAACCGGGTAGCGCGGCCGTCCGCTAAGTAGACACAGTCATTACCGTATGTCTTGCAGTTGTTGCAGCTTGGTCTTTCGCTGTTGCACTTGATCTACAAGGTTGCAAGGCCATTGTTAGGTCTGCAGTAGAACGTGCGGGTAGAGTGTCGAGCTTGGAGTCTGGAGATGGGCGATAGACTGCTTACCTTCCGCCGCCTGCAGAAAAGGCATGCCTCGGATACGCGCTTCCGTGGCCTCCCTTTAGCAGTGGTGTGTCTAGGAGAAACATTGACTTCCATGTCAAGATGAGGTGAGTTGAGTCTTGTTGTTAGTGGCTTCTACCGCGGATAAGAGATCATCTAGAGCTCCAAGTGGCAAACGGTGTAGTTTTCCACCACATTCTTAGCAATTGTGAACCGCATGTTCAGTAGGTGACGCTTGAATGGCCAGAACGCTCCGTCGCTTCCCGCGGATACGGATGCGGCAACTGAGGTGATTGATGGGACATTTACCGGCCAAGTCCGACATACATGGAACCCAGTCCACACCTGGGCACTTGGTGCTATTCCCCCATTTCCACCAGCCAGTGAACTAATTGGGGATGTCTTAGATATTATTACTTAGGCCATTGAGGAATTAGATCTGCTCATATCTGTGTATCGAAAATATTTTCAGTCCTCTCTTCTCAGATGCAGCCATAGTATATTAAATCACCTTGAGGATGAATTTTTTTGGTGTTTGATATTTGGTCATCCAGCATGTCCTTAGCAATCCATTCACACCAGCCTGCGACCTCAAGAGCCATTTCTCCAAGAGCACTCAAAGTAAGGTAATCAAAAGGCGGCAGAGGGCAGATGGACTAACAATTTTTCAAAGCCCAAACATCATACAGACCTTGCTCTATCGCTGTTTGCCGGTGGCGTGGCTGGTGGTGTGGAAGCCGCTGTAACAGTAAGCTCAGGATAAATGAATGTGACGACACTGGGACTGATGAATCGCAGTATCCTTTCGAGTTTGCGAAAACGCGGGCGCAGCTGAAAGGTTCGAATTTGAGTTCAACCAATCCTTTCGCCGTCATCTCGCAGACTGTGCGAGGTGAAGGTGTATGTGCGATATATTCTGGATGCTCAACTTTGGTTGTTGTGAGTAATTCATTCTCCAGAGATGTGCCCCTCCCCACTGATGGCATCAAAGGGAACAACCTTCAAAGCTGGTGTCCGGTTTCTCTCCTTTGATACTGTCAGAAACCTGCTCTCCGACCACCATGGCCAACTGTCGCCGATGCGAGGTGTACTAGCCGGAATGTTGGCCGGTTGTGTCGAGTCCATAGTGGCGGTGGCCCCAACCGAGCGCGTGAAGACAGCAATGTGAGTGGGACGAAACGAGCTCGAGAACTCTGCTTACTTTGGTCGATAGTATTGACGATGCCAAAGGTAGAGCGTTATTCAAGGGCGGATTGCATGCTTTCAGGACGATCATTCACGAGCAAGGTCTGGTCGGGCTCTACCAAGGGCTTCTTCCAACCGTGCTGAAGCAGTCTGCGACATCAGCAGTACGCATGGGCTCATATAACGTGTTAAGAGAGTATGCCCACCGATACAATCTGCCAAATAACAGCTTGACCACTTTCTCCACAGGTGCAATAGCTGGCATCATCACCGTGTACGCTACTCAACCTCTAGATACAATCAAGACCAGGTCACAAGGGACTACCAGGGTTGGCACTGTCACTGCAATCCGTGATGTATTTTGCACTTTAGGGTTGCGTGGCTTCTGGCGGGGGAGTACCATGAGACTGGGAAGGCTCTTTTTCAGTGGTGGCATCGTGTTCACGGTGTATGAGAACGTCGTTGCGTTGCTGGCACCATCGGCGCGGTGATCACAAACACTCTCAGAAGCATGGTCGAATAGGTTAGGGAGGGTGGTAATGGTGCTAGACGCTTCTAATACTATTGGTTTGCATATTTGGGAGCTTATTGGATGATGTTTGAGAATGACGCTCGGAGATAGAGAGCTTTCCAGTAAAACCCACAGAATTTCGAGGTTAGTTATGTCTCGGGGATTGGCGGACTTAGCTAATTGGGTGACGGGAAGTTCTTTTAAGCTTTGTCTTCTATGTATGTGTCCCCAGATATGTACCCAGGACTTAATCCGTACGAACCAGTTTGTAGGTACCCTCCCTACCGTAGCTGCTCAAGGTACCAAATGCCCAAGGTACCAAATGGTCGGCCATGAAAGTCTAATGTCGGAGAATAATTGCTCTGACACGGCGAGCAGCGTTCATAAAACCCGGTCTTGACTCATCCATTTCCAAACAGTGTGTCTATCAACATTGCTATCAAGAAGCTGCCTCCTGGAACTCACCGGCCTGCTGTCCGCCTTTGTGCTCGATTAATACAAGAGGAACTGCACCTGTGTCCGCATATCCATGATCATTTTGCTGAATTGTGAAGTCATGCAGTGTTCGCCATATGGAATATTATCCGCGGATAATGAACGCACGGTTGGAAGTGCCATCCGCGGCTATGTATCCTGGACCTTCATCCCGCATCGCCAAGAGTTCGGGCACCTCAGAGGCGAGAGGGGTCCAGATATTTTCTTGGTAATGGGATATATCCTGGGGTATACGAGGAGGACTACTCTAAGCCTACCCCGGAAAACAATATAAACGACGATGGAGACCCCTCTTACATTCCAACACCATCACCAACATTTCAATCTTCTTGATTACCTCAAATTGCAATCATGGCTCAAGGAAGATCAGCAGTTCCATCCATTATCGATCATGACGAGAAGTCCAAGACTCAGGTCGAAACCCAGCAGATCGAGATTTACGTCCTTCGACCTGCTCAGATCCAGCACCGGTTTGATAGGTTGAGGGATCTTAATGATGAACAAATGACTGCGCTCAACAAAAGAGTCGTCAAGAAAATCGACTGGCGACTAATGCCATGCATTACACTGATGTTCCTGATGAAGTAGGTGCCCAAATCAGTAACATACAGTTCTTCAAGTTAACTCCTTCATAGTTACCTCGATCGCATCAACGTCTCCAATGCTCGCCTTGCTGGCCTGCAAGAGGACCTCAACATGACTGACACTGTTTGGAGTGCCGGCATAAGCACATTCTACGTCGGATATCTCCTTGGCCAACTACCGGGCAATTTGTGGCTTGCAAAGGCCAATCCAAGCAAGTTCTTGCCGACCACTATGCTTGCATGGAGTATTGCAACCATTTGTATGCCTGCGATGAAAAGGTGCGCTTTCTTCTACTCTCCATACTGAGTACTTGACCCCATATTAACACCCCAGTAGCGGTGCGGGATTTTGTATTGTTCGCTTCGTCATCGGTTTCTGCGAGGCACCATTCTTTCCCGGCATTACTTTAAGTAAGACTGCTGTTTGCACAATCAAGATTCAAGTCTAACCAGCTCTGCTAGTCACGTCTTCATGGTACAACAAGGAAGAAAACCCAACTCGTATGGCGATATGGCATGCCGGCAACACCATCTCAAATATAATATCTGGTTTTCTCGCAGCGGGCATTCTGGAACATATGGATCACGTAGCAAACCTCCATGCATGGCAATGGTTCTGTAAGCCATCCTTTTGCATCCTGGTGGTTCAAAAAGCTGATAAAACCCACCCTAGTCCTTATCGAAGGTATTGCATCTATATTGGTAGCCGTTGCAGCATTTTTCATCCTTCCAGACTGGCCGCACAACACCAAGTTCCTTACTGAAGAAGAAAAAGAAATGGCTCAATACCGTGTTCTTGTCTCCAACGGCGGAATAGATGAGGGCATTGGTGGCACATGGGACGGCGTCAAAGAAGCTGTCCGAGACCCTTTCACTTGGCTCTTCTGCGGAATGCACTTTGCCCTCGTCACTGCTCAAAGTTTCAAGGATTTCTTCCCTTCTGTGAGTTGCTTTTCGAATACTTATATATACTTTACTAATGTGTTCGGTCAGATACTCAAGACTTTTGGATTCAGCAAAACGGCAACCTATCTTGTGCAAGCGCCACCCTACGCAATTGCATACGCCGCTGCATGTGGTCTTGCGTGGACGTCTGGTAGATACCAGGAGTCTTGCTACCACATCATTGTCCCAATCGCCGCCTCTGCAGCTGGCGTTGTTATGCTGATCGCAAGCCTAAATGTCGGTGTGCGGTACTTTGGTATCATCCTCCTCATCAGCGGCACATACTCCGGTCTCAATCTGCAATTGTCCTGGGAAACCACACTTGTGCCGGCGCCCAAGAGCAAGAAGGCCGCCTTGATCGCGATTGCCAACTGCATTTCTCAAACCAGCCACTGGTTCAGTCCATACTTCTTCCCAACGTCACAAGAGCCATTCTACCGACTCGGTGGTGGCCTTATTCTGTTTGGCTGCTTGATGACCGGTCTGATTTGCTGCGGAATTAAATGGAGGGCCAAGAAGCTCAACAAGAAACTCGATAGACTGGAGGGCTACTCTGCTCACTCGGGTAATGAGAGAGGGTGGCGTTATGTATATTAAGTGGTCGACAGAATTAGCTATGGCTCATGCTGGCAGCATGAAGAGTGCTTTCGGACTTAGACGGGCGGCAAGTGCAGGAGCAATAATGATTTCTATGTATTTGGGGGGGACCAGAAATGGATATAGTGCGATGCTTTCGTTCCATCTGCTGCTTGCGACTAGCATACGCTGGATCCATCAAAGTTGTCGCCTCACCCGTTGCCTTCTGTTCCTGAAAACCGTACCTAGGTGTAAGTATATAATGGAGCCAACATTATAGCGCGTTCTAACTTCTTAAACACGTGATACGCTTACACACGTTGGACACTAAAACATTGTGCCACTGGCAAGCAGACTTACTTTATCGATCAATGAGAGCGCCACTGCTTCAGCATTTAGATACTTCGAAGTCATGAAAAAGGGGCTTCTGGAGATTAACTACCTACTAAATTTTTATAGAAACTAGAATAGAAATCATATAATAACAAGAGATAGAGATCTTGATTATTATCCTTATTATTTCGCCTAAGTTGCCAAATACAATATCTACTTAGTAGTACAGAATAGCCATGTACAATGACGTTATCCCGAACCCACCCTTCTCAAGTCACGGGATCGCTCGTTCCACCCACCGCTTCATCCAGCCAATCTCAATTCGGTAGCTTATCAGAAACTTTCCCTCCTCGTAGGCGCAGGTTAGGTAACCTCATCACTCAAGATAACCTTCTATGCTACAGCACTCTGTACTTAGTACTGTAACTGCATAGATAAGCTAACTCTTCCTTATCTTGTCGCAAAATGCCTGGGCAGTCTGAGCGGAACAAATGCCATCTTTTCCCAATTACGAAACACCTTGTTTGGGTTTCTGACCAAATCCAGGGATTGATTCAGCCGAACGGATGAAGGGCGAACCGCTGAATTGCAGTGAACGCCCTTATGTCGGCAAAGCCGAGATCTTGTCACCATTGTCGACGGCGGAGACTTAGGTGTGATGCATCATTCCCATTCTGCATGAAATGTACGACGGCGGGTAGGCAGTGCACCGGCTACGGCCAGCTTCTGAGATGGAGCGACGATGTCGTAAATCCTGGCAATCGGAAATTGAGGCAACCTACAGAGGGAAGCAAAGTAGCTGGAAAGCGACCCCGAAGACAGATCAGCCGCGTTGAGCCTGTGCTGCCATCCACTCAAATATCAGAAAAGCAAGATAAGTCTACCTTTTGGAGTGGGAGCAAGGACATCTCGAAGATTCAGCTCCAGCTCTCCTTACCCTTGCTGGATCCATCGGTCAAAGACTTTAGCCACACAGACCGGTACTATCTGTCGCACTGTAAGAGTTCTACTCCTGGGCAACATATATCTGACTCATTTCAGTCCACAATCGCCTATGCCAGGATCTGGTGACTTATGACATCCCCAGCCACAATCCGTATCGGAACCTCATCTCTCTCACTCGAGATCACGCATTCTTGCTTCAGGCTGTGATAGCGAATTCGGCGATCCACCTTTCAAATCTGCATTCCAGCCCACCATCCCTTGAATTATGTAGTAGTGGCGGTGGTACTGCTAAGTCGATAACGACAGCTGCAGATAAGGTGTCTCAACTCAGAAGAGATGCTTTCAATGCCGAGCAAAAGGCACTGCAGGCACTCAGGGAGGCGCCACAGCCGACCCGTGGAGTTGAGCGAGATGTGATTTTGAGCACAATACTGCTGTTCATCAATTTCGAGCTCATGAGCTCGGGAAAGAATCGCTGGAAGGTGCACGTGGAAGGGGCAAGGAAAATTATTGCCAATTTTCAACCCCACAAAGAATCTGCGGATACGGAAACAGGCATGTTGCACGATTATGTAGTGGCTGACTGCCTCATGTAAGTTGCTGCCCGTGAAGTTAACGAGATCCTCAGACCTAATAACAGTGCAAGTTATTACGTACTTGGATCCGCCTTCTCATCGCCGAAGCCTGACTCGGAGAGTGACAAGCAACACCTGAAGCTGATTGAAATGCTCGAACGGGGAGAACTGAACAGTTATCTATCATGCCCAGCCGGATTTCTTCAAATTATTCTTTTGGCATCTCACTTCTCTCGACCAGTGCAAAACCCATTGCATAACCGTTCAGCGGGAGATGGTGGCTTTCAACTCCAGCGGGGTCTTGAGCTGATGAACAAAGTCAACTCATTCGATCTGAATGCCTGGGCAGCTGGCGTGCAAGGACTCGCTTTACAGAACGACTACCCAAGCCGGCTGCATGTAGCATCTGCGCACAGATCGGCAATATGCTTGTACATCAACAGGGCGGTCGCTTCAGGTGCACTCCTCGACGAGACGGGTGTGCAAATGCTAGTAGCAGATACAATCGACCACTTATCATACATTCGCCCAGGAAATCATTTGCTAAAGAGCACATCGTGGCCTACATTTATTGCAGGAATTGAGGCGAGGGACCCAAAGCAGCAACGCTGGGCAGTAGAACACCTTTCCGCCCTTTGGGGAATGCTTCCTTGGGGATACATACATACTGCCGTGGAGATGTTGGCAATGACCTGGGGGTTAAACGCGGCGGATCGTGTCAACAAAGCTGTTCGCAGGGAGAGCTGGCCTAAGCTCTTGTTCGGAAAGGATTGGATTGTGGTCTAAAGCGGAGGTGCACAACTAGGACTGACACGACACGAAAATGTTCACCAGTGGATGCTAATCTTGAAGCATTTGGATGGTTGTTTCAAAAGAGTATTTGGATCCTTTCTGATACCGGTTATGACTGGTATCATTACCCAAGTATAAGTGGACGTCAGGTTGGCATGGACAATATCCCCAGACTTCCTCAGAGAATGCATTAAAGTACCACGAATCATCGTCCACAGGAGCACTTGGCGAGGCTGGCTTTCGGGTGTGATTCATTGGCTGATCACGAGTACTTTTCTCCATTACTCGGTGATATTCTCGGTGTTACTCCCTGACATTTTGGAGATGGAAACCCACACAGTCTTGATGACCATTCTCGTCTCGAGCACCGAGTCCCGTACAGTATTAGGTACGGAGGAGCTAGGCACGTACCTAATTATCTCTTGGCTGGACTCTCCAAGCTGCTGACGGACTTTTCCGCATGTCGCTGGCTCAAATACGAGAGTTTTATCTCTCTTCCCATGACCTCTTCCCTCTTGCCCAAGCCCTCTGGATTAAGTAAGCATGGAACTTCCCGCGCAGGATGTGGGAGGGCGGTTATCGCGATCGCCTGTCTCGTTGCCTGAACAAACGACAAACGCTTTCGAGGCTGGTCGCGTAGGCCCCAAAAAAACAATCAAAGAAATCCCTCGACGAATATTCGGCCTATCGAAATCAGAAGCTACAAATGCGCGAAGCGAATTAGATGAGCTGAATGCCGAAGCCATATCCATGCCCAGCGTGCCTCTTGCGCAGAGATGGAACCAACCCAGCGGTAATATCCCCAGGCTGGGTTTCGCATTTATGTCTTTTATGATCGCCGGAATGAACGACGCCGTGGTGGGGGCCCTGATACCGTACTTGGAAGAATATTACGATCTCAATTATACTCTCGTATCTTTGATGTTTCTGACTCCGTTTGTCGGCTACTCGACCGCTGCCTTCGCCAATGCTACGATTCACTCCAAGTTTGGTCAAAAAGGCATCGCTTTTGCGGCGCCGATCTGCCACATTATCACGTATATTGTGATTTGTCTACACCCGCCATTCCCTGTGGTAGTTGCCATTAATATCATCTCCGGATTTGGCAACGGCTTGACTGATGCTTGCTTCTCTGCTTGGGTTGGCGGGATGCAAAACCCCAATTCTGTGCAAGGATTACTACATTCATGCTATTCAATCGGTGCTCTCTTTGCTCCCTTGATTGCTACGAGCATGATCGTCAAGTCCAATCTCCACTGGTATACCTTTTATTACGTGATGGTTAGTGAAATATCTCCTACGCCAGTGCCGTTCACGTACTAATCCTGGTAGATTGCTGCCTCCGTTTTGGAATGGGTGGGACTAGTCACGAGTTTCTGGCACAAAACTGGAAAGGTATATCGTGCTGAACACCCACGGGACTCCGACGCTTCTGGAAGCCGCACTAGAGAAGCTTTGAAGTCGAGAATAACATGGACTTGCATGTTTTACCTCCTTCTTTACATGGGAATCGAAGGTAGGTCTATTCTCCGGATATTCAAAGACGTAAGAGCACTATGTTAACCTGATATCTAGTGGGCCTTGGTGGCTGGGTTGTCACGTTTATGCTTCGTGTTCGCAAAGCTTCACCTTACGATGCTGGTATCTCTGGCACGGGCTTTTGGGCCGGAATGGCAGCGGGTCGCGCATCACTTGGATTTGTCACAGAGCGATATGGCGAACGTTTGTGTGTTTCAATATATCTTGCCATCTGCATCGCATTGCAAATGATCTTCTGGTTGGTACCTCAATTTATAGTAAGCGCAGTCGCTGTTGCATTCCTCGGCTTCTTTCTAGGACCGATGTTTCCTGGCGGCGTCATGATGGCTGCGAAATTATTGCCCAAGCACATTCATGTGAGTGCTCTCGGTTTTGCAATGGCCCTGGGTGGCACTGGAGGGACAGTTTTCCCTTTTGCCATTGGTGCCATCGCAGCAAAGAAGGGCGTGAGCGTTTTACAGCCGATAATATTGGCATTAATTGCTGTGGTGGGAATGATCTGGTTGAGCTTTCCACGTATACGGAAGCGAGAGTGAGCCGATCGACTTGGATATATTCCATCGAACCAGGCCTCCATTTAGCCTGTACGACGTGCACTCAGGATAACATGCCCACGGATTGCGAGAAAGACCCCCAAGGTTTACAGTCGTTCCCTAAATTGGCGATATCTTTCTGGCCATATTCCCTGCTTACCGGGAGATAATATCCCGTTTGGATCAAGAGTATCCTACAGAAGGTCAGCTTTATCCACTTAACGAGGGCCGTTGGAGTAATGGCACCTTCAACTTCTCGACGAATCGCCGATATGCATGGTCGTTGAACTCGTAAGCATCAGCGACAAGATCTGATGTTTTGGTTAGTATGCAACGATGATATGATCTTCTCCAGCTCACCCATATAGTTTATATGTGAACGGTATTTGCTAAATCCCCTCTGGCGGCCCTCTCGATACAATGCTCGAAACGTCTTATCGACCGCGTACCGATGCTCGGCATTTGTTTTGTCAAAAACCATCATATTCACGAATATCACGTGCCTTTCATGCATGAAAAAGTCACAAAAGAGATCGAATTTCTCCTTCTCGCATACTCTTCTCGCTGTACGGGCCCATTCCAGGATCGCCTTCCCCGATGAGGGAATGATAGGAGAGTAGTCGGCATGGGCGCCAACACCTGCTTGCTGCGTTGGTAGGCGGTATTTCACCATAGGGAGACTCCATAAGCTTGGAACTCCAACAAAGAATCCACCATGAGGATCGGGTACGGATGTAGCTTCTAACAGCGATTCATTCTCTCCAGAGAAGAGATGGCCTTGCAGGCGATGCGCCGACGCCGGTGCTTTCTTACCGATTACCCGCTTCAACTCCTCAAAGTGGGCCTGGATGACTGCTGGTGCTCCATAGAGACCAAACTTGACATTCCAGTAGCCTAGATTGAGTTGTTGCTGAAGTTCGCGCAACCTCCCCTCCGGAATAGGTCCTTCATTCGGCCACAGCTCAGAACGTTTCCCCAACATGCCTAGCCACTCCACGATGTTCGAGACATAAACTGTACTTGGGAGGAGCCCGTCTCTTCTGAACTGTCCAAAGATGTCAACTATGGTCTCCACATCTTCGAAATCCGGCATATCGAATGAACAAGACATGTACGCTTGTGGTTGCGGATGTAGCCATATACCCATTTTAGTGACAATGCCAAGATTGCTCTGGAGAAATAGCCCTTCAATCGATGGACCAAAGGAGAACTTCGACAAATGGGCCGATGGGGAGTTGGATATCGCAAATTGCCCGGTCCTAACGATATCGCCATCAGCAAGCATGACCTCAAGTCCACAGATATTCTGATGGTGTGTTGCGGTGGGTGTGAAGCCTGTCCCACGGTCGACAGTCTATCTCTATATCAGCATGAGCCCTGTTAACGGATTCAGGATCTCAATCACATTTCCCACCACGCTACCCCACCCTAGGGAGGGTACACTTGGCCAGACTCGAAGTTTCTTTGATGCACAATATAGATAAAGGTCGGTGAATGTCACACCGGGCTCAACTACCGCATAAGAGAACTCCTCATTGACTTCGATGACTTTGTTCATACGATGAAGATCCAGGGCGGCAGAGCCGTTCAATCTCGGTGCAGGTCCGCCATCTAGTAGAATAGTCAGTACATACATTCTCATTTCTGGCTCTAAAACCTACACCCAAGGTTTTTACCCCTTGAAAATGTCCATACGGGGATTGCGAAACGATTTACGATGGCAAGAACTCCGCGAAGCTCATCGACTGAAGCCGGGCTAGAAGGTCCAATAAGCCACAATGAAACATTATTGCCGTGTCTCTGGATTACCATATAGCACAGCTAGGCATTTTTCGTTTCCCTTCGTACTCCCATAGTTCATAAGGGTCAACATATTCCTCGAGGCCGTTGCCTAAGATCACTTGATCATCTCCCACAACACCTCGGATTTCGCTGACAGCAGTCTCGAAGGAGCTTTTGTCAACACCCGGTGGGAGCACTTCCTGTAGCGGTTGAAGTAGTGCGGTAGAGAACAAATTTCGATGTGTTTGCTGATATTCAGGGTCCGAATATCGAATTGGGAAAGCCGTCTCATTGGAAGGCATTTTAATATATGAGTAATTGTTGTCCTAGCTAAAGCGATGATGAAGCTCTGCGGTACAATAATCATCAGGAAATTTGAGAATCAGAGGTATCCTCGTCTATATCTACCCTGATCTGCCGATTTGCTACAATGTGGGGGAGTTTGGGGAAACCTATTGCGAAAACTTCCCCACATCCCCAAAGGAGAGGGAAAGGAGACTTCGGAATCCCTACGCCGCTCAACTCTTCATTTTTTAAATCTTCACCCCCAGGTCCACTGTAAGTGGTTTGACAATTTCGATGGATCCTCCGTCTCACGAGTTCCTGGCTACACGGCCGAAGCTCAGCTCCCTCGGGCCAGTGCATCGTGATAACTAACATCAACAAGGAAGTCTTGTAGTGGTAATGTGGGAAGGAGGAAGCCTCTGAAAAAGGCTTCAAATATTCTATGTGTCCGGATTTGCAAAGCGGCACGCCTGAGGTTACACCAGTGCCCAGGACATAACCTTTGAGAGGATTCCTGGCTCGATAGCAGATTTGCCTGAAGAGACTATTCAAGGACCGACCGAAACGGTGTGATGTCCAGATCTCGGCAGAAGGCCGAGTTGGAAGGAATGGTTGGCTCAAAGATCCTCCGACAAGGCACATGACAATCGATATCCAACCTTGTTGTTGCCGACCTCGGCGCCATTTGCGTTTTGGTTCATGGTCTTCTTCAGTGCTGATGCAATCAAGTACTACCAGCCGAGAGGGGGGAATGAGGGTCCCATGCGAGTGGCGCAATTATAGCACCTCTCCAAAGGCAAAATGGGGTTCAACCTAGATTTATAGCGAGTCATCGAACTTGAGGTGCGTTATTACCAATCTCTGCAGAGACCCAACAATGTTCGACAGCCTTTGTTTAATTCAAGTTGTGGATCAAATGAATGCCACGAACCTTGTGCGTGGTGCAAGACTCGTGCCGATTCGTCGTCAATAGGCTTAGAACCCATATTACCGTACCAGCCTCTCCCGGGACTGTGACAAAATTAGCATAGATGGCCGCTGAAGGTGTCTTTGACGTACCTGAAAGCCGTGATCGGAAGGATCAGAACGTCCTGCACCAGCTTACTTTGACCACCATCGGTGAGCCCAGTCAAGGAATTCCACCGCAAGCCAGCCTGTTCCGAGAGCAAGGATTTAGTAGCATTTGTCACGGCAACCGGTCCCGTCAGTGATACTGGCCCAATATGTCTGAGCTCCTTGATCGCCTCCGAGGAACCAAGATTTCCACCGTTGCGGCTCGCAACGTCATCCAGCCGTAATGAGAGAGTGTTCATAAATCGCAAAAGAACATCGTGACCCGGCTTGGACGCTAAGGCCCATTGCGTGAGCTGAATAGGGTAGATATATCCCATACGCCAATAATCGTCTCGACTAGGTTTACAATCGGCTTCTATCCCAAGCATAACACCGACAGGATCATGAAAGGAGTAACCCGACCTAGTGATCGGATCGACCCAAGAAGCAAGATCAGAGCTCGAAATCCAAGATGCAGGTTGTCGCAGGGGTTCAGTATCGATATCTGCATACTGGGAGAAAATTAGACCAATTCCACACTGAAAGGATAGCTCCCCAGAATTACTCACGATGCCACCAAACCATTTCAGAATTAAAACACGGAATACATCCGCACGCTCAACATTGGACGGCAAAGCTGTAAAGTGCTTCATGAATCCAGGCTCGAACTGCGTGACCATTCGATTGATGCCATCATCCTCCCAGAAAAAATAGGCCATGTTGTCGGAGATGACGTAGTTGAGCCATTTCTCCACGGCAACACAGAGCTCTTCTGGCCATGTGTCTGCCCGACGAGTCTTCCACGTTTGATGGAGAAGTAAAGGAATTGATGAGTAGTTGATATTGCGACCCTTTCCAGAATTGGTAGCCTGTGAAGCAATCATTGCCGCCTCGACAATCGTCTCTGGTTGAGCCGGCGAAGATAGCCAATTGGGCGGGAGATACCACGCTGAAATGTCCCATGTTAGCCAGCGAAGTAACAACGTAAAGCAGCCACTCGTGATGGAGAGCACGGCTCTTCATCAGTAAGTAGCCAGGGTTAGATGTGTGAGCACATACCTCCACCGGTTCCATTGAAAGAATGGACATGCTGAAAAAGCAAGGGATATTTCTGCTCTAACTCGGTTTCGGTGCAAAAGGGGTTATGCTTTCGTGACGAAGAGTAGAGAAAGCCCAGATAGGCCGAAAACAGCAGGTACACGAATAGACAGCGCTTGAACAGTCGAGAAGGACGCCAGGAGGCATTCATAGCTCGATGTGCGTGTATTCCAAGAAGTCAAGAAAAGAGGACTAGTTCATCATGGAGATTACGTAGAGATGTACTCGTCCCTTGTGCTTTCATCCTGAATTAGATTTCAGCTAAGAGACCTGATGAAATGGGAGAAAAGCTTGAGTGTTGTGCACTTGCGACACGAGCAACGTTTCGACGCAAATTGGCATGTAATAATGAAATTGCTCGCAACAATAAATCCTGAAGTGAGGATAGAGGAAGTCGACGCAAGCCTCTTTGCCCCTCAATTTTTTCCCAAGCGAGTCTAGAGTCTAGACTCTTTTAATTGCGGGCCAATGACACGCGTAGCATTCAACACCTGACGGCGTGGAGTATTATTAGCGGGAGGAAACGCGAACTCCCAGATCCATCGAACCTTAACCTTCAAGTCATGAGCCCAATTGGCTGTTGCAGGAGATGACGCGTTCTCATGTTTGTGGCTTAAACCTACCTGGTTAGCATGGGTTGCGCTGGCCGACGAGGCCCAAGGCACGGACAGCGGAATACACAGGAGCACATCGCCCCTGCATCCGCGCAGTCTTACATTTTAACTCAAGATGTTCCTGGAGGATTCAGCTGAACGAGTGTGAGTCCGGAGTCAGGAGTACGAGGTATCATTCCACCTGTCCCTTCTCTTCCATTCAGGACGACATTATGTACCTATCACGCAACTGTTCCGTCTCACCAATGATAGTAGTATCATACTAGAATGGAAGAAATCCTGCATTTGATGTTGCGAAAATGTTGCGCTGGAGCACAAGGGTGAAGCCTTATATACCTAAATCTTTGAAATGGGGCCTTGAACCCCCAAGACCCACGCCCACTGTCCTCATTAAGTTGGCTAGCACCCCGATTCCTTGTTTGAGTCTCCACTGTGCAACAGCTCTCTTCTCCTCCCACAGCTGATGAGTTTTGGAACCGAAGTCGGGTAGAATAAATAAACATGGTCGCAGCGGAGATAGCAATGGTAGCCATGCCGAGTTTGCGGTCTTATGCTGATTGACAATACAGGCTAATTGTAAAGAGGATATGAAGACTGACAGTAACAGCCCTGCGCACTAAGGTATACATGTATTGTAGATTCAAGCATATAGCCGGCACCAAGCTTAACCAGGGACAGATCAAGGGTCGAAGAGGGTCATACTAATCTCGGAAGAATTTATGTGCTTTGATTTTGGTTACGAGGGCGCGAATGATTGGTTGAGTGCACACTAACTGGCATAGTAGACGGTGAATGGATCTCAATTTGAAATTATTTTGTGTGATAGGGAGAGTGTTGAGATTTCCTTTTTGTATGATTAGAAGTCTTTCCATGGTATACAATTGGCAAGCCCCTCAATTGCTTCCTGAACTTCTTGAGGGCGTCATGTTGAATAGTTTGACTGCGGTTCTACCAGGGTATATACAAGCTCTCTGTCACCAAAAAAAGGCATCTTGCTCTCCCTAAATTAAGCCGCCCTTATTCGGTAAACTGGAGGCCTGTGGAGGGGGGTCGCGAGAGGACTAACCCGGTCTCGAAAAGCCTTGTCCCAAGTTGAACACGAGTTACAGCTTATTGATGATCAGTCTACGCTATAAGTCTACGCTAGGGAACCATGCAACCCTGCGGGCTCCGTCCAGTTCTATAAGGAGTAGTGCTTGTCGTCCACCTGCTTAGAGAGTTCTCTGCTTCCTCTTACATCGCCGTGTCAGAACACTCAAACAGGCACAAAACATCGCTTCTCCTCTCTATGTCGGACCCAGGGTCGTCCCTCAACACTCTCTACGGCTTCTATTGACGCGAACACTCTCCTGAGGAGATCCTGGGTCTGAGCACCTGTCCGATCATGGGGATGACCGTGGGATCTCTCGTACTCTTGCCAATTGCCTTTGTAGTTGGTCGCCTATCAGTGTTCATGATTTCAGTGATTATATGCTTAATTTGTTTCATGACATCGGGCACGAGCGAATCTTCTCACAACACTTCGTCAGTTGTATCTTCGTGGGCCTGGCAACAGGCACAACGGAAACCTTGTTGCCACAAGTCCTTGCCGATATCACATACCTCAATTAACGTGGCTTTTGCTTTGGCATATATTCTCCGTGCAAAATTGTCCAGGTTCGGGCATACTGATTACCAGATTGGACTGCCTTACTTGGAGATGGTTCTACTGGTTACTCGCCCTAACCATGCCCATGCCATATATGTTTGCCCTTTTCCTCTTACCCGAAACTAGATTCGTTTGATGACCCATGACTATTAGTGGCAATTCCATCATGACGGACGAGTCTTACCACACTCGTGGGATGACAAGGAGGAAGCTCTACAGCGTTTGAAGACATCAGACCTATCTTCAGCCACTATAGCCCAAAGGAACCTTGCTGGAAGAGCTGCGACCTTGGTCAACGGACGTCCCTAATGATTTCAAGGTCTGGCTGGGAGCTTATGCGAATATGGGCAAGTTCTGCACTGCAAAGGGCTTTTACATCTTACTGCAAGAAAACTATATCATGATCCTAACAGTAAACTCCGACCTTGGCTTTTCAGCTAAAGCTTTGTACTGTAGCTGCCAAGCGTTGTAAAGGAGGAGGACAATCTATAATCGGACAACATACGCAGGTCTGGATAATCTAGATGTGATTCCGAATACTAAATATGTTGGCAAGTATTCTGGAAGCTACAAGCGTGGAAAAACAGGCCAATCGATAATAGTTGGTAGTGCCTACTAAAAAAAAAAAGGCATATTCCCATTACTACAAGGGAACTAATGGAATAATTATTTTCTCTATCTTGGGGTAATATTAGCCTTTTCTAGTAGATGTCTTGTAAAATCGTCGCGAGACTTCTAGAAACAGCGCAAACAGAACCAGCGACTATCAATGTCCAACAGGCAAATCGTTCAAGTGTAGAGACCGTAAGGCTCCTAACATGACAGATGCTCAAGCAAAAACATGCAGGCGAGGTAACGGAAATGAGGACACAGGATGCAGAACCCATCAGGGCAGCTACATTACCAAAGTTCGGAATGACAGGGGCTATCATAAGCTCGAGCAAATTACACGATGCTCTGATTCTGAATCGCGTTGGCCAGCCCAGCTGGCTGTTCTTTCCGCTCTGACAGGGTTTGAGGTCTCTGTCTTGTGAGTGTTTCCCTAACTCCCTATCAAGCAAATCAAGGACAGGTCGATTGTTTGGTGAGGCCTTGGTCAAAGGAATTGTTGCTACCAGCATCAACGTGATGGCTGAAATAGTGGGAGAATATCCTGAAATGCCGAGGATGCTGGAGGTTCCTTCTGGAAGAATAGCATCTCCAAACATTATGTACCCGAGTACTGCCAGGGTTAGAGCAATACCATAGCAGATTGAGTAAGTGTATCTGAGTGCCTTGTTATACTTCTGAGGGTGCCGCATATCTTTATAAACAGAAGAAACAATGTTGTACCCTCCCCAAGATGCCATGAAGAGACCAATACTAGCTGGGACAGCCCTCCAATCATATGGTAATGCAGAAGTATGAGCCAACTCTAGTAGAGAGCCAGGGGCTTTCTCCTTTGTCAGACCAGCTAACACCAGAGTTGTCAAGATTCCGATTGCACTAGTGATACTGAGAACTTTGAAGGGGGCGAAGTTTAGAGGCATCATGCATATTGCAATAACGATTTTGCAGATACTTGGAGCCAGGGAAGGAGTGAGGGCGCTGAAGGAATCTGCAAATAAGACGAAGAGTGCTGCGTTCGCTGCAAGGAGCTCCGGACGCGAATAGAACCTCGATGAGGTTTCTCCCTGACGAGCTGTAGGCAAGAGAGGCGATATCGCCATAGGCGAATACAGATGAGTCAATATTGAGACACATCGCCAAAAGGTTTGCTGTGTATACTGTCACCAGGGCAGGCAATGTAAGCAGAGTCAACCCCACGGTCCATCTGCATTGCTGCAGCCCCAGCCCCAGGGAAAGTGTCCCAACGCCAACAAGCATGTTGGTCCAATTGAAAATGGTCATCGGTAGAGTGGATCCACCAATGTCATTGAGAATTCCATATTCCGACTTCGCCGTGATGTCGGCCAGCTGTGCAGAGGTGGGTATGGTATTTCCAAGGCCACGAGTCATGGTGTCATAACTCAATTGGCTTGATTGAATACTGAGCTCACACAGCGATGGATACAGTAGGATTCGGAGTCACTTGTGGCCCAGTTTCCTTTTGGCTCGTTATCCTCTGTATATGGGATGCTGCCTGTTTCGCTCTGGAGATCGACTTTGCGAAAATGGGTCGCTCTTTGCCACGATTGTGAGAAGTTACTGAATGTGTTTGGGTTTCTGGCAGCCACTGTTTCAACTGGAATTCTCAGTTGAGAAGGCGGAGATGCAACACCGGTGAGATACCGCAATAGCAGTGCAGAGGAGCTCACTTTATACTACGGTCCCCTATTCGAACGCAGATTCAGAAACGAGCTTCAATGTCAGTCGTCTGCCTATAACCTAATCATATTTCTGGGATCGGAAAACTTCGCACGGTCGTCCCTGCTCTTTCCCTCTTGTTCTATAGCACGACCTGTTCGAGTATTAGGAGCGGAAACCGGAATTCTGAACATAGGAGTGTCTCCGAGCGAACCGGCTATACCCCTCCTCCGACTCACCACCCAGCACCGGAATCGCTTGCTTGCTTTTGCTCCCGTTTCCCTAATGCTAAGTTGGGCTTGATTGCCGGTGGTCGTTTAGTGTGCTCTGAGGATTCGGAATCGTGACCCGTAGACCGCCATTCGATATGCTTCTGTCGGTATTGGCAGCCGGAGGGTAGAATCGAATCATTGCATTCCCAAAGATCTGACACGAATGTGGTGAAAGGGCAGACTTGGGACCCAGAGGCTAAACGTGCCGAATCGAACGGTCGACTACCGCCACAACCAATTTAGGATAAGTATTCCTTCAGATGGATCGCAACCTCTGAAGCCTAAGAGTTAAAAATGGACATACCCGGGAATATTGGCTGGCAGTGTCTCTTGCACCCAGCGACTGAGATAACTTTCTTGGTCCAATGCATACGGTGGCGAAAATATTTCGCGTAACCCAGTCGCTGCCCGTATTAATTTCTTCTGGGGTTCCACGATAGCAGCAACAGAAACGCTGCTGCAAAATGGGTTCACCAGTCAAAGGAAATTAATTATTGTGCTACATATCCAGTCAGCACCATGTTAACCAAGGGCAAAGACACTTTATGTAATTAATTCGATCGTGCCCATTCTGGGTGCTATTTGGGTGTCATTAGGTGCCCATCGAGAGAAATCGTATTACGTACTAACTAGAACAGCATTCTGCGTCCCCGCTGAGGTGCAACGCTTTCCCCGCAGGTGTCGCTTGGAAGTAACAAGTTTAGTTCCCTTATGCCTCCCTGCTCACCTAAATGGAGGGTCAACCCGTGGATGACGCCGAACAATAGGGTTAGGGGAGCTCTACGGAGTATTTCCAGCTTACGATGATGCCTAGCTCCTGAAATGAACTCTACAACGCCCTGGCTGGCGCTGGTTCTTCATGCACCACCGCCTCTTGCACTTCGAAGGAGTTTCAACAAGACAAAGCGCGCTCGTATCGGAACGGCTGGGATGCTTCACACCTACTGGTTGAGAGCAGCAGCCGGCAACCTGCACGCCACCATGCCCCCAGCATATTCCATCGTCTACTCAGAAATGGGCTTAATGCAACAAATTACTACGAAGTGGCCGTGGATAAAAGCACTTTTGATGGAGGTTACACGGCCGCCTCCGTCATCGTCATGCTTTCTATAGCGTTGGCCCTGTATAACTCCCTGGAACTGGCACTTCTGGTTCCATCTACTTTCAAGATATGGAATGGTCTATATTTTTGGAGTTTGAGTATCTGCAACATTGGCATCGTCCTCTACATTCTGGGCATAATACTGATTTATTCCCATCTCAGCATCTTCTGGGCCAATGAAATTCTTGTTGACTCGGGTTGGTTGTGCATGATTGTTTGCCAGTCTCTAGTGCTTTACTCGTGGCTAGGGCTAATAATCGACGACGTTAAAATTCTCAAAGCTATGAAGTTGATGATAGTATTCGACAGTGGAGGTGTCACAATAGTCCTTGACTAGAGAAAGGCCTATTCACGCAATCATCATTCTCTCATGCATACTTTTACACGGAGCACATTCAAATGATGGGCTTCACTCTCCAGGAATTGATAATCTCAGGCCTCTATGTGTGGAAGACTATTGGGCTTCTTAGGGTCATCTCGAAAGAAAATACTAGGAGCATGATCTGGCAGCTTCTGGCAATCAACATTCTTATCATTGCCATGGACGTGAGTAGCCGACAGGTATCATGCTACTAATGCTAGCTAAGATTCAGACAGCTCTAGTAATCTTACAATACAAGCACCTTCAACTCTACAAGGAAGTTATCAAAGGCTTCTTCTACAGCGTCAAGCTCAAGCTTGAACTGAGCATCCTCTCCAAGCTTGTTGACCTCGTGAATGCACCTTCAGCTGACAGGTCAATGAATCTGGAAATTATCGATTCAAATGTGGTTCCCAGACAAGCACACGCTGAAATGCGGCATGAATTGTCGGCGCTAGAATATATCCGCTCGTCTGCAACCACTGATGAGATTGGAGTATCGCATATTGAGGACGCCGCGGCCACGAATGCGAAGTACAGCTCTTCGATGTCTGGCTCACCTGATGAAACTGATGAACTAACACACCCCACTTCTTGCGACTCTCGAAACAGAGGAAGAATAGCTAGCCTTTATTCTGAAATTTCGTACGCAAACATCATACGCTCCTTGAAGTGAGGTTGATTAGTGATCTCCGGAGGGCATAACCCAAAAGCCAGCCATCAGATTTGGACACATGATCTTGATGACGGGAAGGACGGTCCACATCTAGATATTCGATTGATAGCTCCTGAGCGATGACAATACCACTAAATCCCGCGAGGATCACTCAAAGCCAGAAGCTAGGTCAGATCTCATGCTACCAGTACACGACCTATTGAAAGCTTGATACCGCGAGACTGCGATGTAAACACAAAAACAGAATTGTCGAGAGAGCCTTCCGCCTTTTCATGACCGAAGCTTGAGACATTAGCTTCGGCAGGATGACGTATCCAAATATGTGGCGCAGGCCTATCGACCGGATACGAATATTTTCGTTCCTCTGTATCTTTGTATTCATGTAAAATTTTTGCCATGTAGTCTCTGCCAATATCGCGCCGTACTAAAGCCCCGGCACCATTGGGTCTTGTTGATCTTGGCTTTCTCGCCAATCCGATGTAAGCTCTCGGTTGCGAGATAGTTAGTCCACCTCATGGACATAACGACCCACTCCATCTATGGTGTACAAACAACACTAGTAATTAGAAGGCCACCAAGGACAGTGGAGAACACCCGGGGTAGAACAATATATCCATGCACCAACGCCAGGAGTCTCTATCTGTTATTCTAATATGGTAGGACCTCAGGGATGCTTGTATCGGGAGCTAATCGAGCATTCAACGTCTGTGGCTTGGCCAAGAATGGAATGGATTCAGATAAGTGCACCCCTGGATGCTCGTTTTGCTACACAGCTTGTCTCACGAGTCACCACCCTTGTCATTGGCAGAAGGAAGAAGGCCACAGCTTGAACAATTCCGAGGGAAGAGTCCGCCATACTAACCACGCAAAAGAAAGAGCTCATGACGAAAGCGCCACGGTCGGTAATCATTACTCGAAAGCACAGCGTCATACGGCATCTGATCACACCTGGTCTCCAATAGGATCTGCAGCTCCCTAGATGCCGTCGGGTCGAGGAGCATTTCCTAAATTGGCTGAGGGGTAGATGAAGATCGTCCAACTTTACTTCGTTGTCATTACCCTATAGTTTAGTTTGCGACCTTTCTTCTGGAAATTATGGCCGACCCAGAAACGGTCTCCCAAGTGTTTATATGGCATCTTCGGCCGCTGCTCTGACTCTGAGCTTGCTTCACTTGAGAAATACGATCTGATTGAGCAGGAACAATCTCTAACCTCTACCTTGCAACCTCTAACCTTTCAACATGGATGCCACATCGTCCGAGAAAGGAGGTGTCCATTACGATGGAGAGGCACCTCCTTCGAATGCCAGGCGAGGTTCAATTTATCAGGTCATCCCTCCTTCGGAGAGGCGGATGTCTGCCCAAGGTCGTCGCATTTCGGTCATTGACGATATCTTCGGTGAGATCAAGGAGGGCGGTCCGAACTACCGAAATGTAAGCTGTCCAAACCACTAGCATTGTCGAGATACTGACTTGCTCAGGTCGGATGGCTTGGAACTGCTGTGCTGATGATCAAGACACAAATTGGGTTGGGTGTCCTATCCATTCCCGCTGTCTTAGACACACTAGGAATGGGACCAGGACTTGTCGTAGTGATTTCGATAGGAGTAATCACGACATGGTCGAACTACGTTATCGGCACTTTCAAGAAAAACCATCCATCGGTTTACGGTATCGATGATGTAGGATACAAGCTTTTTGGCAAGGCTGGGAGAGAATTTTTCTACGTCGTGTTTGTTTTATGTGAGTATTACTCCATGCCTGTCACTACCTGTGTCTTAATATTGACCTGGTATAGTTTGGATCTTCGTTGCTGGAGCGGGTATGCTGGGGATATCAATTTCATTCAATGCCATATCGACTCACGGAGTTTGTACGGCTGTCTTTGTCGCAGTTGCAGCCATTATTGGCTTTACCCTTGGAAGTATTCAGACCCTCCATGAGGTCTCGTGGTTGGCTTGGGTTGGTGCGATTTCCATTTTAACCGCGAGTGAGTCACGCCCTGCACCTCTCGTTGTACACGTTCTGACAACCAATCTATAGTTTTTACCCTGACAATTGCTGTGGGTGTTCAAGATAAACCTGCCGCTGCCCCGCCGGGTCCGTTCAAATCCAACTGGAAAGGTGTAGGCGATCCAACCTTCGAGTCAGCGATTTCAGCTTGCTCCTCCATCGTTTTCGCATGGGCCGGTACGCCTGCTTTCTTCCAGATTGCGTCTGAGATGCGTGTACCAGAGCAATACACCCGCTCACTTTTACTTTGTCAATCTGTCGTGGCCACCACTTATATAGTGATTGGCGTTGTGGTCTACTACTACTGTGGAAGCTTCGTTGCGTCACCAGCACTTGGGTCGGCAGGAGTTCTTTTGAAGAAGATCTGCTATGGTCTAGCTTTGCCGGGCCTGTGCGTTAGCACGCTCCTCTTCGTACACGTAAGTGGCTATCTCTGGACTTCATAGAAGATGGCTAATAACTCCCAGATTGCTGCGAAATACGTCTTTGTTCGCATGTTGAGAGGTTCTTATCATCTTACGGATCCTACTTTCCGGCATTGGGCCACCTGGCTGGGATGCACATTAGGCGCTACAATTATCTCATACATTATCGCAAGTGCAATTCCTGTTTTTGGTGGACTTGTCTCCTTGATCGGTGCGCTCCTCGGCACTCTTATGTGCTTCCAACCGATGGGCGCCATGTGGCTATACGACAACTGGCACAACCCAAGGACAGCCAAGTGGTATGCAATGGTGGCTTGGAGCGTCTTTGTGATTGTCTCCGGTTTCTTTTTGATGATTGGTGGAACCTATGGTTCTGTGATCGATATCAAAAACTCGTATGCAGCAAACGGCGGGTCTTCTCCATGGTCCTGTGCAGATAATTCGAATTCAACATAATGACACGAGGCGCATCATCAGTCTTTAACCATCTCCACAAATGGCGAAACACGAATTTTGAGGTCTGAAACCTGGCAAGAGTGATTGCTACTCTATTTTTAGCTTTTCGTGGTTGCTGTTTCAGCCTGGCGGTTTTTGTATGTCCCTTAAGAGCCTCGCCCCAACATACCACTTCATACTTTTTTCGCCCACCGGGACTGAGGACAAAGCACACTAGGGTGATTTCAGCAAACCAGTCAGAACTCGGTGACATTGGTTCGCTTCGCACGTTCTCCTACAGCCTTCGCCGCCTCTTAAACCTTTTCTAAGAACTGTAAATCCTTACATCGACGGGCTTTCTCTTGTCTTCAGCGTTTGTTACCATGATCGTCCCGCTCTTCGTATCCCAGATTTGCCCGATATGCCTCTCATTAATAGCTGTTGTCGATACTGCTACCTTGAAATTAGTAAAAGACAAAACCTGAGAGAACAATTTCAGCAGCATTGTCTCTGCACTAGCGCTGTCCTCCATCATTTGAGCCAATCCCTCGGAGTCAGTGTGATATAGAACATCGAGACACTAGGCAAAGCGAGGGTGAGAAGCTAAAGCTAGACCTTCTTGCCTACGGCATCGCCAACGGCTGCCACCGTGGTTGGACATCGGCCCGCTACTAGCAAGCATGGGTTCAATTGCAGAGAGTGCTGTACAAGCATCCTCAGCATGGAGCTGCAAGGGAGACTTTTGATGCCTTAGATCGCGAACCCTAACGCCCAGATTGTTTAGATCCTACTTTTTGCCGGTGGGATGATCTCCACCTGGGTAATAAGGAGTTAATTAGAAATCTGACTGTAGTATTTGGTGACCATATCATAGCAATCTTTCGCTTTGGACTAGATTTTGAGCTCATTAATGGTTGCGGGAGCTAGGCCCTCTGCCTACTCCGTTCACGGAATGTTCGGCGACGGTTAACGATTCCCCGGGTGCTGGAAGTGTAACAATTCAAACGCTCATGTAAAGGCCCGAGAAAGAAATGTATATCACTCGGTTGCGACTTACTACTTACTACGATTCCCCATCCTCCTCAGCTTGAATATATGCCAAAGATATCTTCTATGTCAAAATTGTCGAACACCGTGTTAGTAAAGACCGACTCATCTGAAACATCATACACTGAGTTGAAATCATCCAAGCTCCAATGGCTCGGATTCCCTACACTTTCCAAAGCCGTTGGTGAAACTCGTCCTATACCCGGGTCGGATAGAATCTCATTGACGTCCGGACACCACTGTTGCACATTCATGAGCAAAGAATTCAGTCCCGACATCTGCTGCTCGTCTGTCCAGGGACCCAGCCCAGGGGCAGGTCTACGAATACTTTCCACATTGCAATGGTGGAGCAGAATTTGTCGGTCATGGTTCAGGCCAGAGACCCTTTGCGCTGCTGTGTCGGCAAGTCCAAACTTGTCACGCATAGATTCAAGGCCGAGCATAGAATGGTTACACTGTCTTTTCGCTGAGGTTCGACTGATTATTTTTCAGGAAAGCAGTACAGCAATGGTAGGGCTGCCACCATGTACCAAAAGCCATGTATCGAGCCAAGATATGATGCCTGCTCTCGACAGATGACTTCTTCGTACAGGTCTGCCATGCAAAACGCTGCAATGACACAAAGGATTGAGCAAAACCCCTGTCCGTCATTCTGACATGCTAATTTCGTGGTTAAGATGGCGATTCCCATATTTCGATGTACACTTCATAAAGAGCGAAGTGGTAATCGTTCCTTAATCCGTTTTCTCTGTGGAGCAAAAGTTCTCTGGGTAGACTGACTAGCCACTGCGAGAGTGGAGAGGTGATCATTGGTTGATCTTGAACAGAAGGGCATCTTTTCAATATCGATGCAGCTAACTCTCCCATTATGTGGTATAAGGAGATATTGGCCATAAAAATCCTTGCGCTGAGACAATCCTCTTCAAAGTCATCAGCAGTCAACGGTGGTACGTCAAATTTGTCGGAGCTCAGAATTGACGGTCGACCGTACATCAGAGATTGTGGCTCGGTCGTTTGCCTGCTTATGGGTGGTTATGAAACATCCGTGAATATGGGCATTTGTAATTAAACCTACATACAGCATCCACCATATTCGACGTCGGCAACCTGCATCAGTCCTACTGGTATAACTTGACTTTCGATGGAGGCCCATTTGCACGGAGAGCCTTAATGCAGACCCATTTGCATGCCACGGTGACTCGAGACTCACGATATTCAAGGTGGGGCTCCATAACGTCAATAAGCACATTGACTTCAATACGATCAACACATCCTGTTCCACATTCAAGGCAATTGTAATTTAATTTTCTCGTACAAGTGTCCTTGGGAGCAGGTATGCTATGAGCGCGACTGCCGCGTTAGGCTGCCGGCAAGACAAAGCGCCTGTTAAAGCACAATGGACGAGTCTGGCCCGCATACCTCTGGTCGACTGAGAACTGGAACAGTATGACAAATATTTGTGAAGAAAGAATCTATCAATGCCCGACGGATTGGTTGCTTGGGCAGTACATCTGTTCCAGAGGCTTTAAGAACAGCAGCTCTGAGGCTCATGAGTCCATCGCTTGGAGCACTAGGCTGTTGATCTGTCGCAACTGTGGATTTGGCGCGTAATTTCAAGACTGAATATTCGGCAAAGTAGGCTGCTTCCGGCTCATTCCTCATTCCATCCATGGCTGAACAGGGTATAGAATCTTGCAGTAAACCCACCGATGGAGGAGAAGCTACTGGCTTCGGGCTAGATAATAAGGAAGAGGCCTCCCGGAAAGAAGTGTTCGTAATCTCTGGCCGATGGCGACTTTTCGACAATTTCCTTTTTTCCCTGATGCCCTCGCAACGTCTTCAGATGCATCAATTGAACTGAAGGACAAACAATAACCACGCACTTTACTCACAGACAAGAGAAACCTAATCGAGATCAATTCGTGCAAACGTCATTGATGCTCTCCTGCAAGTCGCATCGTACCTGTCGATCAAGGTTATCTCTCGCATACCTTCCGCCCTTGACATTGGAGGCACACAGTTCGGGCTCGATCTCTCTCTATGTTCTTGCAGCCGTCGAATGGTCCGAGTGCAGAGAGACTTTGATGTGGAGGCGCTCTCATGTCCTACAATCTCAATGTTCGCACCGTCCGAGGAATATTGAGTTACGCTTTCCAAGTTGTGAATGAGAATCAATATCTGGTACAGGGCTGAAGAGAGGCATCAAAGCAGCTCATCCCCGAAAAGTCACCCCGACTAGTGCCTTCGATATCGTTCGAGATACCCACCACAAATTGGTGAGACAAACCAATACGCTAGGGCGGTCGAAAGAGAGTGCCGCCGTAATATGCGCTCTGGAAAACTGGAATCTATCATACAATGAGGATCTAGACCACCTCTCCCATGTATTCGATGGAATACTAAGACTTTCCTCTGTGTAAAATTCAGACCTAATGCGATGGCCATTGGATTGCTTTCCGTGCCCGATTTAGTAAATTGCACCATCCCCATACTGGAAAAACGTGAAACGAGGAATTCTGCTAGCTCTGTTTCCTGTGGATTGGGGCCCCAAGGTATCGCCGATCCCAGAACCAAGAGAATGGCCTTCCTGATTTCGGGCGTGAATATCCAATCATCGAGGCGAAATACTGAGACACAAAGTCGAGACATTCATGATCATCGATCGATGTCAAAGAGGCATTGTGTCCTACGTTCGCACAGATTGAGAACACCTTGCTTGTGAAGATTAACTCCGGTAATTCCTGCAGACGTTACCTTAGAGACGCGTTCATGTTGTTCCTGCGCCCTAGGATTGTCTTGTGAGAAGAGCTGCACATACTTATTGAGTATGGCGTTGCCACTGGAGGGCTCTCGTCTCTTGCAATAATGGTGGAAGGAAATGAAATCTGAACTCTTGACCTTCCCCGTGTTGGGTGCTTATATGCCTCGAGAGTCACGATAAATTCAAGATTCATGACAAAGTTTCAGTGAGAGAGCAGGAAGAAGAGAGTCCTGGGACGAGTAATGTATCAAACCAAGGCGATAGGTCAAGTAGAGAGCTAGAAAGCAATCTACTCTGCTCCCCCAAGTTTGCTGGTTAAAACGGATGCCCTTTGCGAATATTCTTTGAATGCTTCATCGGACCTGCCGCTGACATGAGGTGGTCAATCTGATTCCGTGGCGGGGATCGCATGACCAACAGTTCTCTGGACTAGTTCTTACGTTTCCTACCGCCGACTGTGATTGAACAACCATCCACAAGAGTGAAGTTAGCCTAGTCATGCGATACCTGCTTGCGAATGGTGAACAGCCATCTCGCCGTTCGAACAATGCACGTGGGCGCGGAACAAAAGCGCAGACCCTTGGCTCTCAACACAGTCACAACCACGCATTTGTGGACTGAAGTCTTGCGATGTCGAGGTTGGTTAGAAAGTATCTCCTAGTCCTTGTTGCTGAGGCGCTCATTCCCTTTAATTCTAGTCTCGTAGGTGCCGAGTTCAGAATGCTACCTACCGGCCGAGTGCCGGATGCCAGGTGCCGGATGCGTGGTGAAGGTCGCCCTCCGTTGCATGCGGTAGTCGCGTGGTCAACAAAGCACAAGGCAACGGAGTCAAGACCATCCATGCGTCCGAAAGCAGTGTCAGCTCCCTGACTGCTTCTCATAAGGTTAGGTGAAGGCCCAATTTCAGACTAACTCGTGCCCTCGTATGGTACAGATTATTGAGAGTATTGAATAGCACTAAGTATTGAGAGTTGAGTGAAATAGCAAGCTGGGAATATGCAAGGCAATTGCAGAGTACGCGGGTGCTTGGTGGTTGCGTGTTCGCGGACCTATTGCATCCCAGGCTTGTAGGGATATAGAGAGAACCAGCCATCAAATCAAGACTGACGTGCCCACAGTACAGATTGTGCGAAGTCAACTAGACGTCTAAATTCATTGGGGGAATACTACAGAGAATTCCACCATATTGTCAGCGACCACGTGGACTCAATCTCCATGACAGTTTGTCTCCGCCAGAGGCATTGCCTGAACGAAGCAGAGTATATAATCGTGAGATTGGCGTAGGCGGTCGATAAGATCGACGATTCCGCAGCTCCTGTACGGGCATAGCTTGGGGGTTGGCGACGGAAGACGAAAGATCGAGACAGTAATGATAAATGTTTACCTCGCATTTGACTTCTCGGACTCTTGCAGTAATCGACTTTCTGGTGATGCCCAAAAAGGCTCAGCCTACCATGAGCTGACCTTGGTGCCGTGGCGTTCTTCACGACATTAGAAGCGAAGGCATAATTGAATCCACAATATAGCTGGACGCGCAGGTTTCGCAAAGTTGACTAAAGTATAAAAGCATTGTCTTTGACTGATGAAAGATTGAGTTCCTCCAAGTCCGATAACATTCCCTCCGTTGCGTCCCGCACCCTCATTACTGCTGCCGTTATGTACTGAACTGCGAGGCACCGGAACGAGCTCTTCAACCTCATCCAGAAGAGGCTCCATTTCCTCCTTCCAGGTTGTGCAGCAAACACGAATTGTGTTGAGATCGACCTGGGTGGCAATAGTCCAGGCCGAGTACTGCATCCAGGACGGATAGTAGGCCTGCAACTGTGGCACACATTCTGTCTGGTGTCTCACGCGACAGTCGTCTACCAGCGCAGGCATAATATCGGTCGCTTGGAAACAAGTGGGGTTGACGTTCGCATGACAGTAGATGAGAGTGGACCCCAATGCCCAGGATTTTTCTTCTGTTGTACTGAGGCTGAGTATAAAGAAGGACTTAGGTTCCACCGAGTCGCTCATCGAACTAATATCAACGAATGCCTTTGTAGCTTCCGCGCTGTAGTGGTGTTCAAAAGCCTTTGTCCCTGCCCACATACCGGTGTAAGGATATGCTTTGACAAGGAAGGTGGTGATGATCCCAAAATTAGCGATTCCTCCCTGCAGTGCTTTGTACAGGTCTGGAAGCGAATCTTTACTGGCTGTCACGACCGAGCCATCGGCCAGGACCACTTCATAGGCATCAATATTATCACATCCCCAGCCGTAGAGGTTCGAATGCCAGGAGACTCCGCCTAAAGAGGCTTCGTTAGAGAATATCTTTCCGGACATTATAAAGAAGGGCTCACCCCCTAAAAGTAAACCCCCAACTCCAACTCTAGATGCTCTGCCACCCACGACCGTCAGACCTAGGGATTCTAACGCAGAATATATATCTCCCCAGCAGTTTCCTGGCCCGATTGCGACTGATGACTGGTTCTTCGACAACTTGATCTGCTTCAAATTTGCTAAATCAATCAAGAAACCGCGGCTGATGGACGATTCTCCAGCCCATTTGCCGTGCCCTCCACTTTTAACTGCGAACGGGCAAGACGGTTCTCGGAGAACAATGACAGCTACTGACACGTCAGCAGCTGTTTGTGGCTGAAAAATAGCTGCAGGAGTATTTTTCGACTGGGCGGAACTCCAATAAGCAGCCCTCGCTCGCTCGTACGCCGGATTGCCGGGAAGAAGTCTCAGTAGTGGTCGTATCGTAGATAAGAGTGAGCACTGTGTGTCATGTTCAGCGATGTGTGATACGAAAGATAATAAATATGAGATTCGTACTGCAGCAGCTTCGTTCCTCCTAGAGGCAATTTCTCTGGAAATCGGCTGGCACGTTCCATTTACAAGCGAGAAGCTAGTTTTTCGGTGGTGGGCACTTCACTTCGCGCCAAAATCAAAATAGGAGAGAACAGAAAGGGCAATATTTACACACAGCGCCTCTCTCTTCAGCGTACGCTCACATCGGCCGATGTATTGGTGAGACACATACTTCATGTTGTACCGAGAGCCAGTTCTTGAATAGGCGCTTAGATGCAGATCAGGATAAACGAAACTGATAAGATATTAATATATCTGATACTGAGTACTAAACTATCCCTAGAAGGAGCGGTGAAGTGTTCATAATGTTACTATTGATTTGAAGTCTCTCTGTATGCTGTTCAACGCCATTGAGCGAGTTGAGTTGGGGATTCTAGCTGGCTCTGCTGCGAAGCTAAATGCCAAAGTATACATTGTTTGCGTGCAGGGGAATGATGGCTCATCAATTGTGCTACAAGACTGTCAAGGAATACGCGGGCTTGTACTCTTAATAACAAGAGATCTCCCAAAGGGGTGCCAAGATAGAGGTAGCATCCCCTCAACTTTTGGGGAACTGCCTACTAAGCACCATCCTGTCTTTCCCTCTTCAGTTTCATTGCCACCAATATCACGCAGTAGCCACCGAGGATCTGACAACGCCCCGCTCATCTCGACTAACCTCAGGAATCTCGCATTTGTCTCGTAAAGCCAAAATTAGTAGTGTAAAAGAACAGTGGAAGCTCTATTCCAAGGTCTTCGTTCCCTCCGGCCTGAAGTTGGAACCTGGTCATTGCCGGAACGCATCATGACATTATCCTCCCAAACCACCACGACACATCTCAAACCTAGGGAAATGCGGTGCAAGACAGGTTGCGTTTGCTGTCGCTTGCGTAAGAAGAAGTGTGATGAGACTAGGCCAATATGTCGAATGTGCCATAGGCTCGGTTTGCGTTGTTCGTGGCCTCACGCGAATGACTTTGCCTGGCCGATCAACCTGGGACTTTCTTCGAGTAAGAATCCATGCCGACAGCCAAAGGCGCGCGGTGTCTTGGCATCAAATCCGACCGCAGATTATGACAGCACTGAAGAGAGCGAGACGCTCGTCCAGAAAGACATCAGTGCAGGGCATGAATATAGAATGGTACCAACCCTATCATCAGGAATCAACAAGTTGGACGACCCATCACGTCGACTTTTAGAGTTATTCATTCGGCGCACGGCGCACCAGATTCTGGGGACTCCTGTGGTGGTATAGAATCCCCTCCGCCACGAGCTTCTTCCCATAGCACTATCAGATCGCCTAATTTTGAATGCGCTCTTATCTGTTGGTGGCTACCCCCACCTTGAGCCAAGTGGAGGCGATACCATCGAGACGAGGATTCCCCACTATGTTATTGCTATTCGGGAGTTGAAAGCTGCATTGGCAGAATGGGGTTTAGGCAGAGGTTGTAATACTGTTCGTCTGCTTTTAGCGACGTGGCTATTGTGCCTCATGAGGTTAGTAGCTCTATGTCACCAACCCTCGTGATCCTTAAGCTCGGAATCCCCCATTTAAATTGAGGAATATGGGACATCTCAATGACTCCTTGTACAGGGTATTCGAGGTAACGCGGGTGGTTCGCTTATGCATCACCTCCGAGGCTGTCGCCACTTCGCGCAGGAGATCTTGATGGAACCTCGACTACCCTTCCGACCTTGTGGGTGTCTTACTCGAATCTTATGCTTACTGTGAGCTGTGCACAAGTCTGAGAATGCTACCTGGCCACGATGACATTACAGCAGCCTGTCGATTCTCCGATGAACATCTGACTGCACTACAAACGTATCGAACATTTGGCATAATTTTTGCTGGATATATGTCGCTTTTGCGTCTCGTACCTTTCATATGCAAACTTGCAATGGATAGAAGATCCGAGCTTTCGGTAGATCAGGACTTCGACTGCCGTACAAGATATGACAATTTGAAACGGTCTATTCATGGCTGGTCTCCATCGACCGCCTTTGAATCAACAACTTCAGACACTGGCGTCAGGGTAGACAACATAGGGGATTTTCTCAAGGCTGGCAATGTGGTGAGAAAAGCCCTGATGATGTTCTTGATGTCAGCATATTACAAGGATGTGGACTACCTACGGGGAAAGATACATCCACTCGTCGAGGACACTATCGAATTCATGGCTGTGACTGTCGCGGGCTTGGCAGCCGGACATCATATATCAACATTCTCTTCTGGCTCATGTGTGTAGTTGCAACCTACTCCACCACGATGCTACAGCGCGAACGTATCTTGTCATTTATAACCAAGGATATTCCTTTGTCGAACAGAGTCATGCAAACCCTGAAATGGGTGTGGGAAGCCGACGACTCCGCCTATGGACTGCAAGGTCTCTCAGACATGGTCAAGCTTCACAACGTGGATTTTCTCTTTGGCTGAGATATGAGCGATGTGTTTTGAAGAAAAGAAATTCGAATATTAGTGCCCTTTATCCGGCTATTAGCATCATTAACCTAGCTAGAACTAGTTGAAATGGTTGAAATGGCCATGCTAGGGGAAGCGCCAGTGGCGAGTGAAGAACCAATGCTCGCGGAAGGGCCAACACCAGATGAAGAATGAAAAAGGTCCTTTTCTCCCACAGGTGCACTAAAAGCAGATGATCCTATCAACATTCAAGTGACAAAGCTCTACAGTCATTATCAACGGCACAAGAAATGGTCAAAGCTTGAGTAGAGCTTGAGTCGTCTGTAGAATAGGAGCTGCCCAAGAAGGAAATGCGATAGTGTACTTAACAATCGAATACCCATCCCTGCCGCAAGATACCTATGTTATTAACTTGTCCCTTGATCGATGCGAGTGGCCTGCTAGAAATGGCAGCCATGCCCAGGGTGGAGCTATCACAAAGACAGGCTTTTACGTGGCGGTTTAGTCAATTTCACCTCCTGAAAATAGTTAAGAATCCAAGTGATGGGATTGAAGAGTGTTCTCTTTGCACCGTGCCCTTGGCAAATCCTGATGTAGGGCAGTAGCTGGTAAGACAACAGTACCGTTACTCTCTTGAATCGCAACTTACCTCCAACACACCTCTCATATGGCATCCGCAAGGTTTGAAACAGCCGCTAATGACAAGACCCAATGGACGGAGGCAGACGAGAAATCAAGGGTACTTTAGCGTACGATATGCTAGACATTGTACCCTTGTGCTTGCAGTGAAGTTGACAATGAGTCGGCTTTGAAGAGTACTTATTACGGGATGTGCGGCGATGTGAGTCGGCAACGGAGTTAGGATTAAAGACAGCCTGAAGGGTTTTTTATTTATGGCTTCCAGAGCAAGGCGCGACGGTATATTAGTACGAAATTCAGAGCTCAATAAAGTGGTGGGAGCTTACAATAGCTCACTTAGTTGTTGTAAATTAAGATCATAATTGACTACCGTATCTGTTTAATGCAATTCGTACAGGCCTTCCGAATACTATATATGGAAATTTAGTTGACCCTGTTGTATTCCTGCTGACCCCTCCAAGGAAACGCTAGCGGTACAGTAGTACTCTCTCATCCCACCTGTGCGCGGGAAAATCTTCTCGATGTCCAATGCGCGAACTGTTGGAGGATTTGGACTGTACAATTGTACGGGCCAATCGATACAGGCAAGTCAGCGTAGTTGAGATTTCTGTCTTCTTCTACTCTATGGTCACCGTTCTGGTTTATATAGAAAATTACTAGGTAAATGGCCTCCTGGAGCCTATTTTCCATGATTCCAAAGCATTCCAAAGGCTGTAGCACTGACTTGTTGATCGTCATCACAAGGTTGCCTGCCAGCTTGTTTCATCGATAGTCATTTAGGCGCCAACACGAACTCTCCTGACAACAACACCTCGGTAGGCGACCCGGAAATGGGGCTTGTACGAGTATATGACAAATCTAAAACTAGGAACTTAGGGGACTAATTAAGAGGTATGTACCTGCCAAGCGGCGCTCAAGATCGCACAGCACTCACCCACAATTACTAAGTCAAGACTCGGGAAAAGCAACAAGGGCCTCGGGTCCGGGTCCGGGGATGGATATGGATGATGGAGAGGTCAAGATACGCCGCGGAGTAATGTCGTTTATTCGATCCAAAGACCTGACTTGTGGGGGTGGGGGCGGGGTTCTAGGGAAGTTAGCTGACAGAAACCACCGACGAGCCGAGGAGTTGTTCAGAGTAGGCTACGTCCTAGCTCCTCTAATAGGTACACACCTTCTTTACCTCTGGCGTCCGTCCAAATAAGATGTAGATTCGCTGGACCTTTTAGACTAGTTAGATAGCCGAAGTTGAAGCAAGCTGTCGGCCTGAGCTGCTTCATCAAGATTGAAATAGTGTTCAGTCCCCAGTTCCAGAGCTCACCTAGACCCTTTTGTCTTCACCAGCGCACTTAGACAACCATTCGGACAAGTTATGTACGAAAGGTTGGCAATCACAATACGAATGATGCGAATTCCGAGTGACGAAGGAACCGCCGCTAACTTGTAGTAGGATATATCAGTAACGGTTCTGCAGTGTTATAGCTCAGTTATTGGGTTATTAAGGATTATTTACAATGATCACCGAATGATTAGAAGGAGACAGTACCTTTGCTTCGACCGAGTCAGTATATTTTGTTCACCAGCGTGAGAATTTCCTCCCCCAAACGTAAGGCTCTACACTTAGCTTGCCCACTGGCGAGAGGTCCCGACCAATAAATAGTACGAGAAAATTGGAAGAACCGGGTAGGATGCCTAAAAAAGCTTCGGCCGCCTAGAATTCTTCGGATTCCTCGCTTGGTATTACTATCAATGTTTTACCTTACTTGTAGAGCAATTTAGCAACCTTTAGTCAAAACAGTTTCAGTGCTTAGGACAAGGCACTTAAGACAACTAGGACCACGCTTCAACCTTCACTCAAGTCGTTTAATATCCGTTAACCGCGGTCCTAGAAATGGCCCCCCACCTTTGCCCAATCTGCCACAACACTTTCAGCCGCAAGGAGCATCTGAGACGTCATCTAGGAACTCGTAAGTTGGATTGAACTTATCATGATCAAGCCCCCTTTTAGCAGCCGTCGTCGATATCTAGCCAATTTCTGGCTCCAGATGTAGTAAAGTGGGCTGACGACCATCAGATTCTGCCATCCGTCGGTTTGTGTGCGAGACGTGCAGCAAAGGTTTTAATCGAAGGTAATGGTGCTCCCCGCTAAAACGACAGTCGAGATCGTCTTTATATAAACAGATGACTAACCTGAAGTCTATGGATCAGAGATGCTCTTCGTCGCCACATCTACACTTGCGTCCAGTACAACAAGAACGAAGACAAGTTCTCTGAGCAGATTGTGCGCACAACCCCTAGTCAGGTCTCTACCTTGGCAGAAAGAGATGAGCTCGAAACATGTGTCAATGAACACGGTAATCTCTCGCCCACACCATCGTGGGACCATTTGATTTGCCAGTTGGAGTCAGACTCCTATCAAGAATCTATCCGTGGTGGTGCATCTCGGTCACTGGGTATATTTGTCCGGGTTGTCTCAACCTTTGCAATCACTGGGATTTTCGACCCAACCTTTGCCCTACCTGCGTCAGCCCCGCCTCATACAACAAACTTTTCTCAAGCTCAGGGCAGCCAAATGCCCACCTGGGGTCTCCCTGGCTCTGTTACCATGATGGACGCTAGTGACGCAACTGCGTCGTGCGTTTGGCCTTCGAGCCCTGGTTCGGCCAATGAAAAGTCTCTATGCCCATACTATTCATCAAATCTGAATCACGAGAGTGCCCGAATTGAAGCGCTTCGGCCCACTCAGTTCTTTACGGGAACCAGTGAGCCCTGGAGTCCTTCTCACGCACCTATGTTGTCTATAGAATATGACGATTGCTTGATGGCGAGCAATGAGATCATATCGAGACTGAGGAATGAAATCAGCCAGAAACGAATAGGTCATGCTATATATCCGCAAGAGTGGAATTCGCAACTCGAAAACGAATGTTTGATCTTGTTTGGGCCAAGTAGCCTAATGAAACTCACGGAGGAGTACTGGAGCACTTGGTACATCCACTGGCCAGTGATACACCGAGCGACCTTCCGGATCTCTCTAGCATCAGCCAGCCTCATAGCCAGCATGGTACTTCTGGCCGCTAGCTATTCATCCTATGCCAACACAAGAGAACTTGCCCGTTATTGGGCTGACGCTGTAGAAACTATAGTGTTTGCAGACGAATATTTTGGAAGCACCACCGTGTTTTCCGCTTTGAATGCGGCGTGTCTAGAAAGACGGCTGCGAGCACTGCAAGCTGGGCACGCTATGTGTATTTATCAGACATTTGAGGGTGGACCTATCGCAAAGCGAAGGGTAAGGCGAAGCCGATTCAATGAAGTTGTTGCCGTAAGTTGACTCTGCGCCTAAAAGGATATCCTAATGTGATGGTAGATGGCGCGTGAACTTGGTTTTCAAAACGGTCGACACACGGATGTTCAATACGTTACAAAGGACACATTTAATTGGAAGGAATTCATCTTGAAGGAAGAGCTCATCCGGTATGAATCTTGTAGCCTTTTCAAGACGTCCATGTGGCTAAAATATTGACCTCAGCACACTTACATATATGATTGTTCTTGACAGCGGACTTGTCATCATTTATAACACAGTTCCCAGGGTCATGGTTCCAGAGCTGCAGACGGACTTGGTTTGCCCGGAAACCTGTTTCCAGGCCGCTACTGAGTCAGAATGTCTCCAGTATCTTCTTTCCTGGGCATCACATCCACTCTGGAAGGGGCGGCGTATGTCCATTGCGGACGCGATCAAAATATTAAGTGAAACTAACCTAGACTTTCAAACACAGCAGATGTTCACACAATTTGGCGAATTGAATCTTTTTGTACTCACAGCAGGTATGATCATGGGAAACTCAGTTGAAAACGCTCATGAGCCTAGCTAATCGTGGAGTAAGCGCTTCACTCGACAATCTTCTACATACGAAATTCGATCCTTCCATTCTATCCAACTTCGGCTGTATTAAACATAATGCGTAATTGGAGGAGAATATGGACGCTCCGCAAGTTGATGAGATTCCGAGAAAATTTTGGAACTCCTGCTCAATCAACGGGCGACGAAATTACTCAACGGGAAAGGTGGAGGCAGACTGGCTTCATGAAAGACGCAATGCAATTCTGGATACTTGGACAAATTATGCTCGACAGCAAAAGAACCCGGAGTCTCGAGAAAGGCTCGAGGACTGGCGACAACAATGCTCCCAGTCAGTTTGATCAACCATATATGAGTGATCTCAAACAATATCTCAGCAAGGCTGGAGGAATTTCGACATAAAACGGAGTATATGAGAGGAAATGGTATCTTTGATGAGCAACGGCCTGAAGGTAATGGTGTGCATTAAATTCGCTCAATTCAAGGAATATTGTAGCACTATTTCACCCAGCACGCATCTAGCTCTCTTGCAATTTAATCCAGCTCTATCGCCACAAAGTGCTCTCTTATGGTTGGAAAGAGCGGAACGCGAGCTACATCGGCCTTTGCAAAGACACCGGAATATGCTGGCTGGCGCCCGAAGTCATATATACCTAGGCATCATACTCACTAGACCGCCTCATAATCGCCAGTCCACTATTAAATGATAGTCAAAAGGGGCATACCTTGAACATCGTGGAGCAGTTTCCTTATACTTTGACCTCTAGCTACCTGGAAACATTCCAAAATATTTTGCTATAGCTTAGGAATACGGGCCTGGCCTGTACCAACACCCTACCACAGTGCGCAAGGCTTTGCCCACGTGCACGGGACCCTATATTGTCTGCAATTTACCCTCATCCAACCATTGAGCGAGAGATCTCGTTGCTCCATTCCACCTCTCTTGGTAACCAAGCACAATGATCCTTCCATCTTGATATGCATGAGAGCTTCTCAAAGGAATTGTTGGTAAGTTGTTCTAGTACCACATAACGTCTCTCCGAATGCTCGGGAGCCTGGTAGTGGAGGGTGTCGTCGATAACACATGAGGTCAACACTTGAGAATTTCTCGTCAGACCCGGTGATGCTGATGACCTTAGCTCCTGGAAATTTTGTGAGTTATACCGCAATACTACCCGTTGCACATGTAGCTCCAGATACGCCACAAGTTCACCTGGCTTGGGCTTGCCGACATCGAGTATGCCGGGAACGGCTGGCAGTGCTTCACCCTGTCTTCTACCAGAAGACCGCAGTTAGCGACAGTCGCTCTTTGGAAGAGGAGATACGTTTCGTCGTTGTTATCTACCGAAAGCTATTATGACAGGCATCAGTAAGGGTGTGATGGCTTGCTTAATATGCTTAGCCAGTCCGTGAGTTTTCCCTTGAGTAGATCGATATACTCCACATCTTGTTCCTTGAGCACAGCGCGTTCAGCCCCGCCAGCTATCGATGCTGCATACGAGCCAACAGGGTGCGGATGGGACTTCAATACGCGAATAATCCCTACCGAGTAACCTCACATGTCTTCCCACTTCTGATCAGGAGAAACATAGAACGTCGTTCTATAGGTCATTGTTACCAGGGAATCAATCACCCGCCACCACTATGTTTATATACATATATCTCTCCAAGAGATCCAAACGAATTTGGTGTGCACAAGAGGCTGAGAATTAGTAGCTTAGATCCCTCATCGCGGAATCGAAGCTCAAGTAGCAGGTTTCGTACAACAACTGTCTGTCGCGTAAATCCTGCTCTTGCGGAGAGTTGTTTGCGGCTGTTTTGAACGCTGCCTCAAGTAAAATTTCATCTGTACATCGAGAATACAACAGATTGATGAGGATGAGACATCCTGATGGCTGATTTTAGGAGGGATCAATATATGATGAAAGCAGACGGAGAGTAAGCAAGCATGAAGCTCCTCGGGAATAAGTTAAGGCCATATTTGGTGTCCACATAATAACGTTGTTCGAGTAGCTATGATTCCCACCACTAATACCCCTCGGCGGCACGACTCTGCATTGTACTGAGGTTCAGCACATCTAACCACGAGAAAAAAAGATTTAGTACTCGATCTGACTGATTTCCAAAGCACCATAGGCGAGTACTATTTAAGTATCCTTTCCACACCTCCTAGACGTAATCTTCTACATTCGAGACTGTTTAATTTTAGCTGCCGAGTACTGGTCCCCGCCATCCAGTAATTTGGTGAGCTTCTTATCCCCTAGTCTAATGGTGGGATCATCTTCATCACTACAAATTCCTCAATGACCTCACGATGAGATAAAACAGGGTCAACAGAGGCATTCCAGCCCAAATTTCTTGCCTTCGTCATGCTCAATGTAAAAGGAAATGGAGGCAGCATTGCAAAGTCCAGGAATTCGAAAATTCTTTGAAGACTGTCTCCGAAGGGGTCACCTACCAAGCTATGCATCTCCGTGAGTTCTTTCCACGCCTTCTTGTTCTCGGGCCTCTGAGCCCATTGAACAAAGCTAAACTTGAATTTCATGATCGCTGTGGGGGCGAAGCTGTTTACTGTCAGCAATCAAGACCAATTAAAGCATGTCAGTGTTTTACCTCAGATTCTTTTTGAAATCCATTGAAATCTCTTGAAATCCCTCAGTGTCGGTATCTGGCAACGTGTAGTCAATTCCATACCAGCCCGCTAGTTCCAACCATAATCTGCCATAAGTGAAATAGCAAGAATCCGCTGCGTTGAATGCCGCATTTCCAGCGTGTTCATTCAACGTCAAATATTCTGAGAGGTAGCTATTGAGCCATGCACTTGACTGTATTACTTCCCGCTCCCAGGCGGCGAGATTACCAGGCCAAATGAGTTTTTCTCCTTTATATTTTTGTACTGCTGCGTACACCGCTAATGGGTATACGGAATTCATAGCTGCGTCTTCAACCGCACCTATAATGAAGGCCGGCCGGACAACATTCCACTCAACGCCAGTATTCCGAGAGTATTCAGACAACAGGTCTTCTTGCACATAATAGAAATTAGGTTCTGGAATACGTGGGTCAGACTCGAGAGCAGGCATTGCAAGCCCACCGCCGTAGTATTTCGCACCAGTCTGAAGTAGGAATCGTTTCGGTCGGATGGCTGCTAATTCGAGAGCATCAAAGCAGTTTCTTAGGAGTTGACCTGTAACTAGATTAACACCGTGGTGCTGCATTATCCTTACGTCCGGTTGAACGAAGAATAGGCTCTTACCATTGACCTTGCAAAGCTCTTGAGCGTTCGACCATAATGAAGCACCATCCCTTGGAGTCGGCTGCATATAGGCGAAAAAGAAGACAACGTCGCTGATCACTATCAGCATGTATACTTACGGCCTTAGATGAAAATTGATCACTAACGCTTGAATTTGTTCATCTCTTAAAATCCTAGCAATATCCTTTGGATCTTGTAACAGATCGGCCTGGACATACCTGACATTCTTGGATACAGGGTGATTTGCAAGCGGTGGACGTCGAGATAATGCTACCACCTGGTGCCATCTCTCCGGAGCTCGAGAAAGAGCTCGTACCATGTAATTACCAGAAATGCCATTGGCTCCGAAAACAATTGCATTCAAACCCTTCAGGGTCGGTGGGTAACAAGGTATACCGCAGTAGATTCCGCGTCTCTCAACTGTCGATTGTGCCATCTTAAGTTGGGCGTTTTTGGGAAGAGTTGTCACAGTAAAATATAGAATGGAAACCACGAATAACTAGTTGAGGCTCGAACGTACGGGAAGACTATAATGAAATAGTTTAGTTATTATCTTGATATTTAGTCTCAATGAAGCCGAACTCGACAATATATAGAGCTCTGTATGTTAGGGGTCTTAGATATTATTACCTAGGCCTGAGCCTAAGAGCAGAACCTAGGGGAGGGGGCGGGGGTGGGGGTACGAACCGAGGGTAAAAAGTCGTGCTCTATAAATCTCTAAGAAGATACTAAGTATTTAGGTCGTAAGTCTTAGCTTATACTAAAAGAAGATGGCTTTACTTTCCGAGTAGTAACCGGGTTTTGCTGCAGCCATCTAAGCTTTTTAATATAGAAAGTGCCCGGTTCTCTACGGAGCCCTAATATAGTAAGATAGTACTTTAGGCATTATATATATATAATTACTAGTCTAGATAGTTTATAGTTAGCTTCGTTAGTAATCCTATACCTATATATTAGGACATAGTCTAATAATCGATTATTCCCTTTACTATTCTAGTTAATACTCTTATATCTACTCTATTAAGGAACCCTACTTTAGTTAGAGCTACTTACAGCTCGGATCATAATAGTAATACGGGAATAATCTATACTACGAGGCTTAGTAAGGTAAGCTCTATCTACTAGCGTAATAAAACTTAGAGATATTAAATATTTTAATACTATATTTAAAGTATAAACTCCCTTATAGAAGGAGCGTCCCCTCCCTTGGGGACGCGGTCTATAACCTACATTCCTATAGAAAAGTAAGCCCTCTAGCCTCCCAGAGAACTCTCCAACCGTCCCCCGCGGGACGCTTGACTCGACCGCCCTAGGCTGTGTTCTCAGCATAGGATAGCGCATGCCTATTCACCTAGCTATTCATTTAGAACCACCTATTGCACGAGAAGTCCCCGCTCGAATGCATAGCCTCAGTGCTTAAACTGCACAGCTATTCTGTTTGTCATGAACCTCGAAACATCTCCCATCAAGAAACATCCAATGATTGAGAGTATTCCAAAAGGGATGCTTACATACCAAACATAAGCCAGGGCGCCAGAATAAGCCCACCTGCTACCTTGAACAGCTGCCGCAACTATAGCTGGAGTGACGCCGGTAATGGTAGACACATTTGCTGGATTGGTGAGAAATGTGGTGGTGAAGTTGCTAGCAGAAGACTCCGGCAGCCCAGCCTGAAGTGCATATTTAAGGACTTCAGCAGGTAACTTTGAATTTAACTTCTGCATGAAAACGTTGTAGTAAATCGAATATCCGATTGAACCACCAACAAAACGTATCGTCAATGTAAGCGCCGTCGCTGTGGCGATCAGAGAGTCTGGGCATGCAGTCATAGCGATGGTTGCGGAGGGTACAATCACACCTCCTATGCCAAAGCCAGCTATCGTGGCCAAACCAACGGCTAAACCTGCATTATCTGGAGTCACTGCAGCCATACTACCTGTGAATGCAGCTTTCGGTGGATCATTAGCGCCATGTTCAGCTCTTAGAGTCTCGTCTCGACTTACTCATCAACACACACGAGACCAGGAGGATTTCACGATTGTGTCCTTTCAAGAGCGTCAGCATGGTATTCATGACTGAGGCGCCCACGGTAATTGCAATTGAATATCCGAGTCCTTTGACACCGACTTGTATGGGACTGAGCTTGTCAGTAACATTCCCGTCAGTCCAGACGATATCACCTACTCAGGCTCGAACACAGTGCTATATGTTAGTGGCGCAAAGTTGATCATTGAGTAGAAATTCATCCCAGACACAAATGCAACCACAAGAGCGAAAGCGACGATGCGTTGACCCGCGAATAGTTCTTTCGGCACGATTGGAAATTTGGCACCTTTCCATTCCCAGACAACGAAACTGGCGATGAAAGCAGCTCCAATGAAAAGCATCGAAAGAACGTATCCACTTGTCCATGCGTGCGAAGTTCCGCCTGATTGAAGAGCAACAAGACTGAAGCAATACTTAGAAATGTACTTGAGAAGAAGCCAGTATCACTTACAACAAGATAATTCCAGAGATCGAGAGGATGGCGCCAATGTAATCAATTCTCCGAGCGAGTTCTCCCCGAGAGAGTGCCCCTTTACGCAGTATACGCGAGTCTGGGAAGTAGAAAAGGAGCACCCCGGCAAAGAATATACCGTTATAAATACTTTACTCGTGTCAGTGAGGAGCTCCTCGGAGATGGTGATAACCTCACAGTGTTATCCAGAGACCCCATCTCCAAGTGGCGTTTGCGGAAAGTAATTGAGCATATAGAACGTATGGAAAGAATGGGCCTGATATCCCCGTGTTAGCGTGGGTAAACGTGAGCTCGATCGTTAGACTCACAGATAAAGAATGTGACGCACGCCAGATATATTCCACGATTCTTGACAGGAACCAGTTCGGCAGTTCTGTTGGCCATCGTTAGTTGGGTACTCGCATTCAGTTGAGTATAAGGACTGCTAACCCCGCAAGCGCTGTGAGCTCACCAATCTGATGTCGTCCTAGTCAGTTCTATAAGAAACATTGCCAAGCTCAGATGCCATTCCAATAACAGTCCATCTGTCGAAAACACTTAATCATCAATGTGTTTAGAATCATCTTCATGACTGGTGCTTTTGGACTTTTCCACCACCAACAGAAGACTTATGAAAAGGCACTAGATGCATGAGAGAAGAGAACTTACAGCGGCTCCACCTCCAGCAATCGTCATACCGACCACTCCTGCAGCGAATGACTTAGCGGTGGCTGTAAGTATAATGCCGACCACGATCAAGGTCGAGCCAAGAATTGAAATGTTGCGCTTGCCGAACATGTCTTGTAAGTAGCCACAGAAAGGGCAAACAGCAGCCAGAGCTAGTGAGTTAGAGACCGGCAGCCAACCAACTGACGCTGCTCCCAGATCTGACGCAATATAACTGAGTGATCCTGTAAACTATCAGTCGGGTTGAGAAGGCCGTAGGCGCTTGCAAATACTACCTCCAACAAAGTAAAGAGGAATTTGTGAACCTATTTGTTGAAATGAAATGTTAATACGGCTCCCACTATGTGATGTTGGAACTGGATTTCCAGACAACTTACCAACATAGACACCGCACAGGGATATGGTTGCAATGATCTGTTTCCATGTCCAGTCAACGCGACCATCGGACTCATCACCCTGTGCTGCATGGCTCTTTTCTATCTCTACTTCGACGACCTCATGATGATTTGCAGCAGTGTGGCTTTCTTTGCGCTCGACCGTAAGCTCACGTTCTTGGTTCGGAGTGACATCCATGATTGCCTTTAGCTGTACGGGTAGCGCAGTCTCTCTTGAGATGGATGAGGATTGCTTGCACAGAGCGACCGCCTTCATCCCACGAAGGCGACTTTGGCTTACATATATGTCCACAAGCATCTTTGGATTTTGACTGGCCGCAGACCTTGGGGACACATCGTGTAGGTAGTCTTGAGCGGTCTTCTCGAAAGAGTAGAGCCCAGGCTTCGAGCACTAGGACAACCCCAGACTAGTTCAACCACCATGGCTGATATTGCTCCACATAATGTGCGGGTTCAGAATACATGCAAACGACTTTTCTAGCAAGGGCTGGAGTTGAAAGTTTGGGCCGCTGGCGAGATGCGCTTCAAAGACGACTAAGGTTGGCCGTGAGCTTACAGAAACCGTCGTGAAGGGCTACGGGGGCACTGAGTGGTGGTTTCCGTCCAATAGAATGTCGGCATGGAAGCAGAAACCGTACAGCACGAGTGTCAAGCACTTTGTAGCTCTGCGGGGGCGGTGCGAAATCGCTAGGCGTCAATTTGAGCTGACAGTGAAAGTGCTTAGAAGGCTGCAGCCACCTGGTACTGACGGTGAAAACGCTTACTCGCCTTCCCCACAGACCCTTTCCCATTTCCCCCTTTTCGCCACTCGGTTGGCTAGACCCATTTCGAAAGAAATGCTCTTCCGTATTGGCGAGTACTCGACGATGATGTTTGATTCGTGCATAGACATCACAAAAATCAAAAAGATTATCTGACATAGAAAGCCCGTTCGGTAACAGGCTTTCTCCAACTCGAGACTGAACTTCTACCTGCACAAACAACAAAATAGCGAGTCGGAGCAGCAATGGCCAACTTCGAACAGAGCAACATCGTTGTAACTGGGTCCGCCTCTGGTATTGGCCTTGCGATCACTTTGACGCTCGCAGAGCGAGGCGCAACAGTGTGGACAGTGGATCTTTCAAAAGATCCGCCGGACGCGCTCAAATCATGGATCGAGAAAGGCCGAGTTCACTTTCAAGGCAATATCGATGTTGGAGACAGAAAATCTTGTAGAGCCTACATGGAGAGTGTCGTTTCTACTGCCGGCCGTATTGACGGCTTGGTAAATAATGCTGGAATTGGCCTATACGAGGGGCCTATTGCATCAGACGAGGTGTACGATCGAATGATCAGTGTCAACATTGGCGGTACCTGGAATTATGGTACAGCAGCACTCCGTGTGATGCAGAAGCAGGAGCCAAAAGGGCCATGGAATTCGAGAGGCAATATCGTCAACATCGCTAGTGGTGCTGGGTTGAGAGGTGTGAGTCAGCTCGCCTGTTATTGTGCTACCAAGCATGCCGTCATCGGTCTGGCGCGCTCATGGCAGGAGGACTTCGGACAATACGGGATACGCATTAATGCAGTAGCTCCAGGTAAGAAACTCCATTCCCCAAATGGGATTGTGCTCACTCAACACCAGGAGCCACACAGACAGAAGCTTTTGTCAAACGAGCAGAAGAAGAGAAAGGCTTCCTTGGCACGTTGCCGAGCAACCCTCTGGGGAGATTCGCAAAGCCTGCAGAAATTGCGGCTGCCGTTGCATTTTGTCTGTCTGATGAAGCCAGTTATGTTGCAGGGGAAGTATTACAAGTCACAGGGGGCCACTGCTGAGCTATTGGAACGTTTGTATTGGTAATATTCTGCCAATCGCTGAAATCAACTCTCAGATCAGTCGTGGTTCTTAGATCTTACCGATACCAATAAGAAAAATTGGTTTATTAGATGCATCCAAAAGAAATCATTAGCTCCAATAGCAAGGTACGGCAACCATGAAAGGATAGCCGTGAACATGAGCGATCATTTCTAGATCCAGTTGTGACAAGAGGGTGTTGCTGCATTGATGACCGAAATGTCCCGTTAGCAATTGTAACAAATTAATTGGATGGTGAGCTCGGTCTAGAAACTCGCTTGTTTCTGAGGATAGTAACGAATTGTGTCGATTAGCTCGATGTTCCACTTGGAGAACGAAAATCCTGCATACGAGCCAGCTTCCGCATAACAACTGTGAGTAAGCTATGGCTGAGTGTCCCTGTGGGTCTGTAGTCCACCATGGCTGTTAACCTAGCGCGCTGAGACGGCATTCTCGGCTCCTGCTCAGTGCAAGTTCCTTCCAGAGATATCGAATGTGACCAATATTTTCCCAGTCATGCGGACATGTAGCGAGCGCTGCAAGCATAGCTGCTATCATCTCCCAATGCTTGCGTTCCTATTCCTAGGGCACATGCTGAGTTAAAAAGGAAGCCTCTCAGCGCCCACACAGCCATATGATTTTGAGAAAGCCGGAAATATGATTTCTAAGGCACCCGAGACGTACGAGATCTTCGATCAACCTCACTCTCAACCAACAAGACTCAAAATCATTCATGTCGGTGCCGGCGCGTCTGGTTTGCTCCTAGCTTATAAAGCTGAGAAGTGGTTGCAGAACTACGAGGTCATCTGTTACGAAAAGTGAGGCTTTGCAGAATTGTTGCGGGACACTGAGGAGTGAGTGCCTGACCTCTGGATAGGAACCCCGCGATTGGAGGAACCTGGTGGGAGAACAGATATCCTGGTTGTGCCTGCGACGTTCCTGCCCACACGTACACATACACATTCTGGCCCAACACAGAATGGTCAGGTAATATTCAGATTTTTCTTATAACCTCGAAATTTTAAGTAAGGAAGAATAAGGCTGACGACCTCTCGAATACGATTCAGGTTTCTATTCATACTCTGATGAAATACAGAAGTACTTCGAACGCTTTCATGAGCATCATAACCTGGCACCGTATATTCAATTAAACACCGAAGTCTTGAGCGCCACCTGGTTGGATGAGAGCTGTGAATGTGAGTTATTCGGTGTAGTTGCCCTTATCAGTCTTATCAGATTGTTCTAACTACAAGACAACCTTAGGGGAGGTCGAATTAAGGACCCGGGACAGGAAATTCACGGACCGCTGCAATGTTCTGATCAACGGTTCAGGGGTAGTGAACAAGTGGAAGTGTAAGCTCACACGGATGCGACTTCTGATATTTCTGTGTGGACAGCTTCTGGGAGACGCTCCTCTGACGCTGGAGTGCTTTTAGGGCCTGCAATTGAGGGGATCTCATCATACAAAGGAGTACTTTCACACAGCGCCAACTGGGATCCGTCGATCGACTGGGCAGGCAAAAACGTTGCGGTTTTAGGAACAGGATCCAGCTCGATACAATTGGTACCGCACCTTGCCAACGGTAAGACAGTTCGCGCAGGGGCAGCAAAGAAATTGGCAATTAAATCGTCATGTAACAGGTGCTCAAAGCTTGACGGTATTCGCAAGAAATATGACATATATCGCTCCTCAGATCGCCACAGATGAGCAGAAGATTGATGAAAGCAGCCAAAAGACAGCTGCAGCAGGCAAACATCACTACACAGAGAGCGAAAAGGAAAAATTCCGAACAGACGCCGACTTCCATCTAAAGTATCGAAAGAAATTGGAGTCAGCGTTGACTGAGATGTTTCCGCTTTTTCTTCGTGGGACAAAGCACAATCTCCAAGCGCGACAGTCGATGCGAGAGAGTATGCTTGCGAAAATCGGCCCAGGCCACGAACAGCTTAAAAGGAGATTGATTCCGGAATGGTCCCCGGGCTGCCGAAGACTGACGCCTGGGGAAGGATATCTAGAAACACTAGTCCAGGAGCACGTCAATGTCGTTCATGATGAGATCGTACGCTTCACTGAAAGTGGTCTTCTGACTACAGCAGGAAATGAGTATGACTTCGACATAGTTGTCTGCGCAACTGGGTTTGATATTGCATACACGCCACATTTCAAAATCATTGGGAGAGATGGTGTGACAATGGAGGAGGAGTGGAAAGAGACTCCCAATATCTACCTCAGCATTACAGCCCCAAAATTTCCAAATTACTTCGTGGTTAATGGTCCGACAGGAAACTGGGGACAAGGCTGTGCATTGCCATCGGTAAGTGTTCTTCTTATCTATTAGTGTTGAAGTTTACAAACCATGCTAACCGCTATCTTTCTACTAGCACGAAGTTCAGCTCGAATATGCCCTGCAATGTTGCAAGAAGATGCAGGAGGAACGCATTTGTGCTATGGAACCTCTGCAAAAACCAACCACGCAGATCAATCAGCACCTAGATGCCTGGCATAGAAAGTACAGTGTTTGGGCTGAGGAATGTAGATCGTGGTACAAGGATAACAAAACGCATGGACGGGTGTATATATGGCCAGGAAGTCTTTTGCATCACCTGAAGACACTTCGTACGCCTCGGTACGAGCACTATGATCTGCGTCACGAAAGAGATAACATGTGGGGTTTTCTCGGTTGTGGTAGGACGGATCTGGAGATTGAGCATGAAAATGGTGCCCAGGTTGATCTCGCGCCCTATATCAGAGCTGCGGATACGCCGTGGACTCTGGAAATGCCTACGACTGGGATGTAAGGCGCCTGGCTTATCATTATTTTGGCATACCATCTCTTGAGATGGGAGGCAGGTTCAAAACTGATGATTGGCACATCGGACCCAGAATTTAATCTAGATTAGGCTGTCCCTCACCAAACTTCCATAGCCACTCGTGGACTGTCCCGAATTACTTGTCGAGAAACACATTGACGGTAAGACCTCATGGTTACCTCATCAAGAGATCTAGGAACAACCCAAGAGAAGTTGTTGCCAGACCTGAGGGGTAATCCTTGAGCAATTTTCGAGTCTGCCTCACGAAGATGTGGATACCTCTTGAATAGTTCGGGGTCGACGTAAAATCTTTCTATGCCATTCTTGATTCCAAAATGACGGTACATTGCCCCAGCATATTCTCTGGTATGTAGTAACGCATGAAGGCTAGGAGCGGGTAAGTCGATTTGATGGTCTTCGCTGGTGTCCGTATTTCCCCAGAGCGACTGATTACTCTCCATGCCGAAAATGATATCACAGACACTGAGAGTAACACTCAATGGTTTCGCGTCGACCACTAATTCGGACAGATCTGCCTGTACTACATAAGCCATGCCGATATAACCACAGATCTCGTCCAGTGCAGAATCGGAGGAGTGATATTGGATGAGTTTGTTTCTCAAAAATGGGAAGATGCACCAGTCGATGACAGCGGGATGCGGAACAGCAGCCTGTAAAGGTGTTGGTGCCAGAAAAGAGGGTAGTGCAGCCAAGGTATCGGGATTAGGACATATTCTCCACGCCGTGAGTCTGGCAAGTTGTTCTTCGCCGTTTGTGTTTCTCATCCAGGGCTCCATCCATTGCCAAGCAACTTTGACGAATGTATCGACTAAAGCCGTGGCCACCTTATGAAGGCTAAAAGCATGGTAAGCTCTGGAAAACCTATAGCCCTTGCGGATGTACTCACCTCCGCACGTCTGGGGGTTGACTGTCACCAGAGTAACTCATCACAACACACATTTCATAGGCATGGATATGTTCAGAATACGCAGAGCGAGCCATGGCTTGAAGGCTGCGATACAATGGCAATTCCGTTGAGATCGGGACGCACGGCGCAGCCGGTGCTGTTTCCATCGACTCAGATCTTTCCATGTTCATGAGAGTCTCCAGCCCATCACCAATCGGCCGACCGAGAGAAGGGGAGGCTACAGTAGCTTTTGTTAGAGATAGTGCCCTCAGACTGCAATTGCCCATGGCAGGCATCACAACATTTGTAAAATTACTGATCTCATGCTGTGGCTCGGAGACGTTCGATGCGCCAGCTGACTCAGTGATGGTATTGCTTAATTCAATGTCGTACGCGCTAGCGGACGCATTGAAGGCATTGAAATGCTCATCTCGGACCTCGCCCTGTGCACTTGAATGCGAATCGCCCGTCCCCATATCAACTTGCGGTGACTGTGGTGGTGAATTATTGTCGTCCAGTCCCTATGATGTCAGCACGACCACAGTGTAAGCCTCAGAGGGTCAGTCGAGCTCACTCGCTCAGTATTTCGGTCGATTGCAACGTCGCTGATGATGTCTTTTAATGTGGCTTGGAGGCTACGAAGCTTGTACTCGCAATGAAAAAACTGCTGTCGAAGCACCTGATTCTCGCGAGCTAAAATTCTGTTACGGTCGCTCTCCGATTTGGAAAACTGGGCTAGACGCTCCTTCAGTTCAGTGATATCCGAATTTTGTCGTGCTCGGAATGCTTGCTGAGAAAGACGATTGCGCAATTTTCTGCCCATTTCGCTTAGCAGTACTCGTCCCTGTCTTGTCCATTGCACAAACCGTTTTTCCGCTGCGATGGTACTCCTTCTGACCCGTGGGTCTGGGGAGCGTATTTGATTCTGTGACGACATTGCGTAAGTCTAGCCTTCTTTCGCAAAGCAGTGAAGCGGATTGAATGGATATTAGTCCACTAAGAACATATCTAAAGCCTACGATGTACTTCTTCATTGAGTGAAGAAGTGTAAGCTAATAATAGATACAGCGTTCGAGCGGGGCTTCATGGGAAAGAGTAAGTACCTCGGTTAACCTAATGCTTAAATTGCCGATGCTAAGGTTCACTAAGGGAACTAGTATTCGCATAAGCACGTGCACAAGCACACGTGACTCTTGGCGGCGCTAGGCGGCGCTAGGGGTGAGCTAGGGGGCCCCCGGGCTAGACCTAGCTAGGCACTCGGCGCCCGGACCTAAGCCTAATTAGGCAATGGAAATTTCACGTTTTATAATTATTTAACTAAGTTAACTACCCGCGCTCCTTCCTTTAGGCAAAGTTCTCCCTTTAACTAAATCTTTAACTAAATTCTTACCTGAATAAAGCCTCCACTAACTACTCTAGGCTATCCCTCTAGGGAGGAAGCCTATAAATTCGTCTAGGAATAGGTATAAAATTACGGCTACGCCTTAGTTATTAGGGCTACTTAGCGCCGGAAGGCACCCGGAAACTCTACTACTAAAGGGCCTATCTATCTAGTTACCCTTACCTATAATAGGGGCGGCACCCCCCGAAATACGAGCGTTACTAGTCCTCGGAACTCCTCTATAAGTAAAATAGGCTATCTATTTAGGCTTAATCTTAGGCACGACTTAGCTATTTAGGAATAGTTAGTTAAGATTCTTAACGATACTTATAATTACGAACCCTCTATTCGGCTCTAATAGTACCTAATACTTAGGCGTTACGAGCGCTAAACTATTTATCCGGGGGACAAGGTTTAGGATCTATAATGGAAGTAGCCGAAGACCGTAGAAAGAAGGAGTAGAATGTATAGTCGCTTTCTATCTTATTGAATAACTTAAGATCTATCTAAGTAAAAGAGTATAGTGTTATAATCCGAGCTATAAGTAGTTCTAACTAAGGTAGGGTTCCTTAATAGAGTAGGTACTAGAGTATTAACTAAGATAATAAAGGGAATATATAATCGTCGGACTATATCCTAAACGTAGATATAGAATTACTAACGAAGTTAACTACGAACTATACTATCTAGGTAAAGGAGCGTATATATATAATACTTAAAATACTACTTTAGTATATTACTATATTATTCTATTACATTAATATACTTATACTCCCTCTAGTTACGTAATATAGCTTCGTTCTCTATCGACTAACCTTTCTTAAACTATCCCTTAGAACGCGGGGCGCCTATTCCGGCGACCTTATCTATAACCTAGTCCGTAATACTATTCCCTCCTTCTATCTACGTTATTCTTAACGTACTTAAGGTAGTCGTTTCCCTTCCGTTACGATTCCCGTTTCTTCTTCCTTATAGCTAACTATATCGTCCTTAGATATTAAGAAGAGCCGTCGATCCTCTAAATTCGTATATAACTAGAACGCGCGTCGCCTTAAAATTACGAATACTATATTTCTCGATTCTAAAAACGTCGCTATAGTTACCTATACCGAGTATATTAACTATAACGTTACCTATTACTATAATCGAGAATAGTCGATAAAATATTCTAAGTATCTTCGGTACTAAAGAAACTATAATAGTACTTTCTTCGTAGAGGAATTTCGAAAAGTTAGAGAGTAAAAGAAATAGTTAGTCTTAAAGTTTCGCGCTAAGCGACGCGAGATTACTCGGCTTCGTAAGGTTCTAGCGAAGCTAGAAGAGCGCGACGTCGATATCTAGAACTTTCTAGTTAAACTAGAAGACTAGTCTAATTATATACTTCGTCGAGAGATAGAAGTATTAAGTATTTTCGAGTTTATAGAGGCGTCCGCTAGTATTAGTTATAAGTTAATTCTAGTCGAGCTCGAGTTTATTTTTAATAGTTAGTTTATAATTAATTTAGTAGATTAGGAATAAGTTCTAGATTCTCCTAATAATACTAGATAACTAGTTTCGAGTTAAGGTTTATTTCTAGTTCCTAAGTATTTTTCTCTTCGGAGTATCCTAACTACTTAATTAAGTATTTTATTTAGTTATCTTCTTACTTATACTAGAGTATAGTTTCTATATCGTAATAGAGTTCTTAGGTTTCCTCGTCGATATATATCGATCCTAGTCTAGCTTCGTCTAGTACCTTTTCTAGTAGTAATTTATAGAATACTAGATATATATTTAGTTCGTCTAGTAAGTATAGCTTATAGAGGACTAGTTCTAATATTTTCTTAATTCGATATAGTCTAATTTTTATATAATCTAGTTTCTTACTTAGTGTTATAATCCGAGCTGTAAGTAGTTCTAACTAAGGTAGGGTTCCTTGATAGAGTGGGTATTAGAGTATTGACCAAGATAATAAAGGGAATACTTATTCGTCGGACTATATCCTAAAATATAGGTATAGGATTACTAACGAAGTTAACTATAAACTATACTATCTAGGTGAATGAGCGTATATATATAGTACTAGCCTAGACTATAGACTTACTTAGACTATATTTATAGTCTATAGTCCTCTACAGTCCATTCCCTAGTTACGTAGCGTAGCCTCGTTCTCCATCGGCTAACTTCCTCGTTTCCCTCGAGTATAGGCGGCTTATCCTTAGCGACCCTTCTAGTAACCTAGTTCGTAACACTATCCCCTCCTCTCTCTATTCGTTATCCTTAACGTATATAAGGTGAGTATCGTCCGCTAGAGGCGGTCCGTCCTTCTTCTTTCCTTTTTATAGCTAATTATACCTCCTAAGGCCTCTCTCTCTAAGCCCGAGCAACTCCGACGTCTTGCTACTAAAATTAAACTCCCCGGTTTTAGCTTCGAAACTATAGCTTCTTATCCTTAGTACGTTAAGGCGCATAAAGTATATATCGTTCGCGAGGGTTACTCTCGTTATTCCGTCTATATACGGAAGAATATTATATATAGTAGTATATTTTCGGATACCGAATTTAATTATCTTAAAAATAAAAAACGTAAACTACGCGAAAAGAACGAAAAGCTACGCTAGGAGTTAGCTAGCCTAGCTCGCCGTATCCTTACCGCTTAAACCGAGTAATCTAAGGTAGAAGCTCGCCTCGAGAAGATTATTAAGAAATAAAGTAAAATAGTCGACCGAGAAGTACGGCTTCTCGGGGAATTAGTAGACGACGGTTCCGGCGAGTTTAATTTTACCGTAATAACCGATAACTTTCTAATAAAAGAATCCTCCTAGCTAGATTACGCCGCTAGTAATACTAGGTAATAAGTCTCGGGCTAAGGTTTATTTCTAGTTCCTAGGTATTCTTCTATTCCGGGTATCCTAACTATTTAACTAGGTATTTCGCTTAGCGGCCTTTCCGCCTATATTAGAGTATAGTTTCTATATCGTAATAGGGTTCTTAGGTTTCTTTATCGATATATACTAGTCCTAGTCTAGCTCCCTCTAGTACCTTCTCTAATAGTAATTTATAGAATACTAAGTATATATTTAGTCCTTCTAGTAATTATAGCTTATAAGAGACTAGTCCTAGTATTTCCTTAATTCGATATAGACTAATTTTCGTATAATCTAGTTTCTTACTTAGTCTTTATATTTTTATATTTTTTATATTAACGTAAACTATCTCCCCCTTCTAGAAGTCTAGTCCCTTAGATCTTTTTTTATTTACTATTTTTATAGTTATTTTTAATATTTTATCTAACTTTATTTTTAGTAGAAAGTATAACTTATATAAGTCCTTAACTTTTATCCTTACCCTTTCCGCTATAGGTCTATCGCTTAATAGTTCTTTCTTAAAATCTAGGTGTCTCCTATAGTTCGTAAAGAACGGCGATATTCCGGTTACCGACGTATTATTATTGAAAGCGAATTAAGCTATTAGTAACAACTCGACCTAATTCTTTTATTAGAAATCTATATAGCATCGTAGGTATTATTCTATCGTCTAATTTATTCTTTCCGTTTATCTATCTATCTATAGATAATATAACGTTAATATCTTATATTTTATTCCTAGTAGGTTAGTTAACGATTACTAAAACTATAAATTAAATAGTTTATCCCTATCCGTAATAATAACTTCCGGTGTTCCGTACTGCGCGAATACCGTTCTCGTAACTATATATACTAGTTCTTCTACTATTAATACTTCTTTATATAGTAGTAGGTAAATATACTTTATTAGTATATCGTTTACTATAAGTATACTATCGTATATCGTACCCGTTATAAATTCTTTCGATAGTAGTAGCTTAACTATAAAGTCTATCGCTATCCTTAACTATACTTTATCTATATTTTCCGCTAATTATAGTAAGCCGTATAGTTTATATCTTAAGTATTTAGCTTTATAGTATATATCGTAATTCTTAACGTATTCTTCTACGTCTTTTCTTAATCCTCCCTAGGTAAAATCTCGTATTACTAATTCGATTGTCTTATTAATACCTAGGTATCCTATACTTTTATTATCGTATCTTGTTCGTATAATTTTTTATTTTTATTCTTTTATTAATTCTATTTCTAAGGTTATAAGTATTCTCGTTTCTATTTTTCTATATATTAGGTAATTTTCTTTTTTCTCTAGTAGCGCCGCTAGCTTAGGTTCTAGCCCTTCTATATAGTTCGTTCTTCGACTAAGGGCATCGGCTATAACGTTCTCGATTCCTCGAATATATATAATTTTAAAATTATAAGAGGCTAGAGTTTTAGTCTATCTAACTTATCTTCTATTAAGTTCTTTAGTTATCGTCTAATAGGTTAGATTTTTATAGTCTAAGTATATTTACACTAGGTATTTAGCTCCTTCTAGGTATACTCTCTATATTTTTAGGTATTCTACTACTACGAGTAGTTCCTTATCGTAGACAT